TTATAGGCTTTTTATAGTTCTCCCTAAATATTATACTAGTATACTAAAAAAGTAGCTTAATAAAATACTTATTAGTTTTTAAGTAATAAAGATATTAAGTTTATATATAATAACCTATATTAGTATTATAATATCTCTTTAAGGTATAAATAATAGATTTTTAATAACCCTAATCTTTAAGCTTATTATATAACTTATAATAATTCTAATAAGGTAAAAAAAGATGTTAAAAGAAGTAATAACTCTTTAAGGGTAGCCTACTTAAAGTAGGCTAGTTTTTTTATTACCTGTGTACTTATATACCCTTTTAGCGTGTGCCTAGAGCGTTAACCTCGATATAAGAATATATAATGAGTTTTGGCCGTAACTCACCTATAGGCTGCTATAAGTAGCGTCTGATGCGACAGTTACGTGTTAATCATCCTAAACAGTCCCGAATCAACAAAAAGATTATAACAATAGCTTCTGCCAGCCGTTAGCTACTGTGCGAGAACTATAGCTTCCCGTGCTTCCTATACTCCCTCTGGGTGGGATTCTTTCGAAGGAAGAGGGGATAGCTCGGAAGAACCCTCAACAGCCAGAGAGACAGTACGTAGGAAGTGTACGTTTCCTTTCCAGTCCTTATACAAGGACTTACAAGTGCTTACTCGTTTGAAACAATGAAAGACATAAAGGAGTGTATTTGTTGTAATTTAAGTGGCCCTAGAGGCGTGTGAAGTAGGCAAAAAGAGCCACAATTACTGACTTATTCGCGATAAAAAACAAATAATCATGAGCGCTGATAAGAGCTAGATGGTATACACGGTTAACAGCTGGTATTACGGAAGCGGGGTAGCGCTAGGTGTAATGATAAAGAAAAACGCTATTACTAAAGGAGTATTAAGAATAGAAATAAAGAAAGTAGGGTTAATAGTAAATAATTATATAAGAATTAAGTATAAATAGAGTTAGCTTTCCCTAAAAGAAGTAAAGATAAATGAAGGTAATATTAAACTTAAATAGTAACTAGTAATTAAGACTTTTTTATAATAAATCAATTTTTATTATATTTATTATTTAGTATACCTATTAATTATATATTTTAAATTATAAGAGTTATAAGCTTAGAAGTCTTTCTAAGTAAGGCTATAAGTTCTACCAAAAATTACTATTAAGTCCTACACCTCTAAGTTTAAATGCTATCAAAACTATAAAAATAAGCTATATTTAGTAGCTATAGACTACTAGAGAGCTACCTAAAGCCTAAGAATAAGGCTTTAAACGAGCTAAATAAGAGGTAAAAGATATAAAATATTAGCTTAAAGATTGCTCTTTTCTAGGGTAGGAGATCCTAAAAGAGATAAAGGGTATATGATAATATAAGAGGGTATAGACACTATAAAGATATAGCACGTCCAATTTCTAAGTACATAGCTCGATAGTATAATACTTAACTTAGTATATCCTGTCTTTTATCTTCTATTCTTATGAGTTTTAATTTTTTTCCCCTCTATTTCTTAATAGCTTTTTTTGGTTATGATTTTTATCTATTTTAACTTTTCCTACTTTTAATATTTTTTTTCTCATTTTCCTAGCTCTTCCTTATTTTTTCTAACCAATCTTAAATATGTTTTCTATTCAAGTTCAGTATTTGTTGAGCAGTCTTGAAATGTATTGGTTTTCCTTGGTTTCTCAGTTCATCAACCCACTTTTGGCCGAGCAATCTTGCTTGATCGCTTGTCAAAGTTTTGATCGAAGCACCGCCAATGTCCTTTACCGCTTCGACTATTTCCTGGTCACTCCGCCCTATAACTCCCGCTAAGAGCAACGAATCTGTGATTGTCCCTGCAGTCGCAAGTATCACTGCCGGAATATCCCCTGTGAGGGCTGTGCCAATGATGCCCACTGCTTGCGCAACGATTTGCAGCAGCTTGATAAAGCTGAAGCGCGTCTCTTCATCCAGTTTGGAACATGTTAGGCACCACCTGGATCCTGAATGGCTACCGTCGCGGAAATTCCACAATCCAAGATCCCCAATATAGGTCGGCCTCCCAGGGCGATGCGGATAAAATGCTCCATTGTGTTTGCTTTGCTCCTGAAGAGGACCTCTGTCAGTAATCGATGTGCCCGCGACGTCCAGATAGCAGTCGGTGAATGCCTCGGCATCTTGCAGGCCCACGCAATATGACATGGCTAGCAGGTTGAAGTGTCTTATTCCGAATGTTTCGTCCATGTAAACAGGGTTTGTGCCTGCGTTCTGCCATGAATTCAACGTGTCCCGAAATGTTTGTCTTGAGGTTTTGAATGCTAGAAACTTTGCCTGATCGTTTGGCACGTCGATGTAGTCAAGGATGCCGACTGTCCTCAAACAAGGATACCACCATACCCCTGGATCTGGTGATTTTGTAGCCGATACAACAACAGAGGACATTTCCGATTTTGGCACGATGAAGAAAAAGTCGAACAGTTTTGTGTCCCAACCAGTCGCCGATAGATCTCCCCTGTTAATGTGCCATATCCATGAACCAATCTGAACAGTCAGTGTCCAGCCATCAGGGGCAACATCATCAAGTCCAACGAGAATGATGTCGTGTTTCTTCCTATCATACGTATGTTGAGGCCCGTGCCAATCGCTGCAATCTGAAACCACTTCTGCTATTCGATCAACGCAGCTGTTTGCCGGAAACTCGGCAATGTAGCTGTTTCTGAAATTTGGGAATCCATCATAGTGTGTATTTGTAGTTCTTTCAAGCAAATTGGCCAAGGTGTTGTTGTCGTAAGTCCTCGTAGTGATACCGAGTGAATTTTTCGAATTATCACGTATATAGCCAATTGCGTTTTGAGGAAAGCAGAGAAAAGCCAGTAAAAGCAAAGTGTCGAGAAAATCCATTGCTTGGAAGAAAAAGACTCTTTCATCAAGGTCAGACATGTTAAAGGACATATATAAATCAAGAAATTTGCTTCAACATACCGCAAACTGAAAGAGGTAGCGTGTCAGTATTTAATAGTGCCGCTTTGTTGGTAGAATTACGCCGCCGCAGTAAGGCCAAGTCTCAGAAATTTAGGCCTAGATTTGTTCACGACAAAGAGGCGTAGGATGGAGGAAACCAGGTGAAGACGTCGTCGACCGAGGCCGGCTTTATAGAACAAGCTCTCGAGATTTAGGCAAATCGTAGATCCCGAGTCGTCCAAACTCTCAACCTTATCGAGACGGGTGCGAGTAGCCTTGCCGATCGCCCCTCACTTTCTCCACCTACCGCCTCAACGGTCGAGCTCCGATAGGGAGCTGTCGTAGGCGGCCGCTTTTTACCACTGCTAGATGAACCATGTGGCCGAAAACAGTGCAGTGGTGTGGAAGAGGGCCATAGAACGCGTCGACTTGTGCTGCAAGTCGTCGGACACTTTGCCGATGATGGTGTCAGCGTTTTTGTACCTTTTCCCGGACGCGTCAGAAAATCATGCTGATCTTCCTGCGGTGCAAACCTTGTGCGGTTTTGGTGTGCGGGCGTTGGCGGAGGAGCGATGTGTGTACCAGGCGGCGTACCCATTGGGCCGGCAGCTTCTTGTTCCATCACAACATGTATGAAAACAGATGTAGTTGATATTAAACTTTGGCCGTGGCCAAGCTCTGGCGCCAGCCGTTGGCTTCGGGCTAGTTTGCCCTATGAAAACCAAACGGCGACGATTCAGCGTCCGGTGCCGCCCATGCCGCCCGGGGCATCTTTCAGGGGACGGCCGGCCCCGCGTCTGCCCCCCGCCCCCGCCGCGATTTTCGAAGCCTCGGGCGGCGCTGTCTCTTGGTTGTGAAACACACAGCATTGCTGAGCCTGCCGCCACTGGTATCGCTAATAGTCTCGGTGAGAATGCAATCATTGGCCCCCATGTCGGCGATGATATCAGGATGCTCTCGATAAACTGTGAGAGTACGCAAGTTTAGCATCTCGTAAATGTGTAAACCTTTGTCCGTTGTAACGGCGCCAAGATCCCATCAACAAGAATCCCTGTGACCTGTCGATGACCGTCCGCGGTGTTTGATCTTGTACACCTCAGGACCCCGCACATCAATAATTAGTTTCTCCGGTAGGTACCTCTTGAAGAAGCAGCTTTCTTCTACGCCATTTTATTACAGCATGGACATGTACAAGTACTTAGCTAGTGAGCCCTGTTGGCTGCAAAGCTACTGGGTGAAATAGAACAAAGTGAGGTGTAAATGGCAATCTTATTCTACACAGAGGCAAGGGTACTAGAGACAGAATGAAGCTGGCAGTACATTTCTCTGCCCTGTCCTCTGTTCGGACGCTGTCCTCTTTTCGGCCCGCGTCTGTGTGAGTAAAAACAGCAGATATTGCCACAAAGATGTCTACAAAGAGCCGCTTAGCAATGGCCAGTAGTGGCCAATTGTTGGTACAAGAAGTGGTGGGAACTTTTGTTTCTCAGTACTTTGGTTTGGCAATTCACAACCTGTGCACCCAACCGGGTGTGAACCGCGCTCAACCGTGAAAGGTTCTCGAGGCGCTAACAAAGCCACGGCCGTCTAATTCCTGGGTACTGTTCTGGAACTCCCTTCCAAAGCACGTCGCGTTGGATGGAAATTGACGGTATTCCTTGAAACCTTTTTGCGGCATATATTTTAGTATCCCATCGATAGACCGTTCGCGCGATAGGAGCTATGTTCCATGCAGGGACCGACACTTACACCACGCCGCACATCGTCGAAGCGTGCAGACGAGCAATATACAATACATGATGAGGAGACTTCGTTGCTAAAAAGTAGAGATGGGCAGAAGGACCACTACAAAGTATAGAGATGATATAGTTCTTCTATAGTCATTCGTGGTCTCATGTCGTAGTAATCCTCACCAAGCCCCAGATCGCAATGCAGTGGCTTACGAGTGCGATGGACTTTTTCATGTGCCATACTGCTTTAGCATGTAAACTTGTTGTAGAAGGGATTACAGGAAGGCACGCACAACAATGATGCGGTGACAGATTTATGCACTCCAAACCGCGAAAGTCTAGATGTCCTAGACCTGCGCTCAATTAAATTAGCTGTTTGCGCTGGGAGGCATCGGTTAGCTGCAGGCTGGCTTCCGCTGCAGCCCGCCCAGCAGCTACTGCCTTGCCGTCAATTTGACCTGACTAGCCAGTTAAAATAGATTCATAAATCCCGTTTTGTCTCACTTGTTTCCTCTTTCCCCAGCACGCGCTCTTTTGTTTGTGATTGCCAGCGCAGTGAATGCAGAGTGCAGGATGCTGCCTGGGTGGCTTGCGCCTACTTAACTCGGACTCCCCCGCACGATTGCGGAGGAAATCACAACCAACTTCTTTCATCTGCCACCCGTTCGTCAACAAGAGAAGCAATGAAGTCGCTTACGGCGCAGGGTCTGGAGCAGTTGTGCTCTGGAGAGCATCTTCACCTACTCAATGCCGTCGACTCGCTCCGCTCGCAAGGTGTCAGCCATTACATATCCTTGCCTCAGATTATTGTGTGCGGCGACCAGTCCTCTGGAAAAAGTTCAGTCTTGGAAAGCATCTCTGGCGTTTCTTTCCCGGTCAAAAGCAGCTTGTGCACTCGGTTCCCGACCGAGCTCATTCTTCGCAAGACTACTGTTTCCTCCATCAATGTCTCTATTGTGCCGCACCAATCTCGCAGCGAATCCGACAAGGAATCTCTTTCCAAGTTCCACGAGAACTTGCCAGACTGCCAAGACCTACCTGCGCTAATCGATAGCGCAAAGTCTGCCATGGGCGTGATGACAGTGGGCAAAGCGTTTTCTGGAGATATCCTGCGCATTGAAGTCAATGGCCCGGACCGCCCGCATCTCACCATTGTGGACTTGCCGGGACTCATTCATTCCGAAAACAAGCACCAGTCCGCATCAGACATTCAGCTCATCAACAATGTTGTACAGGGGTACATGAAAGAGCCCCGAAGCATTATCCTGGCTGTTGTATCAGCCAAAAATGACTACGCCAACCAGATTGTTCTGAAACTCGCCCGTGAAGCAGATCCTAGAGGGACGAGAACCCTAGGGGTCATCACCAAGCCAGACACGCTCATACCGGGATCTGGGAGCGAGCACATGTTTGTCTCTCTGGCGAGAAACCAAGATGTCGAGTTCCGCCTGGGCTGGCACGTATTGAGAAACCGCGACACCGAAGCGGAAAATTGGACATTTGACCAGCGCGATGCCGCAGAGCTTCAGTTTCTGTCATCAGGTGCCTGGGCAGGCCTTTCTTCAAAAGACTTGGGCATCAAGTCCTTGAGAGACCGATTGAGTGACGTCCTTGTGCGCCAGATTGTCTCTGAGCTCCCGAATCTCATTGAAGAAATCGGAGAATTGTCTGCTCAATGCCAAAAACGTCTTGACAAGCTCGGTCTACCACGAGAAACCATCTATGAACAGAGAATGTATCTCATCCAGATTAGTCAATCATTCCAAGCTATGCTTCGGGCTACGATTGATGGCACATACAACGACCCGTACTTTGGGGATGCCATGTCATCGAACGGCTATCACAAGCGCACCCGAGCCGTTGTTCAGAATCTCAATCGAGCCTTTGCAGAAGACATGGCCCGCAACGGTCAACGGTACAACGTCGTGGCCGACGGCAAGAATGCAGCCTCAGAGAGTAGCGAGCTATTGACTCGTGAGGAATACATTAAGAAAATAGTCTTGATCATCCAAAGAGGCCGAGGTAAAGAGCTGCCTGGCATGTTCAATCCCATGGTCGTCACAGAACTATTCAAGGAACTCTCATCGCCGTGGAGCAAGATTGCAGAAAGCCACATACAGAAAGTGTGGGAGGCGGTTCGCCTGTCGTTGAGCCATCTTGTAACGCACATTGCAGACACTACCACTGTCAAGGCAATCTTGACGCGTGTTTTTGAGCCCAAGTTGGATTTCTTGCGGAAAGCCTTATATGAGAAGCTGTCGGGGCTACTCAAGCCACATCAAAGCGGACATCCCATTACCTACAACCACTACTTTACGGCAACTCTACAGAACATTCGCCGGGAGCGCGAAAGGTCGAGAGTCATGGCGTTATTGACGGAAGAGTTTGGCCAAATTTCCATGTCGACGAAAACTTTTGTTAGCAGATCTATCGACTTCGAGGGATTTGTTGACCGACTCGTTCTTCCACAAGAGCCGGATATGGATCATTTCTCCGCCTGTGAGGCGCTAGACTTCTTAGATGCGTATTACAAGGTGAGATTTCTGCCACGCGTCTACAGCCATGCGCTCTTGCAGCTAACTTGTCTTGTGTCAAGGTTGCCCTGAAGCGCTTCGTCGATGACGTTGCGGTTGAAGTTATTGAGGCTTGTCTTTTGGAAAAGCTCAGCGATATTATGGACCCGAGCTCCATCTTTATGATGAGCGAGGCTGAAGTTGCTGGCATCGCGGCGGAGACGGAAGAGAGTCGGGCAGCCCGCGAAGAACTGAAGACTAAGTTGAAGATACTCAAAGGCGGAGATGAAACTTGCAAGAAATTTGCGGCGCTCTATTTTAACGGTAGGGCTTATGCCTGGCTCATTAAAAACGTCGCTCACATTTTCTAGTTCTGGGCAATGCCGTGAGCGATACGAGTAACACGGTCGATCGATCTAGTGATACTGGAGACGAGGGGCCCGCAACAGATCCAACGGCAGCAACTCATAGCGATGGAGAATCTGTCTGTGAGGCTGCTCCCGAGGCCGCCTCATCCATGAATCATGTCTTGGAGGAACCGATGACTGAGCCGGCTCCTGAGCCGATACCTTCTATGGTTGACGATACTGCATGGCCTACCAGTAGTAAAATGTCAAAGAAGGCAAAACTTAAAAGAATGAGGGAGAAGAGGAAGGCATCGTCTGAAGAGACTGCACCTGAGCCTGACGCTGAGCCTGACGAGAGGCCTGAAGAGCAGTCTGCAGAGGCAACTCCAAATCCTTACGGCTGTTCCTGGTCCAGATGAAAGTGTAGGGTCAACATTGATCTTACGTGCCCAGATATTTTGAAAATCGAATGCCTTCTAGAACCAATTTCCATGATCCGTATGTTATTACTCTTGCTGCCATTAGGAGAGAGATGAAGCGCATCTGTGAAAGACTCTGAGTCCTTGCTAAAATGAAGAGTGTTTTTCAGAGTAAGCTGCGTAAGCTACGCAAGCGCCGTCAGGTGGTGCCTCGACAACGTCTTCAACAGGGTCAACTTGGACAATGAGACATTCTGCCAGAAATTCTACAATCATGTTGTGGTGCGCCTTGAACAAGATTTGGGATACTTAAATCAAGAGATGTAAGGTATGATTTCTGTAAAATCGTACATGTTGCCTAAAACGGAAACAGTTGGAATGGGGGCGGGGGCTAGGCGCGCTACGAGTGGACCTACGAGAGAAGTAGACGGTAGTACTTGGAGCGCCTAGGCTACTTATCAAGGCTACTGAGAAGGGTTTAGATGGGGCTAGATAAAGATCTAGGCTAGCTCGCTAATCTCTTCAAATCATACACTCTCTGAAAGGAAATAGAAGGAAATTGCCAAGGAAGGTATATATGATTTACAAACGCTTCCGATTTTTTGCGGCGCCGGGTGAGGCGGACTACTAGCACCCTTTTGCACAGAAAGTCACGTCATGACTCGATAGATCCCACCACAACTATGTACCGAAGCTTCTGACTGAGCAGCGCTAGGGGTCCGTGTGGGGGGAGGCTGCCACCGGGCTGGCAAGTGCTTGTTACTTAACTGCAGATTATCATCTTTGCACCATGCCCGTAATAGCAATCATGGGCCTCAATTGTTTATACTTTACAGGGTCCTTTGAAGGAATATGTAATTAGTCACCTAGTTAGATACTTATAGCGAGGGACACGTCTCATCATCATGGAACTCCCCCTACGCGATAAACAATACAGCAACAACAACAACAACAACAACAACAACAACAACAACAACAACAACAAGAATAACAACAACGGAACAGCCAGGGGAAATATAGGGGCATGGGGGCTGGTGTACCTTACTCCTTCCGTCCTTTCTACCGCGTGGGCAATAGGAGGACTGTGAATAGAGATGACTACATTCGTAGCAGCAATTCCAGAAGAATCCTGAAGCGGCTGCAAACAGGCAAGAATAGCTTCAAGCACGCAAAGAATACAACCCCGAAATTCTCCCTCTCTTTTATCAAGCCGCTGGCCCTTACGCCTAAATATGTAGGTATCTCTGGTCATTGGCAACTTCGTGGTGGGGTTCGGTTGTCTAGCGCGGGGCAAGCCACACTTGGCTAGTCACTTTGCATGTACGAAGCAGCAAAGGAACACTCGTAACAAACATGGCGCCCTGCTGACTCCTTCACTTCATACAGCCGTGCTCTCGCTGCTCAACATTTCATCAACATCCTTCACTTTATCATTCGATAGCCATGCGCGCTGCTGGCGATCGCAAATTTCTCATTTAAGATTACTTTTTCTCCCGACATCATCACACAGTCAAACATATTATAGGTAGTACACTGCCCACCCCGGGCGGGCATATCACACTTTATACGGCCGCCTAACGTCTGTTAGCTCTCGAGCATCTTTTCCCATCACAGCTCCCACTCCGGCCGTACAATGCAAAACGCAGGACTCTCGGCACCCTCGGCCATTCAACGGTCCACGACGCCATCGGCGCCCTACTCTCGCCGTCCACCAAGTCCCCCCTACATTCCCATCCCGCATGCACCGCGCCACGAGGCGGGCCAGTACGCCTATACTGTTGCGCCCTGCGAGGCAAACCTCGCCGCCAGCCGCCTCACCCGCGAGCAGCTCTTCATCATCACGCGCGGCAAAGCCCAGACCGCTACCGACATGGCCGCCACCTGGACCTACGAACAACGCCGCGAGGCCCAGCAGATACTCGACTACATGTGCATCGGCCCCACGAGCATCGCCCGCGACGAAACGTACCTCAGGAACAATAACATCTCCCTTGTGGTGATTGTTCGCGACGCCAGAATGAGCGACACTCGCCTGCTGGGTGTGGACAAGGCCTGCGATGCCTGCAACATCTCTCCCTACTATGTCAACATCGGGGACCTTTTTGACCTCATCCGAACTCTGCCCGAAATCTTTTACATTTTCAACATGCACATGATCGGCGTGCACACCCAAACGCGAGACGCCGCGACCGGTGAAGCTCGCGTCGGAAATATCCTTGTCACCTGCGATTCGGGCAACGATCGGTCCGCTGCCGTTGTCGCAGCCTACATCATGGCCGTGTACGGAGCGTCAATGGCAAAAGCGGTGCAGTTTGTCAGTATACAGCGCTTCTGCTGCACGTTTGACGAAGACGTGAAACGCATACTGCAGACCTGGGAGGATCTGCTGCGTGCTCAGGCAGCCGTCTCGGCTAACCAAGTTGCTACGCAATACACAGTCCAGCCAAAAAAGAATAAACGCTGCGTCGACGACATGGTAGATGCTGACATGGATCTAGAGGACCTTTTAAACTCGGACAGGGAGCGATTCATGGAAAGGAAGGCTTTTGCGCCCTTTGTGGACATGGAATGATGCAGTGATTGCCTTTTGCTTTTCTGAATCTTTAGTTTTTCTGCATGGCATGGCGTTTTCGGGTCGTTCTCTTCTGTGGCTACTTTTGCATCGGTCACTGTCGAGTGTACTTTTACATAACCATAGGTGGAATAGGGTCAACTCTTACATGGCTTGTATCATACCTCTCTCAATAGATGCGCATTTTTTCAACGCCCGGTGTAAGATAGCTCACCCGAGTGCCGCCGATGGCAGGTGTGCAGGAACATGCACCTCGGCAGTTTCGTTTGCTGCCAGCTGCGCGCTATTGTAACCGCGCCACCACGCATTTGCAGCAATTAAAACGGCGACTCCTTGGAAATGGATTCAGTCTTAATGTCCTCATCCTCTAATTGAATCCTCAGTTGCTGCAGCTGGCATTGAAATGGAGCAAGGCATCATTGATTGGACAGCATTTCTGGAAGACGACGACGACACCTGGTTTCTTCCCGACCCGCCTCCTGCAGGCGCAGAACTCATCGATGCGCCGCTTCCCTACCTTGGAAGCGATTCGAGCTGCGCTGAAATGCCAGAGTGTTCAGCGGATTGCTTCTGGGGTCGCTCCAACTTCAACCGCCCATTCACAGGGTTTGAGGAGCGTGTGGCAGCTCTTGGTCACTTTGGCATGGGATTTCCAGAGGGCCATCTCCCGGACACCGTCCCGGGAACGTTTATAGGAACAGAGATTGAGTACGGGCGGTCCGCTTTGGTTCTCGATGATGGCATTTTGGATATGGGCCGAAGCCGAGACAGCAGCGACGACTGCACCCGCGATGACCGCGCCGGGATCTTACCCGACAACGAGAGCCAAATCGAGCTATCAATAGGAGCACTGAAAAAATTAGACGCTGTGCAGAAAGAGCCCGACTTATCAGAATTTGCAATTCCTGAGACCGGCCAGGATGCCAGGCCTGCGCCGGCGTCAAGCAAAAAAGACTCTGTGGGCGGTGAATCCGTTATTGATGTGGACAGGATGGATCATGCGCTATCAAATGCCGTTGCCTGCCCTCATAAAATCGCTGATGGCGAATGCCTTGGATATCAAGGTACCTCCGCTCAAGATGTCGAGAAACATTCAGGTTATATTCCTGAGGAGAGAGATGACTGGGTTCCAGAACCTGTAGTCGAGATGAAACGCGGACTGAAAAAGTATCAGCGCAAGAGGAAGATGCACCAAAGCTCCGAGTTTGTCGGGCCAGATCAATACGATAGCGATTCTGACTATACACCGGAACCTCGCCAGAAGAAACGTGCCCGGATCACCACTGCACCAGCTCGCAAAGTGCAGAGCGCCGTGGCAAAGAAGCCCAACGTGTGGTTTGCAAAAGGCCGCGCCAAACCGCTGAAAAAAGCCACTCTGACTGAAAAGGTCGACAAGGGGACTGCGGTCGACTACGCGCCCGTAGCCAACAAGGCCCAATTCGCCGCCTCTGCGAAGCGGGCTCGATTTGCCCTCGAAGCCACTACGATCCGCCAGCAGTCGGGTATTTCGGACGAGGACGCCGAGAATGCGCCGTATACGTTTGAGCAACTGTACAAGGAGTTTCAGAGGGCGAAGCAACGTACCATTGTCAAGGGTAGCAACCGAAACATGCAACAGGTCATTTTTGCGGACAGAGCTGTCGACGCCGAGTTTGCAGAGTTTGCAGTAGCTGCAGAGGTAATCATTCGCGTTGGATAGCGACTCGAGCGATTCCGATTGATCAATACTTGGTATGGGCGTATTTGGCTGCTTTATAAAATGGATGGCTATTTAGTTTAAAAGGCAGAGGTCATGTCACACCAGATGAGCGGCTACTGATTTGGCGATCTGCGATATCCGAGAAGGTGCAACAATTGGGGAGAAGCATTAGCAGCGCATGACTTTGGGATTATTACGGTAATTTATTCTTTCTTAATATCAAAAACTTGGCGTTATCCAATCTTTGACATTTGCCGACCCTGGCTGAATGAGCACCGTTTGACAGGCGGGCAACGAAGCAACCGTGTGTATCGGGCAAGTTGCCATGCAACCACAATCGCAATGCTTCCAAAAGGTCCAAGAGCAGATAGCTATGCTTTAAAGGGCCGAGGGAGGTGTTGTGTGCCTCCTCAAAACGTACTACCTTGGAGGTGGCTACCGATAACTTGCAGCATGAAGACCGTATTTGTGGCTGTCACCAATTTGGGACAGAAATGTGCCATTGTCGTGGCAGGAGTCTCTATACATCAAAAAATACGTATTTACTTTCAATCACAACAGAGCTCCGTATGACCCGACGGAGACAACTGCTGCAGGCTGCCGATGCACAAACAAACACCAAACACGCAGCACAGATTTCACGTGTTTTTGATCCATTCAATACTACTTGAGCGCAGTGAATTGAAGTCCATCATAATTACCACGATACAAACCGCCACGCGACCTCACGATGAATACACAGAGCACCAGTTCCCGCCCGCGTATCAAGCAGAGGACCAAGGACAGTAGCGTGTTTAAATCATGGCTTCACGAACAAGCCAAAATCGACAACGATGGTGTGATACCCGCCGCAAACGCACCCTTGGAGGGGCTTGGTGACGCCGCCGCCGCCGAGGTTTCCGCGCTGATGGCTACCCCTCGCGAGTACCAAAACGAGCTCTTTGAGAGGGCGAAGAGCAAGAACACGATTGTAGTATTGGATACTGGTATGTAAAAGCAGTTTAACCCGGCTGGACATATTCTCTGATTCATGACAGGCTCCGGCAAGACTTTGATCGCCATCATGCTTCTTCGACATGTTCTCGAACAAGAGCTGGAAGACAGAGCCAACGGAGGCACGCGAAAGACTGCCTTTTTTGTCGTGGACAAGGTCGCCTTGTGCATGCAGCAGTACCAAGTAATTCACGCGACTCTACCGTTTTCAGTCACCAAGTTCTACGGCGAGCTGCAACCTCTGGAGCAAAGCCAGACCCATTGGGATGCCCAGTTTGACGAAAACATGATTATTGTATGCACCGCGCAAATGCTTCTTGATTGCCTTAGCCATGGATTCATCAACATGAGGCAGATCAACCTCCTCATCTTCGACGAAGTTCACCACGCGAAAAAGGAGCACCCTTACGCAGCCATCATGAAACGATACTACCCGCGAGACAACAACGTCAAGCCACGCATCCTGGGGCTGACTGCGTCTCCCGTCGACACAGGAACCCTTGACATTGAAACCGCAGTGGAGAAACTCGAGAGCCTCATGTGCAGCGAGATTGCGACCGTGTCGGATGCTGTGCTCGAAGCTGGTTGGACCAAGCGCGAGCAGAAAGAAAAAGTGCGACTTTACAAGCCGCTAAAGGACGTGAAAGACTGCTATACAAAGTTGGCCAGGGATATTGACGAGTTTGCTCAACACGTTCCCCAGCTCGCAGCCTCTGTACAATTCTCTGCCAAGATTGGATCGGCCCTTGGTCCATGGTGCGCCGATCGCTTTTGGCAGATTCTTCTGACCGATGACCTGATGAGAAACATGGCTGTGCAACTCGGCAAAGGTAAAAAGACCAATTTCAGTTACGATCGTTACGATGCTGCGTCGGGTGCTCTCGAGAGCTTGCGACCTATTATAGATCATCATCGATTTGCGCCGGCCTCGACGGACGAAGACGCCATTTCGTCAAAGCTCGTTGTGCTGCGAGAGACGCTATGCGCTGCTTTTGAGGAAGAAAGCGAGACAAAGTGTCTTGTTTTTGTAGACGAGCAGTTCATGGCCATGATCTTGGCTGATTACTTTTCGCAGCCTGGCACTGCACCGCAAGGAATGATTGCAGACTTTATGGTGTGTGATTACGATTTCCCAGCTCCGGTATCCCATCTAACAGCAGCAGATTGGATTAGCAAAGTCGTTTGCCCACGCCAACTTGTCTCTGCGCGAGCGAATGCAGAAATTGAACGACTTCAAGCACGGCAACACAAACTGCCTCTTTGCGACGTCGGTCGCCGAAGAAGGGCTCGACATTCCTGCATGCGACCTGGTGATCCGGTTCGACATGTGCATTTCTGCGATTCAGTACATACAGTCACGAGGACGGGCGAGAAAGGCCTCGTCTGTCTATATCACCATGATGGAACAAGACAATAACCAACATCTCAACCGCTTTCGCAATGTCACTTTTGACGCGCAGTGTCTACGCCGATTCTGCCAAAAGCTGCCTCCTGACCGAAGTATAGGTATATACGAGCGTCCACCCGAAAAGGAGCTCCTCGTTGCAGACACGGCCACACTGTCTACCCAGAACAGCATGGCCGTCCTCGCTAGATTTGTGTCCACCCTAGCTCAGGGGATGGACAGGAGCCCGAAACCAGAATATGTCGTCTGCGCCACAGGTACCAACTTTACCTGCTGGGTGATTCTTCCAGACTCGGCTCCTTTCAACTCAACCACCGGGATCCTAGAGAGAAGCAAGGTTAGGGCTAGATGTGCGGCGGCGTACGAGGCATGCACACGGCTCATCGAGATGGGCAGCATCAACAAGAACTTGCAGCCAACGTTTAAAAAGAATCTCCCCAGGATGCGGAATGCACGTCTGGCACTCAGCAGCAAGAAGCAGAAAGTGTACACCATGTTGGTCAAGCCAAAGATGTGGACGTCTCTCCCGGCTGGGATACCGGCCGTGCTTTTCCAAACCTTTGTCCAGGTGCTTCCCGACTCTGCTGCCGTCACACCCATTGCACTTTTGACGCGAGAAGAACTGCCCGACATAGGGCCAATCAAGCTTTTTGTTTCGGCAGACGTCATCATGTCAGCGAAATTGATACCTGGTGGAGCAGTGCAAGTATCACCAGAGCAGGTACAGAAGCTGGCGGCGTTTACGCTTTGCCTATTTGACGATGTATTCAGCAAAAAGTTTGAAGCAAAAGACGAAGAGATTCCTTTTTACTTTGCTCCTGCATCCATGGCGCTGTATGAAGACGAAAAGGGGGCCATTGACTGGCAGGAACTAGAGCATGTTGTTCTGTCCATGCATCAGAGCCCAGTTGTCGACCCAGGAAATATTGCTCGTCACTATTTTGTCGTTGATCCGCATTCCGGCGCAAGAAAGTTTATTATACACGAGATTGAACATGCACTACGAGCAACTGACCAGACCCCTGCAGGTGTCCCTGAGCACAAGAATAGCGGCTACCAGACGTCGGACAGGTCCATTATGCAGTACAGCTGCAGCACCAGACGAGCACAACGATCGAGTATAGTATTTGACACTGAGCAGCCAGTGTACAAGGCCTGGTTGTTATCTTTGCGCCGCAACTTCTTGGATGATGATGACATGGAGACTGTCAAAGGGGACCAGCGATGCTACATCACTCTCCAGTGTCTAAAGGTGTCTGCGATTCCGGCCGATGTTGCTCGCGCAGCCCTGCTGCTTCCGTCTATCCTCCACCGTCTGGACACTGCATTGATCGTGACTGAAGCCCGCGACATGTTGGGGCTGAACCTGCCACTCCAGCTGGCGTGGGAGGCGTTTACAAAGGGCGCAGATGACGCTGATGATGACGACGGCGAGCTCGACGCTGAGCATGAGCATGAGCAGCAGCAGCACGGCGGCCAGCGAAACTATGAAAGGCTAGAGTTTTTGGGCGATAGCTTTCTCAAAATGGCCACGACGATTGCCCTGTACACGCGCAACTCTGAGGCCACCGAGTTTGAGCATCACGTAGAGAGAATGCTGCTGCTCTGCAACAAAAATCTGTTCAACACCGCTCTGGACCTGGGTCTGCAGAGCTACATTCGCTCCGACAGGTTCGACAGACGCACATGGTATCCCAACCTGCCCCTGGTACGGGGCAAGTCTGCAAAGGCAACGGTGGTGCAGCAGCTGGGGGACAAGACTATTGCCGATGTCTGTGAAGCCATCATCGGCGCCGCCTACATGAGCGGCGTCCAACAGGGGGGGAACATGGACGAGGCGGTCAAGGCAGTCACCAAGATGGTCAACAATGACAACCACAAAATGACATCCTTTTCCGACTACTACGCCGCGTTTTCCGTGCCCGCCTGGCATCTGAGCCCCGGCAGCGTCAGCGTCCGAGCCACGGTAGACCGAGTCGCCGCGATTATCGGCTACCGGTTCCGCTCGCCGCTGCTCCTGCGCAGCGCCTTCACGCACGCGTCGTACAAGGCCGAGGAGATTCCCAGCTACCAGACGCTCGAGTTTCTCGGCGACGCGCTGCTCGACATGGTCATCGTGGACCACCTCTTTCGCACGCGCCCGCACGCCGGCCCGCAGGCGCTGACGGAGAGCAAAATGTCCGTCTGCAGCAACCAGTTTCTCGGCTGCCTGTGCGTCGAGCTCGGCCTGCACCGGGAGCTGCTGACCGCCGACGCGGCGGTCCCGGGACACGTCAAGGCCTTTGAGGAAAAAGTGGCGTACCTGCGGGAGCAGGCCGCCGGGACCGGCGCGTCGGCCGCGACGAACAAGGCTTACTGGACGCTGGCGACGCGCCCGCCCAAGGCGCTCGCCGACGTGGTCGAGGCGCTCATCGGGGCCATGTTTGTCGACGCGCGGTACGACTTGTCCGTCGTCGCGAATTTTTTCCAGCGCTTCGTGCAACCGCACATCGGGGCCATGGACGACGACGGCTACGACGCGCTCGGCCCGGGACACGTCGTCACCCGCGCGGCGCGCTGGCTGCAGGGAGAGTACGGGTGCGGGCGCTGGCGCATGTGCGTGTCCGAGGTGCCGTGCGAGTCGCGCGCGGGCATGCGGGCGCTGACGGCGAGCGACTGCGTGTGCGCGCTCGTCGTCCACGGCGAGGTGCGGTGGCACGCAAAGGCCGGCAGCGCCGTCGAGGCAAAGAGTAAAGTGGCGGCCATGGCCCTCAAGGCGCTCGAGGGGGGCAGCGTGGATCGTGCCCGGTGGCGGGCGGAGATGAAGTGTGACTGCGCCGGGCAGGGCTGACAGAATGTCTCGGAGCGTTTTTTACGATGAATGCGAGATGTGTAACAGAGTACAAGAACGAGAAAGATGGAAATCTGTATTTCAATATTTCATTAGTGAGTCAACTGAAAATGAAATTGGTATTGAGCTGTTGTCCCAGCATGTAATGATCTCCCTAACAAAACCCCCTAACGCTCGTCTCCAGAGCGCCGCATAACCCGTATATATAATAAATAAAGAAAAAACAGGAACCAGTCCTTGGTTGTTCCGATTATAGAATGTATGAAAAAACAAAGAAAGATGTTGCCCCGATGCCACCACCCGTCGTATGCAGCCCATGTATAAAAAACACCTTCTGCGGTTATGCCGTAAATCGGTCCCTTGCCAAAAAGGCCCAGGTTCCGCATCTCCAAAAGTTCTCCCAGTAACAAAGATGCTTCTGAAGGAATAATAATGTGTAAAACAAACGAAAAAGCAAAAGACGACATTATATGTCGATGTAAGCTCGTCATCATCATATTCAACAAAAGAGGCCAGAATCTGCGCCCTTTTCTTTACTCCACGTCGGCCACGTTGCCGTCAAACTCATCCCGCAACGACCTGTGCACGCGCATGACGCGAGCGCCGCCGCAGCGCGACAGACGCTTGGCCTCCTTGCGACGACGGAGCGTCGCCGCCGTAGAGTCATCTCCACTGCTGCTGCTGCTGCTGTAGCTGCTATAGCTGTCAAACACGTCCTTGGGCGGCGCCTCGACAATGATGCTAAGCCGCGGCATGTTCAGCGCAGGTCCATGGCGCTGCTTGAGCGACTTGGCATCGTCGTCGTCGTCGTTGCCACCGCCGCCGCCTAGGTCGCCGAGCTCGTCACCTTCCTCGTCCGTGTCGTAGTCGAACCCCAGCGCCAGCAGCCGCTGCCGCTGATTCAGGTAAATCTGCGGGACAGTCAGCCCGCCAACCGGCTCGGGCGTCGTTACCGACGAGCAGCGGCAGTCCTCGGGCGCAGACTCGGTCGTCTCGGAGCCGCCGCAGACGATTGGCGACGACACGGACCTGGCAGTGTTGTGTGTCGTCGTTGGCGCGTCCGCACGCAGGGTCAGGCTACTGTCGCGCTTGCTGTCTGACGACGCGGCGACGGCCATGACCTGCTGCCCAGCAGCGGGCGTCTCGGCGAGGGGAGTCACACCGTCGGACGAGGACGAAGAAGATGGGTCAAAGAGACCGGGGAGGGCGCCGCCAGTGTTGAAGAAGCCCCCCTCTTTAAAGAGCAGCGCCTGGTCCTCTGGCGTGGTGCGCTGCTTGCGCTTCTCGATAAACGCGTCAATGTTGGACCCGTCCGTGGTCATGGAGCAGGCGTCGACGTCATCGTCAACGACGACGACTGCGTCGTGGCTCGCCGCCTTGCAGCCGCAGCCGCTGTCGTCAAGCTCCATCAGAGAGCGGAGGTCCACAGACGTGTTGGCTGTGGCGCGGCTCGCCGGTCGAGGGCAATACACGCTCGACGCATCCGAGCGTTCTGTGGGCTCCGTCGACGCAATCGACCACTGCCTTTGCGATGTGCGGCTCTCAGTCGCCCGCTCTGTCGCGGCGACAGATTTCGGGTCCACCTCGTCGTCTACTTCACCAAACGTCCGTCGCCAGCGAATCATGTTTTCGACGGACAAATTCTGCTGCTGAGTCGCAGGGCCGCTTTTTTGATTACCTATAATATTGCTGTTAATATCAAGAACAAAAAAAAATTTGAATCATTTCCGAAAATTCGTCCGAAGGGTCTCCCTTACGTGTAGCAGGTCGCCGGCTGGCTCCGTCGTCTTGAAACATGTGATCCACCGACTCCTTCCATATGGGCTCGCCCATGTCATATGCGCTCAACATTTCAACTGATTGTCGGGCCCGGCTGACCCAGCCCAGAGCCGATGCCGGGCGGTGCTGCTGCGCAGCATTCGAGTCAGCTGCTGACTCGCTCCGACGAAAGCGCGGGATTGACGGCGCAGCATCGTCGCTCTCCCCCGAATCCATCTCTTCCCGTATACTTCCCTCTTGCAGCTTGGGAAGCCCCATTGACGAGGCGGTGTAGTGTGAGGCGAGGCTCGCGCGCCGCGGCTCGGTGTAGATGGGGCTGTCATAGATGGGCGTTACCCGCGTGCGTGCAATGGGCAGCGATCGAGCGGTATACACGCTGGAAGCGCGCGAGCTGGGTCGGAAGGCGGCCTCCATCTCGGGTTGCTCCAGAATGACTTGCTTCTGGGCGTACCTACGGTACCTAGACGTCGTTGGGCGCCTCGGTGAGGTCTGCGACGACTGCGCGGCATAGAATTGCTGCACGGCCGGGCTTCCCAAGAGCAGACCGTTTTGTCCAATGTTTCGCTCGGCAACGTCCTCGCCGTAATCACGCGAGCCAGACGCCTGCAGCCTCGCCTTGAAATCGGATGACCCCAGCTGCCCCTGTGCATCTAAAAGGTCCACGTATCGGCTCGCGGCGGCAGCGCAGCTTTCGAGCGGGAGGCTACCTCGCCGCAGTCCCAGATCCGAGTATGTGATTGCTGATTGTCGCCTGCCGGAGCCGAGTGAAAAAAGCGACTCCTTGTTGGGGTAGGCACTTATTCTCGGTTCGCTCTGCCGTCGTTGCTGCGATGCCGCATTGCTGTGGCTCAAACTCGTTGCCCAAGTCGGTGTCGCATTGGAACTTTCGTATTGTACTTGGGAGCCATGTTGCTGGCGATGAGCATGCTGGTGACTCAGCAAGTCGGCGTCGCTTTGGCTGCCCAGATTTGCTGCAGTCGTTGGAGTATTGCCTACAAACAATGTTAGAGACTAAGTGCGGCTAGAGGAGTGCAGCGAGATGCCGTACTGCGCTGGAGATCTATGGTAGATGACGAGTTAGAAAACGACGTCTTGTCATTTGACCGTCTTTGTAAGAAAGTCAGGAAACCCATGGTGTTAGTACGATCGAGGTGCTAGCTGCACCATAATGCTCCGAGGGTATTAGAAGGTCTTGCAGAAGGCTCAACGCATGTGTGGGGACGTGCAAGCTTATTATATTGCTTTTACCAGTAGGAGGGAATGTCAGGTGTGTCAAGATCGAGAACGGCCGGCCAGGCAGGAGGGCGAAGATACGGCCATACTTTAATATAATGACAAATGAGAGCTGTACAGAGTGGAACAGAGCCAGCCCACCGCACCGGGACCCGGGGGGTGGGCGGCGGCAGGGTGGCAGGCTGCATGAATTATACACGATCTACCAACAGGCTGTCTGTCTGTAGACTGTCCTGTCCTGCGGTTTCGTCCCACCACCCAACTCGACGACTGTGCGCGACTTGGCACGGATAGACTTTCAACCAGTATTCGTAGAGCGCTGAAATGCATGACCCCCCCCGGTCAGAATGGGCTTCCATGCTAGTCCATCACAGGGTTAGTGAGTACAGACTCGGACAAAAGAGTGTAGCAAGTGAGGCCCCTGCATGGTCGACGGACGTGTGCATTTTGGCTCGGTGTAGGCCGTGTATCCGTCCGTATCAGTATACTGCAGACAGCATGCCGGCGGTCAGCTCGCTTGCTTGACGAGACTGCAAAGGGTTGTCGCCGCCGTTGCGGTGCATTATTAGCTGACTAGTTGGTCATGACAAATGCAGTTAGCCATTTCAAGACCCCTGGCCCCTTGGCGTGTCCCAGCTACATTGGTCGTTATTAGCCAGTAAACTGACTTGGCCACGTAAACGAGGTACAACGCTGCCAGAGACAAGAGGTTCGTACAAAAAGCTTGCGTGGAGAGGGTGTGAATTAGTGGCCAAGACAAGGACGAGATTTTGCGGAGCGGGTCCAAGTTGGACACGGACGCACGCACAAATTCATCATGTCTTTGATTGAAGCCCAATGCCCCCCGGGTGGCTCTCGCCCAGCATCCCAGACCTGGAGTGTTGTATCCCCCTCCCCGGACGCTGCAGAAGTCGGCGATGGGCTTGACCGTGCCCCTTGAGGGGGATGCGTCCAGGCTGGGCTGCAGGGGTTCCTCGGCTGCATCATGGCTGCATCATGACAAGTCTGACAGAGCAAGTTGTGTGTGTGTGTGTGTGTGTGTGTCCCAGCGCTTGCGAATAGCGCCATCTGACACGTTTTGGAGGCAGACAAAAAGGTTAGCGTTGACGCTACCAGCAACAAAGACTCACGGACCGCGTTTCTACGTCGTCGAGCAGTAAGTAGCCGTAGTCAGGCCCGTAGACACCGTAACGGCTTCGCAATCCCGCTTGGACAAGGTTTCGACAGGCCGACTCCCACCGCACATCTTTTTGCTTTTAACCCAAGTTGTTGGGACTTTTTGCTTTCACAGGCAGCTCATGGAGGAGGGAGAGGGGGCGGGGGCGGGAAAATTGGGGCCTCTTGTCCACAACTTGCCTATTTGTAGATTTGGGAAAGAGTTGTGATTGCGAAAAATGCATGAATCAAGAGACAAACGCAGGCAGGCAGGCAAGAGCAAGCAGGCAGGCAGGCAGGCAGGCAGGCAGGCAGGCAGGCAGGCAGGCAGGCAGGCAGGCAGGCAGGCAGGCAGGCAGGCAGGTACACAACGCATGCAGATAAGCATGCCCTGCGCGGAGTTCTTTTTTCCCACTGTGGCTGGCACTGCAGGCAGGGGCTTTTGTTCAACCCGATTGTCGGGAGCTTCCCGCGCAACAGCGGAAGCTTCCTTTCACTGCCGCCCTCTGTCTGTAAGATTGGGCGGCCGGGACGGGGACGGGGACGCCGCAGTTAAAGTAACTACCTAAATAATTACCGTAATACGGATCAAAATACCGTAAAATGTGGCTTGCCCGTGGGACCCCTCTCATTGTGCGGGATCCGCCGGTGGCTTTTTCTGTTCGGAGTCCGTCTTCAGCAGCCAATAATTTTGCGTTTCACCGAGTCTTTTTGGGGCGCGCGCGCCTGGCTGTGTTGCGAGATACGACTCCACGGTTATCACAGTTGCAATTGCAACGGAGCCTGGGGCTCGCCTGAGCCACTGGCACAGGGCCACATATTTACTACTCGTGTTCAGGTTTCTTTGACTGAATCATTTCCAATACACACTCAAGCGACCTCCGGATAGGAATTTAGTTTTGTTGCAACAATTGATGCAGTGCACCTACCGCTTTCTGGTCAAAAGACTGGCTGTGCTATTCTGTTTTTCTGGTCGTTTCACCGCACAAGCCGCAACCACGAGGGTTGCAGCACCAATGTCCGTTCCCCTCACTTTTTGCCCCCCCGATGATACTCAAGTGGGTGCTTGGGTCACCAACGAGAAAACCTGTGGCCATCTTTTCACTTGTCTGAATTCTGGCACCCACTCGATAACTTTTGAGATTCGATGGCATTGCTGCCGATCACCCAACCCCAAATACCCGCAGAATTACGGGCATGTTCCCTGCATAATTCAGTCAACTACCTACTAGCTCAGGGTGCGGGCGGGACTACTGGTGTCCAGTCGGTGGCTTGCCAATCTTTCTTTTTTTTTCCTTCTTTTCTTTTCCATTCGTTTTTATTTACCCGAGTTGGTGGGACAGTAAAAAAGTGCGCGACTCATATTCCAAAAATTGCCGAAGCTGCGCCGCCGCAGCGAAAAAAAAATAAGACTTGCCGCGATGACCTTGTTCCGCGATTTGCCAGATTCGACCGCGGAAAGGTACCTAGCAGTTCAGGTGCGGTGCCTTTCCGTAAAGCAATTAACTTTTGGCTGCATTAATTGTGGCTGAATACGCAGCGTCCTGGTTGTCTGGTAGTCGTAAGCTTTGTGGCTTCCAGCTGCCAATATGCAGAGCTTGGCCATGGATTAAAAATAAATCAAATAGGAAGATGGCACAGACTTTTCATATCACTGCCGTCGAGCCTGGAAGTTTTGCTTACTCTCTGTTTTAATTTTTTCAATTTTTTTTTTTTTTTTTACTTTAAGTGGAAAGCTTTTGCCGCTCCGAGAGATGGCCAAGTCTTTGAAGCTCACAGCTGCAAATTAGGGGCTCGCCTACCGAGTACCGAGTGACCCGGGTAAAGGCCCAAATGGTTTAGTTAGTTATTGATGATGAAAAGCGAGGCGACCGAGCGTAGGGGTGGCACAGATCGACCCACGAGACCGGGTCTGGCCCAAAAAAAACAAGAACGCCACATGAACCCTGGCAAGCTGGTTGGCCCCGTTGCCAAGCACATGTCTCATACTCATCCAAAGCCCTGGGTCCGGGGACATTAAAAAAGACCCGTCATGACACTTGCCGGCTGGCCTATCGCGTTGTCGAAGTGATGCAAAATTCTCCGGCTGAATTGGCCCGTACACGAGATTCTCTTCTGGTTACTGGAGTGGGTACTAATGTCCTTTTATTGATATTGATTGTGAACAAGTTGATAAATCTGTTTCCGAGTATCAAACAAAACTTGTGTTGGGGCGCTCTCAATTTGCAATGGTTGTCGAGACTCAATGGACACGCAGTTCAACTTACCCCCACTTGTGGCAACAAATGTCCATTAAAGCTGACGTCACTCAAATACCTAGGAGACGTCTAAGTAGACATTTATCTACTTTTTGCTAACACAAACATTTCCCTTTCAGCAGCCCCGTTCCAGTCAAAGTCAACAAGATTACACACATCTACCAGGACGTTCTGCACGATCGCTGGATAACGGCCGTGGCATGGCCCATGTCCGTCTTCCGCCCGCACCGACAGCAGGTTGGCAACTCAAACCCCAGTCCCATGACGGTGTGGCATGCATCAGACAGGCGTTCAAATTTTAAGTTGCCCACGATCACACCGCTCTCATCAAGATCGATGGGGTGGTCATAAGGCTGCCCTATGAGACACAATTTCTCTCTCTCCGCTCTACCGTTTTTTTTTGTTTTCCGGTGCACGAATGAAATTGGCACAGCATTGTTCTTGCCTATTGTTTTCTTTTTTCTTTTTTTTTTCTTTTATCTGAGACTTACTGAGACTCACAGGGCTCCCTTGAGACGCACCGCCTGCCATGTGGCTGAACGACGTTTCAACTCACCCTGCCTGTGGCCGGAACCAGGTAACCGGGTCTAACGTCATGGGGCTTGTCTTGATAATCACCAAATTACACCCTCGACGTTGAAAAGGGTTCGTCTGATCCCAGTGATGACGCGGACAGGGTGACCCAAATGCGTGTGTTCAAGGCCAGTGCTCTTCGTAGCCAGACTTGCTCTCCATCGTCAATGACGGATACGGATACACTTGCCGGACATCCGCAAGGTCAAAGCTTGAGTAATGTTTTCGAGTGAGCTGATGTAGAGGTGCAAAATGCTTCAATGCCTGCAGCCACACGCAGCTGATCGTTGCCTTTCGGCGGAGACTTCTGGGTCTGGGCAGGCATTCCACATGACAGAGATGTCCGCAATTGCAGAGATCTCATACTGCCAACTCGGAGGCTCTTTTGGCCCGTGCTTAGCAGATCACTATCGAAATGCATCGAATGCCGGTGCAACCCCAAAGTGTCTCTAAAGCCGTTCTAGATGCCCTTTTTTGTCTCTGACTTCGACCACGCTCCTTGAGGCGCACACCAGTGATGCCCCAAGTATTGGCTTGACGAGCATGTCTGGACTTATGGAGCGGGAAATAGCAACATTTCCATCTTGAACTACATTAGAAGTTGCATACGCCTTAATTGTCGGGGACACGGTGAAAACAAAATATATGGCGAGGATGCAGTTGTCATTTTGACCCTCATACGTTAATGAAACTGGCTGGTCCCGCCATCACTTTGACAGCCCGTTTTCAAGGAATCAATCACCCCGCTCAACTTACGCCTCCCGCTTCGGCCTCGACAGCATCATCCGTAATAGATTGCTTCATTGACCCCGACATGTCAACTCTCTCGTTCTTTTGGACTAGACTCCTTTACGCCGAGCCTCTCAAAAGCAAGACCGCGGCCCGCTCCGGTAGCTTGTCGCCAAATCGAGAGCACACAGCGCGCGCTAACTAGGCCCGGCGAGATTCACAGCTGAGATAGCGGGTAGCTGACGATCAGCAGGGCATATATGTCACTGACCGTTTCAGCCTAATTCTCTATGCCCAGTGTCCCTTCTTCGTGCATTCTGACTTTCAACCAGCACTTGATCCTTCATTTTGGCCGTCTTGAGAAAGTGTCATCTTGGTCGTCTTGAGAGTGTCTGATACATGGGAGCAATTCGCAGCCACCGCATACCGACGCCTCGCCCAACCTAGCGCTAACCATGACACCTTTCGCATTAATCCTCACCTCTGCACTCAAAATATATAGAAATAAGTTGACTCTTGGTACCATGTCTTACGAGTGCCCTCACATATGGCAGCCGCTGCAGTTTAGTGCGGGGTTGTAGCCCGTTCTCTCTTTGACCGGAGAACACACCTTTATTGATCCAAGGGTAATATGACAGATGCGTTGAATTTCCATAGGGAAACATTCTTGGTCTCAGCGTGACCAATTAGGCACTACATACAGTGGGCGGCAGCAAGGATAATGACTACACATTAGCGTATCGGCGAACATAATGTTGTGGTTAGCGAACCTCGCGATGGGCTATCGGGCGTATTTCAATATGACCATGGCAAGAATATTCAATATCGGCCATTTCATAAGACAGGCTTTCTAGCTCCGCCACCTCCTATATTACTCACAGAAGCTAGTGGACTAAGAGCCAAGTACGAGAGACAGGGCCATTCTATCCAGGAAGATATCAGGGCTCGTCTAGTAGCAGAGAATCGGCTAAAGAAAAAGTACAGCCGCCCTGCTGTAGATACTGACAGTCTATACCAATCTCATGTCATTCATCCACAAAGCGAAAGCTCGTGTCTAGACAGCTGTGGCCGCGACGCCCAGTCTGTGAGCATACGTACTGCCCGGGACGAAGTTGAGGATGATCCGGCTATCCACTACGGTTTGATCGCCTCAGCGAATCAGCTGATGAAAGATGCCAAGCTTCGAGATCAATATGCAAATGAAAAAGGCATTTTTATGCTTCGAGATGGAAGCAGCAGGCAGTATGAATCATTTTCCCGTGTCTTATCATTCGCGGCATCTGTAACTATGCGGACTCGCATAAGAAGAAGAAATGGCAAGGCGACGCTGCTTTGACAGCGGTCGCGTACGCTAGAGGCCTTATTTATAAAATATCCCCAAAGAAGGTGGAGGTAGAGAGGAAGCTTATTGAGCTGGTTGAGAATAGTATTGTTCCACAGACATATACCGAGTTGTGGATCTACGACGTCAATGCTCATTCGGAACCCCAATCTCCTGGATATGCAGTCTCCGAGGCGATTAGGACTACGAGTGAAGTCATTACCGATATCGAGTCCACGGTAGCGAAAGACGGCGATGACAAAATTCTCAACTGGCCAACGCCAACACCAATCGACTATGGCTCTCAGTATAGCGACCTCTTGAAGGTCCGGCAACCAGGAACTGGCCAATGGTTTTTGGACTCAACACAGTATCAGACCTGGCGGACCACACAGAAACAAATTTGTTCTCTCTAAGCATTCCCGGATCGGGAAAGACGATATTTATATCGATCGTTATCGATGATCTCTTTTATCGCTTTGCAAGTGTCAATGACGTCGGTGTTGCATTCATCTAGTGCAACTTTTAGAGCCAAGAGAAGCAGAAGATTGACCATCTCCTCGCTGGTCTGCTGAGGCAGCTGGCTCAAGCTTGTCCATCTCTACCAGACGAGGTGAGCCTCCTCTATAATAAACATAAGGATACACAGACAAAGCCATTTGTTGATGAACTCTTAAACACTCTCCAATCTGTGGCTAGGACCTACTTACGTGTCTTCGTTGCACTGGATGCACTAGATGAATGTGAAAATGGTTTAGGTCAGCGGTGGCTAGAGCCTTCTAAGTGGTGAGTTTCACGACATCGTCAGAGCCGTAAGCGTAATCAAGGTGTCCCCGAAACATCCAAGATGGGTTGCCTCGCAGAAAATCGTAGTATCCTGGCTCGTGTGTTGATGTGGCTTTTTTGTTATGACTCATCTATATAGTCTATAATGCAATCCATTTTTGTACATTTGCCCATATTATTCTATGAAATCGCCATCCATCGGCCAGCCTCGCTGGGTACTCGGCACATATTTTCTTGCGTTTTACCCTGTTATCCCACGCAGGCTGGATATCGAGGAAGCCTATTTCTCTGCCTTGTTTGCCTCGACACTTTTCTCGGCTTCATTCTTCTTGCCTTGGTTCCACTTGTCATACTTCTCCTTCAGATAGCGATACGTTTTGCGCCAACCACCCATCAGGAGGCCTTTCATGCTCTGGCTGGTACTAGGCCAATTGACCGTCTGCCTAATGACTTGGCGAACTAGAGCCTGCAGCTCTTCAGGTTTGTCGGCGGCGATTCTGCGATCAAACTCGCCGCCTTGACGTCGCTTGTTTGATGATGGATCGTCATCCCGAGTCGTCTTCATCATGATGGAGAATTCCTCGCGCGGAATAGCAAATTTCTTTTGGTATTGGAAGTAAAGGCGCGAGCGGAAGCTTGAAGGAAGACGTCGCACCATGTTGCCGCGTTTGATAGGGTCCATATCTTGCTGTAGTTTATTATCGCCATTCTCATCGAGCACCCAGTCCTGATCGTCTAGCCGACAGGGCCCTGTGAATTCGACGTTGGGTAACGTCTTGACAAGCGGGGCATAGAGACGGCGGAAATGTACGACATTGTTATTAACAATGTTGTCGACCTTGCTCTTATTTTCTGTAGGAAGTGCCATGCGAGGATCTCCTAGGTAGCTGAGACCTGCAATCGTGCTGTATAATTCAGACTCGGTGAAGTCCGGGGGTAGAAGGAGCATGGCTGTGCGTAGCGCAGCAATCAAGTTGTGCTGATTGGCAAGACGAACTTGCGGGTGGTCGCGAAGGATCTTGACTGGCTTCTGCAGCCGTCCAGCCAAGTACAAATTATCCCATGTGGAGAGATCGCGAACCAAATTGTCGATGCTCGTAACGCCGTATTTGATCAGCATGCCGTTCATCTCAATGAACGGATTGAAGTAGACACCAGCACCCCAATTTTGCACATGAGTAACCGCGCCCGAGCCCAGTGAGGCGATTGCAGAGTAGTGCTTTCGATGCTGCTTTATGTTGAGGGAATGCCAATGCTGAGTGTGGGAGACGCCAAAGATGAAGTCTATCATTTTGGGGGAGCCTTTCTGCGCCTTGACAAGGGCGGCAGGTGGTTGGGGATGCACAGCGCGAAACTCAGCCTCGCTAATACTGCGCCCGAGGTCTCCTTGTGGAAACACACCGGAACCATATGCAAAGCAGTAAACAATCGGTGCGTTGAATTGCCGCAGCATCATACGCAGAGCCTCCTTCAGCTCATAGTTGATGATCATGTGCTGATTGACACCAAACATACGATGTGGTAAGTCCTCGAAAGATTTGATGGCAAAATCTACAGAGTCCTCCCAGTCATCTCCGTATAGATTGTATTTGCCCTTGGCTGACTCTTTTTCGCGCTTTTTCAACAGTGGCGCATGCGCCTCCGCACTCGCAACGCTCGCATCATCAGCCTTTTCAGTAGCAGGATTCTGAGGGTTTGTGTTTCGCAAATATGGTGACGTGGATAAGTTACGGGTACAGTGGAGGCCATATTGGCAACGCGAAATCTTATTGCCGCGTCGTACTATTGCTGGCATTGAGCTCGAGCCGGACCGGCGGATATTGCTTATCGATGCGGTCTATCGAATACATTAGAGTGCTGCTCAATCGACTAGCTATTGAAGGGAGGATCACAGCCATACCCGGAGACCTGAGTATAGGGAGGCCATTGCGTTGTAGCCCTGTCGTTTGTCAAGAAGCGCGTGTTTAGCCGGGATAGTGCCCGTAGAGCGTTAGGAGGTCAGTGCCATTAGCCCATGGGCTAGGCTAGATAGGAAAGGGTAAACAGTTTAGTTTCGGTCGCCAACGCCGGCCTGGCGATGACGATTGTAGTAGTTCACGAGGTGGAAGCAGGTAGGAATGCTGCGCGGCGCACAGTTGTTTGAGATGAAGTTGAAATCGATAACCGGAGGAAGCCAAGAAGCCAAGAAGCTTACCAGAAAGCTCAATGCGCTGCGGACCGCGACCTCGGGTTCAGCCTATCAACTTCATGCATTAGGTGGGCTATTCGTTGAGATTGAGCGAAGGTGGGGCTGAGTGCCTCAAAAAGAAGGCGGTGGATCATGGCAGACAACTCGTACCGATCGATTGCAGTTCAGGTTGATCTTGTCGGCCGAGAAGTTCAGTAACAAATACGAGAGCAGGCCTCAAATCCTTGCTATGAAATGATGAAGGAGCTATAGCTACATGATATATCTACCACCCCGAGAATCTGGGGATGAACCTAACCGAGAGAGGACAGGCACCTTCGTTGACAACGACGGCTGAGTCTGATTGTGCCAACTCAGCAACAAGTCGTTACTGGGCAATTAGCCGTCCTCCTCGGCAGCATTTTTCGTCAGGTAATAATCCCATGGAAGCTCTTCAACAATCGTATCCTGCACTGGACCCTTTTCTCCAAACTCATCGACTCCTTCCGACCCCTGGCGCGACCGAGTAAAGTTGGTAGGAATTTCTTGCGGATCCATCGAAGCGATGACCATCCCCAATCTTGTGCGATAATACCTGAGCCGGCGCTCTTCCGTGTTTTGCTGACCCTCCGTGTCCCGAGTATGCCGGCTCTGGACCTTGTCAAGCTCATCGTCGCCGCGGCCGGCCTCATCAGTCTCTGGGATCTCGGGGTCAGCCGTGCTTGGCGGCTGCAGAGCACCCATTCGTTGTTCGACTGACCTTTGCTCAAAATCAGAGTGCTTGGACGCGAACTCCTCGATTTCTTCCCAGTCCATGAAGCCAATGGCGTTCCAGTAAAGCAGCTCACCGGCCACCGGAGGCTTGCACCGCAATTCCTTCTGTGGTTCTACCTGAATGAGCAGAGCGCCCTCGTCGGCGTACTTGTCGTCAACTACCGCAAGGCGATTCGAGTCAAGCCCCTTCTCCTCGGCGTAGCGCTGATGCTGCCCGATCAGCTCGTCCTTGTCATAGGACTGTTCAAGTGATATCGCCACATATCTGAAAAGGTCGTCTATACTGCCTAGCGATGGCGGGTCCCCCTCGTCGTTTACGTAGTGCAATCCGACGTCAACGGCATTCGCGAGTTGGTGGAAGCTGTCTCGGTCTCCGTTCGTTCGGTTATCATACACGGCGAGGCGGCGTACTGGCGGCTGCTGCTCTTGCCATGTTCCTTCCCGTACTTCAGTCCAGTCGGAGTTGGCAATTCCTAAAGACGCCGCCGTCATACTAGCCATGTCTGGCATGTTTCGAACGGCATCCGGGAACCCATGTTCGGCTTCTAAATCGCAGAGTAGCACGCCATCTGTCGCCGCGTTGACCGAGTCCACGATCAAAAAATACGACTGGTCACTATAATCCGGTACTTTATAGTTGTCGCGTTGATGTTTGACAATCCGCAGAGGTCTTTGGCCTGGCACAAACTTGACAGTGAACTGCTCTTTGACTTCCTCGACGGTGCTCAGGACGTCGCTGCGCAAGAGCTCGCATATCGCGTCTTCAGTAAAACCGGTTACTGTACAGTAAACCTTGATGCTATCGTCGTCTGCTACAGCACTCATGTTGACTAATGATTCTTGAATTGTGGTGATGAGTCTGCTGTTGTCCACAAAGTGAGGGGTCAACGAAACGCCTTTGTATTCTCTCATCTACAATCAACGTCACTTCCACGTGATGCCCTGCTGCAATTTGGGTGGACCACCTTTTGAACTACACCAGAAGTAACTGATTGGGCAAAAGCAGCGCCCTCATTGTTGCCTGTCAAAATGTCAAAACGAAAGTGCTATTCTGAGGAACGCTTCAATGACATGGAGCCCTTTCATGCATTACCACATTCTACTTTATGGATCTCTTGTTCGCAGTCCTTATCTTGCATCCCAGAAGTGAGCTATTTCTTAGCTCTCTGAACGGTGACAAGTCAGCTCATTCAAGCGACCCGTTGTGAAAGGGTCACAGCCACAGCCTCGTCTGATCTGCTCGATCTACACCGCAGTCCGGTGTATTCGGAAGACGCTGGCTCTGGGTATGATCACGAATAAAATTGTCACCACATTCGGACCTCACCGAGATGGCCAGACACCTCGCTATCAAGGCCACAATTGCACACTAACTGAAACCTGCATCTGTCATAGTTCTGCTAACGCCACAAACATTGATTTCAGCTTACGCCTCATGCTTCTTGGGCTGCATACCATGCATATCATGCATATGCCTGTATATAGACTAGATCTTCAATCAGGAAGAACGGAAAGCATGACTGCAACACTGCGACACAGACATCCATACGAGGCTGTGAGGAGAGACAATAAATGTCCGAGAAGTGCGCGACGAGCCGTTGTGACCAAGACTTGTACCAAACCCATCTATCATAAATAGGAGAAGGAAGCCTCACTCAAAAGAAAACAAACAGAAACCAGGCAATACATGCAACACCATCATATCTCGCCACCAAAACGTCACCAAGATGATCTTCAAGCTTTCTACCCTCTCCCTTGTTGGAATAGTTGGTCTTACTACTTTCGTCGGGCATGCACAGGCCGCGCCCCCAGATCTCATCTTCGACTGTAGCAGAGCTCCTGAAGTCTGCACAAACATGTGCTGGGCCGTTCGTTGCGCCAACCCAGTATTTCCCGTCGCACTGACCTTTGACTGGCCCGACAAAGCCAAAGAAGATGCACGCCGCAAGAGCGCTGGATGCCAAAAAGGTAACAAGTGCAACAAGGGCAAGACCGGCCCGGGGCACCGCGGTACCGGGTACGAGTCTTGCGACGAGTACCCTTTTGCTAGCACCAAGGAGGCCGATAGGGGCCATCAGGTTTCCCGTTGCGTTCCCGGAAAGGAAAACAGCTACCAGGGCGGTAAGCTTTCGGGCCTCCAGAAGAGGTGGAAGAAGGAGGGCAAGACGGGGTTCAAAATCGGTTTCGGAAACCCGGGCGCCAAGGGTGTCAAGTTCTGCCAGAATCAGGCATGCAAAAACGACGGCTGGCAAGTGCAGGACGGCAAGATTTCGAAGCGTGATGAGCAGCCATTGTTCAAGTACTACCGCACCAGAGCTGACATGGTCTTTGCTTCCCTCGAACCTGTCAGCATTCCCTCCAACTTTACCCGCGAGTTCCGCGAGGCGGACAAGGTGGATGAGACGTTCTACGTCTGGACTGAAGTTGACGAGGATGGCGAACAGCGCCTCATTCAGGATACTGTTGTGGAGGAGCTTGCTTGGGATCACTTTTTGAATTAAGCGAGAGGCATATAGAACTCGATGACTAAATTGACGATTTCTTCCCCAATAAGAGCCTTGATCTTGTCTCCGTGATTGTAGGATTCTCGCCGAGATTCGCCGACTGCGTTTTCAATATACAAGATACATCGATAGACTTTTCCATCTACAAATCTTGATTGCGCAAAGGGTTGGGTGTGCTCAGCGCTGTAGGCAATCGTGCGTGAATACGAGGGACATCGTACGACCCCTCCGCATTCCGTCTAAGACCTCAGGCCGCCACAGGGTTGCATCGGCCAAAAGATCTCTAAAGCTGAGCGCCCGCTACGACGTACTTTTACAGCAGTATTGCTTACACTGCATATGACTGTATTCGATGACAGCGATTGCGCTCGTTTGCGGCGATGCGACGGGAAGGGCTTGAGACACATCACGTCCAGTCATAGCTGAACCGTCGGCAGGTGACGAGGGGTGATTGAGGTAATTGATTGAGGCATTTTAAACGTAATGGATTTCACAACTGCTGCAGAGTTCCACAGCATACACGGTAGTTGCATGATAGTGATGATCCCAAGCAGTCATTTAATAGACGGCCGCGGTGATGATAGTATTCGTTGTAGGAGCTGTCCAAGTTGTTGCTCATATAGGACTGTGTGTCTTGGGCCTGATAGTCGGGGACACCGAAGTAGTACAAAAATTCACCACTGGTTGAGAAATTGCATATTTGTCACCCACGTAGAACTCGGTAGCTTCGGACGGGGTGATTTAGGGACAGAAAGCAGAGAACAATGCAACAAAGCACCTGGTTGCAGTTGGACTCTGCATAGCCACCAACACCGAAATTACCCGACGAAAAGAACACGGACAGACCGTGAGAACTGGCCTTGACGAAATCCTTGCAGATGCGGTCAAGATGCTGAGAAGAGAGGCCATCTACTTTGCCACCGTACGAGGCGAAGACGGAGTTGGGAGCGCTCAACTGCGAGCTGACAAGCTCGTCATCGGATAGATTGTCGGGATCGCTGTTGGGGCCGACAGCAAAGTATTCCACCGGTTGGTGTGTCCGAGAAAGAAACGAAGATATGGGTTTCCAGGTTGCCTTTGAGCGTGGCTGAAATGAATCACTCCGAGCACCGCCCAATCAATCTATTCTTTTGTTGTTTGGACCGGTATAGGTAGATATGTACTGGCTGAGAAAGCTAGAGGCGTCGCTGTGACAAATGAAGCCAGTAGCAACAAGACCTGCTCCTCTCTTGCTGCTGTAGTTAATATTGTAGTAGCTGTAGACATAAGCTGGTGTTGACGTTGCTGGGGTCAAAGGTGACTCGCTCACGTACCTCAGCAGACTCTGTAGCGTTGGTGGACACCAATGTTGTGATGAAAAGATGTAGTGGGCTGATTGGTGTTGATGCAACAATACAAAAGGCTAGAGATGGAATATTCCGTCGTTTCCGGCGTAGCATTCTTAGTCATAGAGTCTTTGAACAGATGTGCTTGGAGTTGAATAGCCTCTTAGATTGGCTTATAGGGACAAGACGCTCGATTCAATCTGGAGTCAGGCGAGAGATGGTCTTGTGAAAAGATATAGCATGGGATGCTGAACAAACTCTGAATATTTCACTGGACAGCTGAGAAGACTTGTATATTTCTCCAAATCCTCTTTGAGCAGCTACATGCCATGGTCGGAGCTGCTAGAGTGGACAGCATCTATGAGACGCCTCCGTAGGCCGCCGGCAGTTGCTTGCTTCAGACTAACTTGCAAAGTCATCATAGCTTCGGGCTAGGGTTAGCCGGTTTCGACTCACACCAAAAGAGACCTTGTCCTTTTCTATTCAAGCTTTGCAGCCTGTTGGGACGTCGCGGCACGGGACATTGCCGTGATTGCCTCATCCGCCTTCCGAGTTTTGGCGCTTCTCGGGACTTCTCCAATCCAACATCTCCATAATGAAGTCTTCTGGCTGTTTTCAGGCAGATGTCAGAGCGGTGTATACCCGACGACATGGGATGGTGTGACTGGAAGCTTTGAATCGATGCACCATGGCACAGCATAGCTTCATGCAGCTAAAAGCCTCTGTTAGGAACTACATATCGGGTGTTGTAGTTTGCACAAGCTACGGTGCGATGGCAGTAAAGGCGAGGACGGCCTATCCGTAGACTGCCTTCAGAACGACGCCCAGCAGCGGTAATCGTAGGACCGTCTTGCGGCCATTGCCACCCTTTGTCAGCCTTGCGTCTTCTTTTCTTCCTTTGTCGCAACTTCTGATATATCTATCCGCATAGATTGCATGTGGAGAAGCCACAAGAGGCTCTACATTTTGACCAGCACTTCTCCCCGTCATTGATAGATATTGTCAGACGGCTCTCTCCCACCACGGCAGAGGCAGTCAAGTAGGCTGGGGAGCCGTGGGGCACAAAATGATATTGAACTTGATTGCTTGGGTCCTTATTCATCTTCTCTTACTTGCTATCGCCCGGATTGAATGCCGTCCCTGGGGCAAGATTTGGGACAGCATTGCATTACCTGTGCGGGTCCCTGAGACGTGTACACGCAAAAGGTCGAACAGATCATGGAAAGAAGTGAGAATTATTGACGCTTCTCTTAAATGAGCCTTACATTACGTATAATGTCTTCTTTGAAGGGGAAAGTTAAATACAGTAGGAGGACAACGTTTCTAACCGACGTCTTCACTTGTTGCCGCGACTACTGCCGTGGCACCAGCTGCTTAACAAGGCAATATGACTGAAGGAGATCAATAAATTCTATTTCGTTGAGTCAGCCGTAGCTAAGCAAGAAATTATTTTAAAAGGGTCATTCTCGTTTAATTTGTTCTTGACAGCACAGATCTACTGTACGTACAGTGTGAGTATACAGTGTCTAGTTTCAAACACGCCTAGATAACCAGGCATCCGTTTCAGCTCAGCTCGTTTGGCTCGCATCCTCCTCGTGACTTCTTCAGCTTTAAAAGAAAAAAGGTTTCTGCAATGTCAAAGTAGCCATGTCGCAACTTTTCAATCTCTCCCTTCCTGACCTTGGAAGGCACCGCATAGCCGCCGTCGCTCTGCTACCCGTCGTCCTGCCCACCGTGTACGTCGCATACCTGAACTGGGCCGTGCGACGCCGCACCTCGAGCACCTCCGGGCGGCTGCCCCCATCTTCCACTGCCGCCGCCTCCGTACCGCGCAGGCCTCAGAGCCTTCCAGAAGATGTCCTCGCACGCCCTCAAGACTGGGTCGTGAGTTATGAGCGCGTCATATCGCGGCCTGTCCCCGCGGCCTCCCTCGTCGCCAAGCTTCTGCGGCGCGGCGGCGGCGGCGGCACCGACGAAACCTCGCCATCGCCACTGCTCACGGCTTACCTGCGCACGACGTACAAGGCGTTTAGCTGGACCCCGCAGGCGTTTCTGATCCACGGCATGCTCGCAGAGCCGGAGCGCAAGGCGAGCTTTGGCGCCGCGCACATTGACGGGCTGCGGTTCGCGCGCGGCGACGTGGTTGACGGCGTGTACAGGGTCACGAGCTACGAGGTTGGCGCCAAGAGTAGCAGCAGCAGCAGCAGCAAAGACAAGGCTGTAGTAGAGGTGGTTGAGCTGAGTATTGACGTGCCGCGCTCGTACAAGGGCCCGGCGGTGCGAGGGATTGTTGTGTCGGCGATGGAGTCGCTGGTGGGGGATGGCGAGGATGCGGTGCAGTTTGTGAATGAGACGTGGCTGTGGCGGAAGAAGGATGAGAAGCCGACGCTGCTGGAGAGCGGTCTCGGGCAGTGGTTTCATCGGCTACTGGCGGGATGGCTGGTCATGAAGGGCCTTGGAGGTGTGACTCGCAAGTGAAGAGGGACTTGTGCAATAAGACTAACGCATCTCTTCTCATGTACTCTTTTTCTTATCCGGGGCAACACGCTGTCTGTACAACATGGAACTCGTCTAGAAACACTACAATCATCTACACATCATTGTCTCAGTTTGTTACAAAAGAGTTGCGGGGTACAGGGCCACGGTCGTGACGACGAGGCGAATGCTCGCAGTGAGGATCGCGGCTAAACTCTTAGGCTTGCTCATCTGGCTCGGGCCGGCACCGTCGAGGTTGAAGCTGAGGGTCTTTCACGCAGTCGTGAGTGTTGAGGTACTTGCCGCAGTTGGCAGACTAGTAAGTGTTGGCGGCGAAATGCAGCTTGTCAAACAAATTCAGCCAAGCTGTTCAGGAAAGGACATGAGGCAGAAAATCAGATACGATGTATACAAGGCAGAATATACAGATCTACAAGGATAAGTGTCCGTCAAGGTCACCCGCAGGAGAAGCCCCCGTCTGAGCCACTTTTGCAGCAGAGTTGTCACCGCGTGGATGAGTAAGTGAAGGGCAGTGTTAGTTGTAGCATCTGCGGGAGAGTCTGCAACCGCGCTTGTACAAGCCTCTTTAGCATGGCAGCCAAATCGAGGCGCGACTGGATGTTGGGCGATGGATGCTAGCCCGGTGCCGTTCTGGCACGCTCTAATGGTCTTCCTGCGCCGAATCTAGTAGCGAATTGCTTCATCTGCTTGACAGATGGACCATGGCGATAATCAATTTTCTTCAGGGCATGCCTCGTTCAACAATAGTCGGTTGATATCCGTTGACGCGTCGCTGCTATCGGGCACGATTGCGGAGGCGCAGACGAGGCTGAGGCGAAACCTTGAAGCCGGCAAATCGCTTTAGTGTGGAACAGGCAGATTTGTGGGCAGAATAGTGTCGACGCGACTTGTGATTTCGTCGGGCGATACATCGATGAGGACATTTCTGTCCGTCTTTGCGAGTCATTTACTAGTTCTCATTGTACTCTGTACAGCGGACAGGCAAGCAAGGCTAGTTTGGCTGTTTGACTTTGCTTGCTTCTTACTAGGCCATGCACCACGTGGAGAAGACGACTTGTGGACGCATCGTCATTGGTGGTTGGGGAGGGCGACTGTTGGTTCGAGGCTAGAAAGGGACAAAGAAATACCCCTTTCATCATTAACCGTCTGGCGGAGATGCATCTTGCGGTTGTGCGGCAAGTATCGTGAGACTGTACTAAACTGTAATCGACGACCTCATAGTTTTTTTTTTTTTTGATTGCAGGGCATGTGAGTGCATGACTGCATGTGCATGTAGGTACGTACGGATAAAGCGAGCCGAAATGCATACGTAGGCGTCACGTGCGGGTGAGGTTGCCAAGAGCGCCGCTGACGGGTCAAGTACTCAGAAGCTATCGCTGACAAGTTTTGTGACGACTCACTGACGAGACAGCTGGAGCTCATGGCATCACATGTGCCTGCGGCTAGGAAGTGTGTACGAAGTATACAGACAGTTGCAGCGCTGTACAGCGGCCTCTCCTTTGCTTTGCTTTTGTTTTCTTTCTTTTTCTCGTCTTGTCTTGTTCGCGTTGTCTTGTTCCTGATGATAGAGTCAGTCAGCAGTGAGAATGGCGGGTTGCAGGATAAGGTCATTGGTTCGGCTAGTCTTCTTTGGGGACTTTTAGTGGACCTGGAAGTAGTCTCATCAAGCCCGGGGCGGCCTTTTTATTTTTTTAATCTTTTTTTTCTTTTGGGCTGACGAGGCCTGCCCCAGCGCCCCAGGTACAATGCAACGGCGGGATGCTGTGGTGCGCTTTTTCGCCCTACAAATGTAAAAAGGTTGCACTCAATTAGCTAGTTACTGGGGGAGGCCTCGTTGCGGCTCACACAACAAGTTATGATGGAAATAAAAGGGCAACACGGTGGCCGCGAGAAATGCTAGAACTAATTTCGAAAAACCATAATTCATTATCGAGTGGCAGTTTCTGCTTGCTTCAACCCCTCATCTTTAATAATAGCCGCAAGGTTCTGGCACCACAGTTCATCATTTCCAAAAGCCCGCCGCCGCGTCTTGCAGTCTCTCAGGGGCAAGCCAGTCCCTCATCCTCTCCACTTTTCAGATCCCATTCAACTAGACTGATTGGCTCAGGTCGGCACATCCGAACCCGCTCAATGCATTTGCTGGACCTCTTTTTTGGGCTCTAGCCTCTGAATAGGTATTAGTACCTAGCCTCTGGGCTTCAGCGCTCTACTCCTGATTGCATGCGTACCTTGCCGACGAGATTTCTTCTCTGGTCTCTTTCTTTCATCATTACCCTCACCACCCACCACTCCACTCACTCCTCCCGCCTTACTGATGACTACCTACAATTTACAACATAACCCCTGATCACGACTTCTGCTGGCTGTCATCCTACTCCCCAACAGTAGCCCAGCCTAGCCCAGTCTAGCCAGCGGCCCATCCTTCGTCCCTGAGCCTGGTCCCTCTCTCTCACAGACTTGGATACATCAACGTAGGGCTACCGAAACGACGCCTTATTTTTCCCCTCCCCGATTTCCGACCCTGGCCAACACAACGCCCTGCTGTCACAGTACCACCTTAATCCCCTACGCCTCCTCTTCCTCTTCCTCCACGTCCTCCTTCTCCTCCTCCTCCTCCTCCTTCTTGGCCTCCTCCTACTCCGCGCCGGTTTCTTTCCCCTCTTTCGCACCACCAGACGCGCATCTGCCGCATACAGAATTACATTTCGACAACGCGCGTCATGGCTTGGCTGTCGCAGATGTTGGGCGGCCGCCCCCGGCAGCCCAGGTACGAGGCAGTTCCCGACGAGGAAACTGGTGATTCCTCGCCCTCGAGACCGTATCGTCGCCGCTCCCGTACGCGCCTCCTGCTTCCCCGACAGCGCAAGGCCGCCGCGCTCCTCCTCTTCATCGACGTTCTCATTGTCGTCGCCCTCGTCGTCATCCTCGAACCCCTCATCACCCTCCTCCGCCGCAACGAAGACCTATTTACCCCGAGGCTCACCCTTCCCAGCACCGCCGCCCCAGAGACGCCTGGCGGCAAGCACAAGATCCCGCGCATTCTTCACCAGACGACCGCCAACGATACCATACCCGCCAAGTGGGTAGAGTCGCAACGCAGCTGCAAGGAGGTATACAAGGACTACAAGTACATGGTGAGCACACCTTTTCAACCCTCGGCGGCGAGGATTTCATTTCTCCTGCCTACAATGCGACCAACGAATACTAACAATCCTCAGCTCTGGACCGACAAGGGTGCCGAAGAATTCCTCGCCAAGGAATACCCGTGGTTCGTTGATTCCTGGAATAAGTACGCCTTTCCCATTCAGCGCGCCGACGCCATTCGATACTTTGTCCTCCACCACTTCGGCGGCATCTATCTCGATATGGACACGCAGTGCAATCAAACCTTTCCTATGCAAGAGGTCGAAAACGACTCGGACGACGATGTCGCCGTCTTCAAATCCACCATGCCCACTGGCGTCACGAATGACCTCATGATCGCCTCGGCCCGCCACCCAGCCTTTACCATGGCTATCGCCCAGCTCCCATACTACTACGCGGTGACGCGCCCCTGGGCCGAGTACGGCCCCTACATCAACATCATGCTCTCCTCGGGCCCTCTCTTCCTATCACTCGTCGTCAAAGACTATTTGCTGCAAAAGACCACCCTTCCTTCGCCCTCTGTCAAGGTCATCTCGCCCCCGAACCTCGACGGCTACATTACCGATCTCGAGAGCAGCACCTGGCACCGCGCCGACGCGCAGACCCTCATGTGGCTCGGCACCCGCCCCTGGACCTGGTTCACCATGGGCGCCATTGGCACCTTTTTTGGCCTTTGCATCGTCAACTACTTGCTCCTAGCCCTGTACGGCTTCCTGGCCCGCCGTATTTTGAACATCTCGGCCAAGCTAAAGGAAGCCAAGGTAGCCTAGGCGACGACAGGTACGAAAAAAACAAGGAACAAACATACCATGCATCAACCTCAACTGGGAATGGCGTTACAAGCAATCAAGTGTATAACGGTCTACATATATAATAATAATGTTGAGTAAATAGTTTTGAGCGTAATTCAATTCATGACATGCCCCACGGCGCATGACCCACACACCTTTTTCACCCTCAACTTGTCAACTTGTCTTAGCACGCCGCAAAAACCGGAAATGCTGATGCAGAAACAGAAGGAATAGATGTAGGCATTTAATAAATCACTTTGAGTTACTCATACAGACTGACAGAAAGTACAACAAATTGGAGAGATTTCTGATGCAGAATCAGCGAGAGATAACAAACGTTTGAGAATGCTCATACAGAGAGAGACATACAGTGATAAGTGAAGCTCGGATGCTACAAAGCACCATCTGGACTCTGAACCACCTCCGCCTTCTCACCCCACCAAACAGCATTCTGCATATCTTGAGGATGTGAAAGCCCTTGCCCGACTGGTCCGCCGTGACATACTGTGCGAAAGCGACGAGCTGCAGCGTGGCCGGCGTTGGGGGGAGGGGGGGGGGGGGGGGGGAGTAGGCACGTTTTACATTGCAATAACAAGAGTCGGAACGAAAATTTCTACATGTTCCTGATTGGGGTGCAAAAAATTCGACTTGTCTTGACAACAACAACAATCTTACTCCCAAGTTCAGCAATGATACTTTTGCTGCGAGGCCCAAGTTTGTGCTCAACAGTCTAGTTTCAACCTTTTTTTACTCCAACACGCATGATTGCTAGTTTCAAGACTCTCAACAACAGTAGCCGCGGATTCTGAAGAGTTGAAGAAGGCCACATCTCTGCCGAAGATCATAGCAAGGTAAACAAACCCCTTGATTAGTGAATAGCAGAAACGAAACAATTGTATTTTTTGTATACATGTCATTTATTTCAAGGACGCTACGATAATGTCCACTGCCGGAGAAGAAGTCCATACACTAGCAATGCGGCGTTGCTTGCATGATAATGGGCCAGCACGGCGGCTTTACTAGGCGAAGGCCAAATCCGCCGGCTGTTTCATGTGAAAATCTGGCAGAGACAGATCTGCAAATGGGTCCGTAAAGAAAACCAAGGTCTACTCGGAAAACAAAAGACAAATTCATAACTAGCCACGTCATGTAGCAGCGGAAAATGCAACACAACCCTCTTGTCGTCTGGGGGCTAGGTGTAAGGTAGGATGAGTTTTTACTGAGTACGCCGAGAACAGCCTACGCAAAGTCATTCATTCAAAACGTTCGGATCCAAAAAAAGAATTCTTCTTAGCTCGTCGTCTGCCTCTTAAACGCCAGCAGCTCCACCAACTCGGCCGTGTCGCCGCCGGAGCGCAAAAACTCGTGATTTAGCAGCGCCGTCGACGTGGCCCGCCGCGACGCGTCCACGACCAGACACGTTGCAAGAAACTGCTTGAGCAGGGCGCCGTGCTTGTGCGGCGCGCGCAGCGGCGGGGTGACGCCCGTGGCGATGAGGTACAGCGCGCGCATCGGCTCCATGTCCATGTACGGCGGCTCCGCCTCGGCCATTTCAATCGCCATGATGCCGAGGGACCACACGTCCACCTTGTACCCGTAGCGCTTCTGCTTGACCACCTCGGGCGCCATCCAGTACGTGGTGCCCACGAGCGTGGCGCGCTTGGAGCGCCGCGCCGTCAGCTTGGCGCAGTATCCAAAATCGGCTGCGGGAGCTTTTGTGTCAGCAGCGTACAGGGGGGGGGGGGGGGCTCGGATTCTTTGGGTAGAGAGAAGGGGCCGGTTAGTTTGTGCTTACTGATTTTCACGTTGCCGCGAGAGTCAATGAGGACATTGTCGCTTTTAATGTCTCTGTGGACGATTTGCTTCGAGTGAAGATGCTGCAAGCCGCGACAAGTCTGTCCACGAGAAAATCAGCAAAACTGTGTGCGCCCGTGAATGAGGGGTGATGGTGTTTCTTACCTCGCGACACAGTGTGGCAATGTGTCGCTCACTGATTGTCGAGTTGTTGTCAATCACATCAATCAGCGCGCCACCGTCCATATAGTCCATGACTACCCACAGCATTCTATTTTCATTGACGAGAAAGGCATCCAAAAAGTTGATGACGTTTTTGTGTTTGCCCTCCTTCATGATGGAAATTTCATCCAGGAGCGCCTCCTTTCGCTGCTGCCGAGCCAGGTTCATTTCCTTTATCGCGACGCGCGTCTTTGGGCCCTTCTTCAGCACCAGCTGCCGCGCGACGCCGACGGCGGTGCTGCGGATAGTAGCCACATACACGGATCCGGATGCTCCTTGGCCGACCTTTTTATGCTTTTGATATGACGTGTTGGGGTCGCTCTGCGAAATCAGAGGCTGCAGCTTGGCAATCAGCTCCGCCTCGGACGATGTCACATGTCGAATCGCCTGCCTGCGTCGTGAAGGGATATCCAATGGTGTAACAGTATCTGGGAATGGGGGCGCGTCTGCTCTTGACTCCGGCACCTTTTGCACATGGCGCTCTACCTTGAGCGGCGGCGCGGGCCGTTCCTGAGCCTCTGCACCACGCGGAGCTGGTGGCAGCGGCGCGTCATCGCCGTATTCCCAGACCGGGACAACTGGCAGCTTGGGCCCCAACTTCTTTGGTGCCGGTGGCGGCGGCCGACTGGGGATGAGGTCTGGCAGCTTCGGGGGCGTACATGGCGGCGGTCTTTCAGGGACGCGACTTCTCTCAGCTGCTGCTGTCCGCTCCTCAGCCAAGCCCGGGAGCGACGAGGCGGAACCACTTGCAGGCAGAATTTCGTCGCCGCGGGAAATCTTGATGGGCGTGAGCGCAAAAAAATCATTCGCCTGCTCAGACTGCTTCTGGAGATCAGAGTAAAAGTCGACTGCTTCGATGACGGCCTGCGGGTTCCGCGCATAATCCTCGCGGGTAATGGCCGACGCGCTCAGCAGCTGCACCCATTCCTGGGGCAGGCCGACAAACTGCTCCGTCGCCGCGTCGAAGCCCACGTGCACCTCGTGGAAGAAGTTGGTCGGGTTGCTCACGCCGCCCAGGCCGGGACAGGCCATGTGGATAAAGTCGATCCACGTATACAGCTCCTGTTCCGACTTTGGCCTGATGTGCAGAATCTTGAGCGGCCCTTCCTTCTCCCCGGGGCTGGTCGAGGACCCCTCAATGCGGCGGCTAATCTCCATCGTGGGCACCCCCGTCTCGGCGCGCCCGATGGCGACGATTTCGTTGAGAAACAGCGTGTAGAGCGTCTTGCCGTCCTCGGCCTTGGCAAAGTCGACCCATTCGCTGCGCAGAGTCATGAACCGCTGCTTCCACGACTGCATGAACCCGCCCTCGCGGACAGTGACCCATCCCTCCTGTCTGGACCGCGCATCGCGTTCTGCAGCATGATTTTGCTGACGGCGCGCAAAGGATAACGGTACTGTAGACCCGGTGTAGGTCGTTGTGGTCGTATTTTGTAGTGGCGCGATGGTGGTGTTGGTAGCAGATGTTGGGTATCCAATGACGGGGTGTTTGGGGTGGCCAGCAACCGCTTGAGGCATGACGAAGCAAAAAGCAGGTGTACTTGGGGATGCAGAGAGTTCACTCTATTTACGTTGATGCGCACTAGAATACTGAGCTCGAACAATGCAATAGTGATGTGCAGTGTTGAAGCCGCCTTTGAGCCTCTTTGTGATGCCGCCCTGTGCAGCGCACGTGATGCTATGAGTATGCAACCCCTGTGGTGATACCTTCAACAGGCAGCTTCATGTTGCCAAATCGCATGAGACGACAGTGTTCGACATTAGCAGGTTTTATTTGCTTGCATTATCAATATTACCTCGATTTCTTTGGCATCGTGGCATCTACTTGAATTTAAGTGGCTCAACAATCAAGTTGTCCACTAAAAAGCCCACATCCTTGGCCTCACCGCGTCGCCTGATCAAACAGAACTCGGCGTTTTGTCGTTTCCAATCGCGACCGTCTCCAAGGTCACTGCCTCGTCACTCGAATCGCCAGCCTCCTCCTTCTTTACCAGTGGAACGTTTTCCTTGAGCGCAATATATGTCGGAACAGACGCGATACCTAAAGCAATTAGCCCGAGTTGGGAGGAAACGCGCGACCTCTTTCTTACCCAGAAGAATGGTGTTTACGGCGAGAGGGACCCTGCCACCGTGCCATTTGCGCGTATTGAGACCAAAACTGACAGCCTGTGCAAAAGACTCTTGTCCGCGAAGGATACCAGAGAGGCGACTGAGCTCCGAGATGCTGTCGCTTTTCGTGGCGATGAAGTAGTACATCCAGGTCTGCAGAGACTGGCGCGACCATTCCCACAGCACCAGCACAAAGAACCCTTTGGCGAACCCGGCATCTGCCCAGTCCAACGCAGGAGGGTTTGCCGTGTACTTTTCCTGGATGACCCATGCGTATATCCAAGCAGTCACATGGCAGACGACAATGTACCAAAATGAAATGTCCAGGCGACGCTTCACCGGGAATCGCCTCCAGTCGAGAAACATGCTCATCACCTGCGACGAGAAGAGCGTGCTAAAGTTGCTAACAAAGCCAATCAGAGCACGCGCCCGCACACCAAAGTAATAGGTTTGAAAGTTTCCAGAGTACTGGTTAAAGTAGGCCGCCCAAAAGATGGGAAGCAGGAGCACAATGTCTCTGCGCTTGCAGAGATTCCACAGAGACCTGAACTCGTATCCGACGCTCTTTTCCGCATCGACAATGACTCTTGTGCCGTCTGCGCGCTGCACCTTTTCCGGCTTGGTGAGCAGCAGGGCAATCGGCGCGGCGACGCACTGCAGCGCGATAAAGATGAGATAGGTTTTGGGGTCCACGCTGCCCTTGCGCTTGGCCGCCGCGTTATTGTTGAGGATCAAGACAATCAGCCCGCCCACCAGCGGGCCGCCGGTGCGGAACCACAGCCAAATGTTGAGGTAGCGACCGCGCTTGGAAGCTTCCGGGTAGCCGAGCGCCACGGCGCCTTCGGCCGCCCAAAAGAGACCGGCCGAGATGCCGCAGAGCGCCGCGCCGAGCAGCACCAGCCAGACGTTGCCGAAGCGGTTGTTTGTGTAGAGGCCGGCCGAGTAGACGGGATAGCCAATGGCGCCGAGAAAGAGCGTCCAGGCGAAGCCGATGCGGTTCGCAATGGGGCCGCCAAAGACGGACAGGAAGCCCATGAGGGCAAACACCAAGGCGTTGGCGGCGTTCACCAGAAACGGCTCCTGGCCGCCGCCTGCGCCAAGCGCATTCATGGCATTCCACAAGCCTGGCGCCAAGAAGCCGACGGCGCCAATGACAAAGGCATTGAAGAGTGTAGTACGATACCATATCCTCTTGGCGCGTGGTGGCGCATCGTGGCTTGCCTCTGGTGTAGGCGGCGCCTTTTCGAGTATTGTTGTCATGGCTGTGCTATAGTTCGAAATGCCGGAGAACTCTCGTGTCAGCCTTCATCTGCACAATTCTTTTGTAGTCGGAACATGAGTTTTTAAATGTCAATTTTGCCACTGAAACTTTCTTGTCACCCCCACCGAGCAATGCGATGGCAATTTTGCACTGCAACTACACCATTGTCTAGAGGATGGCGACATTGCGGGCTGGTCCGGCTTTAATAGCATCCAACCCACTTCTTTTGTGTAAGTCGAGGGCTTAACCGCTGCGAGCCGCTCGTTTCACCGAGAGGATGCTGTTGAAGGCGCAATTTGAGAGATCTATAAGCGGAATAATCCATATTATAGAATTACGAAATTCGGCTCATGTCCAGTGTACCCAGAAGCCACAATCCATGAAGTGAGTCTGATGTTGTACCGGGCAGGCAACATATTGATTGCAATGGCCAGACCATCTCCAAACGTCATGGCCGGCCGGACCCGCCAGAATACCTTATTTTCGGACAATTTCTCAAGTAGAAACTAGCGTCATGCAATGAAACCTGTTCATCATGCCGCCGTGGAGCAGGTAACATTTTTCAACGGTACACGGGATACTAGAATCCAGCTTCGTGCCGTCTCAATGAAACTATGTAATGCAGTTTGACGCTTCGGCTGGGGACATACGGCCACAGGCAGTATTCAATATCGCGTCCCGCCACGTTCTTGACTACGGGTTTTTTTTAGCAGCTCTGTTGTCTTGTCCAAGCACCACATCCTGCCTGGCATGCCCTACATCAAGTCAAAAGAGTAGTAACACGCTAACCATGCTCGTTCCCCTTTTTAAAATGCTCCGCCGCACATATTCACTCTACAATGCCCATATCACGATATGCCTCGCTCAGTTGCTGCACATGTTCCTTCCTCTCTCGCACCTTGTCGTCTACAAACTCGGACGCTCGTCTGCCCCAGTAGAAATAGAAAAAAAAGACATCGTCAAAGACGGACTGGTCAGGGTGCGCCTCGTTGAAAAGGGGCTGAATGTGCCAATTAAAGAGATTGTACATGGCCTTGGGCACCGTCGCGGCCCGGAAGAACCAGAAACTGCCAGCTATCCCAGGCTCTTCGCTGCACCTCGGCCTGTCTGCCGGAGCCGCCGCGTCGCACCTCTTCCTCTTCGTAAACAGTCAGGTATTCCTTGACAGCCTCGTCGAATTCCTCGCGATCCTTTTGCTCGTAGAAGCCGTCGACGGACTTGGACGTGAGCCAGTAGGGGGGGCTCTGCATCTCTGCAGGCAGCGTGTGCGTCCATTCGAGGTCGATGATGGACGTGACATTCCACTGCTCATCGACAAAGATGTTGCTCTGGATGAGGTCGTTGAGTGTCAGGTAAAATGGTCCATCTCGTGTGCCCGGGTCGACAAAGTGGTGCATGACGGCGCGCATCCCCGCGCAGGCTGCGAGCTGAAGCTGCCCGTCCTCGACGTCAAAGATGGCGTTGGGCTGGCCGCGCAGCTTCGCGTCCTGCAACGAGAGAAGATCTGACAGGTAGCCGTCCACCTCTGCGTACATCCGCCCGCGCGGTATTCCCGACGAAACGCCCTCGTTCTCTAGCATGTGCATGTACAAGTTGAGCGGTCTGTTGTTAAGAGCAATTGTGTCGTCGTCCTGGAGGCGCAGCGCCCCGATCCGTGGTTGCGGCATTGCGTTCATCGACACAGTGATGCGCGACAAGCCCCTAAATAGGGTTTTTCGGCGGTTCTCGTCATCGTGGTGCTTGTGCCACGAGCGGTCGAGGCGCTTGCCCTGGGCTTCGCTGATGAGGAGGAACCCAGAGGGAGGGTATGGCGGATGGAATGGCGGGCATATGGTACTGGGGCGGCACGGCCGACAAGAAGCGATAAGAGGCGATTAAGCTGTAACCAGACTCTACGCCACCAGGATGTATTTTGCGGGCGCGTATACTAAAGTGACGATTAACACTGGCGTAATAGTCGTCGTGATGCTGGTGGGAAAAACATGCAGTCAAACCATTAGGCAACCCAAACGCGTACAAGGTAGGTATCGGTACATCTGGGCAATGCTCTTGCAGCCATATATAGGTGGCCGTCTCGGTTTGAATCTTTTCATCTGCGTTTCCAGGGAATGGGCCTTCTCCGATGCGATGTCCAAACGGAAGCCGCAAATAGGCATTCTTGCCCTGTGGCAGCCGTACCAAGATTGCAGCATTGAAGCTGCCAGATGCCCATAGGTTAGATGGAACAATGCGGCACGTTCGTACTCGGAGTAGCTTGCAGATCATGTGCTCCAGCTCAGTCTTTTGGCAGCCGATGGCGTCGTAAAGCTGCCGTGCGAGGTCCGGGTAGCGCATCGACGCCAACTCATTGTCTTCGCTCTCGATGGCTTCTGCGAGGGGTTTTGGCTTCCTCTTTATCGCGCTGGGGAACATGGCCGCTTCGTCGGCAACGGGCCGGCCAGCTAACGTTGGCTGATGATCTCCTGACAGCTAGCTCTAGTCCGAATACAGGCGGGTACCTTAGGGAGCTAGAGAACCAGATCCACCCGCAGCTAATTGTTATTATGTAGTTGGGTCGGTGACGACCAGCGAATACTGGCTGCTGTATTTTTTTTTTTTTCTTTTTTGTTGATTCTATATTTTAATGGTCTTCTATCGCTGCTCTTTGCCAATGCGCATTTCTAGATTACCGGTTGTCGGCCGGGTGCCTTATTGTGTGCTACGTGCCTCATTATAGGTGACCTCCCTCTCCCGCATGCCCGTAGGGCCGTAGATGATGAACCAGTGGAGCAACAGTCCGGCCCAGCCGAGGCTCAGGTCACCTTCCAGCGACCACCTCCCATGACAGAATACATAGCATCGCGCCCACGGTGCGGGGTCAAGATTTAAATGTACTAATTCATAATGATAGTTTCGACACTTTTGGACCTCTTGACATGGCAACAAATACAGTCATCTACGAGCCGACTGACAAAGGCATTACAACAATCACCATTAATCGGCCCGAGGTCAGAAACGCCGTCAACCATGCCACATCACTAAAGCTAGCCGAGGCCTTTCAAAAGTTTGAAAACGACGCCGCCCAGAAAGTGTGCATCTTTACAGGAGCCGGCACCAACTTTTGCGCTGGCTATGACCTGCACGAAGTAGCCGGCAACAACAACAGCGGCGAGCTGGCTGTCGCCCGCCCGGTGGACAAGGTCAACGGAGCCTTCGGTCCCATGGGCCCCTCGCGCATGCAGCTGAGCAAGCCCGTCATCGCCGCCATTTCCGGCCACGCCGTCGCCGGCGGCCTCGAGCTGTCCCTGCTGGCCGACTTGCGCGTCGTCGACACCACGGCCGTCTTTGGCGTCTTTTGCCGTCGCTTCGGCGTCCCGCTCATCGACGGCGGCACGGTGCGGCTCCCCAAAATCGTCGGCCAGGGCCGGGCGCTCGACATGATTCTCACGGGCCGGCCCGTCGACGCCCAGGAGGCTCTGTCGTTTGGCTTGGCGAACCGCGTCGTCGCAAAGGGGCAAGCAGTCGAGGCGGCGAGGGAGCTGGCGAGGAGCTTACTGGGCTTTCCGCAAAAGTGCATGCGGGCAGATCTCGTGTCTGCTCATTATAGTGTGTATGACGCATCTAGTCTTGAAGATTCATTGCGTTTTGAGTTTGAAAAGGGCGTATCGGTCGTGGCGGAGGAAAGTGTCCACGGCGCCCGGAGATTTGACAAGGGCGCGGGACGTGGAGGAAAGTTTGACAAGGCGAAAATATGAATCGGCGTCGAATTTCACAAGGAGAGAAAAAGCAAAAAATAAAATAAAAAATAAAAATAAAAATAAAAAAAATAAATGAATGAAACCAAAAAAATTGTCGGGTTTCCCACAACTCACTTGCCCCTTTACTTGGCAAGCCAGTGAAACCATCTGTAGACAAAAACCGTATCAACATCAATTTAGCCATCGAAGATTGGGCTTCCTACCTTACCAATCAACCTATTCCTCACATGGAAAAATGAAAACTCACTTAATTTTGAGAAGAGATGGCAAGCCCGGCTGCTTACGGGGATCATATCGCAGAATCAACCACTCCATCCCCGCGTATTCCACGGCAGCTCTTGGCGCAGATTTCGAATTGTTGATGGGAATGGGACTGCTCCGCCGCTCACTGGCAAGCAGCCATTGACTCGAGATAGTAGGCTCACTCAGAGGCGAGGGGCTAAAAAAAAACAAAAAACAAAAAAGAAGATAGGAAAAGCCAAGCACATCGTTTTAAATTTATATGCCAATGTAGCAAAGTCTGGTTCTTCCTCGATTATGACAGCGTGAAACGCCCAAAGCTGGCAACCTTTTGAGTTTCACAACATTTAAAAATCAAAAATTAGCATTTATATATCGTCATAGGAATATACTCTTTACAAAAGGCTACTGTTCGTTACTTGTATTACCTGCCCCAGCGGAATCCCACGGGCCTTGCCTTTTGCTCCCAACAACAAACACCAAAACAGCCATATTCACACAGTGGTATCTCGGTCCAGCTTGAACAAATCAAACTCTTGCTTTCAGGAAACGCGCCCGTTGATTCGAAACAGAGAGTTACTATATCCGATTTAAACGACGCGGGCTGTGGCATCGGCATCCTGCTTCTCGCGCAAGTCGTTTTCCGCGTGCTTGGCCTTGAGGCAGTTGACCATGGCGGCGGGAGCATGGATAATCTGCGCACCACTGAGAAAAGAGAATCAGTTTGCAATTCCGGAAAAGAGGGAATTTTTTTTCGTAAAAAAAAAAGAAAAAGAAAAAAAAAAGAATACGTACGCAGCAACAAGACCGAGAAACCCGCATGCGACGCGGCGGCTGGAGACGTCTCCGTCCAAACGACCGTCAGTGCCACGATGGCCTCTGATAGAGAAGCCGTAGTAGGTGCTCAGGACCAGAAACGCAATGAGAAGAAGTTCAAAGGGAAACTTCATCATGGCCCTGCGCATGTTGGTCTCGGGGTGTCTATTTGTGACCACGCGAAAGCCGACGTGCAGGAGCATGACGCCAGAGAGCAGAAGCGAGAGAGCACCCTACAAATACAACATTAGTATTTCCCCTTTGAGACTGCGAATGTCTTTCCAGAATTTTGAAAATGAGTTTTGGGGAGTTGTCATACAAAAATATAAAGCATAGTAAAGGCCTTGGGCTCGTGGCTCGTGGCGCCCGTAATGACAGATGCGAGAATGAGCACAAAGGATGCGCCGCGGTTTACCGCGTCCCCGACGAGCTCCTTTCTGCTGACTTGATAAGTCATTATGGCTCAGTTGTCGAATTCACAAATATTTGAGATGTTTTTTTTTTCTTTTCTTTTTCGCTGACAGTTTTCTGGTTTCGAGAATGTCTCTAGGGCACGCGAGAAGAGGCGATCTGTGGAATGATTTGCGGGGGGAGAGAGCGGAGAGGGAGCGGAGAGGCAAAAAGGGAAAGGGGAAAAAGGCAAGATCGGGATGGCGGGTCGCATTTCTTTTTTGTTGTTTCTGGACCAAACAAACCGCGGCCAAAAAAGGCTACAACCTATTCGTACAGGTGAAGAAAAAATAACATGTGGCAGTCAGGTCTGTACCAAGCAGGGAGGGCAAGGCAGGTCCGGATAGCGCGGGTTGCATCGACGTCGAGCTAGTTGTGTGTACTTGTCCGTGTTGTCACTCGAGGCTTGCTCTACAGGTCATCCGCTTACCAATAGCGCACGCCACATACGATTACTTCTTTCTCCAGGTACCTGTTTTCTCAAGGTTGCGAGGCCCGACCATCACAAGCCCGTACTGTAACCAAACTGTCTACAGAGAGTACAAACCACCTGGTTATCTGACGCTCTTGCTCTACAGTCATTGTGCCCCTCATAACCAACGCTGCAAGTACATAAACAGCAGGTAGCAGTTTTTCCTTTTTTGGTGAGACAATCTCTTCCAGGAAAAAGGGTTGTAGTTACGCTTGGGACTCGCAGAAAGACTCGGTAGAGATAGATACACACACCAAGTGTAGCTGGTAGAAAAAACTCTGGGGAAAGCGGCCGAACCCCGCGCTGGAGTAGACTCGCCACCGATTATTGTTTTAGTTTATTAGCTATAACTCGCCCCGTCTTTTTGCTTTCCTCTGCTGTCAGTCGTGCATTTTCAAGCCACATAGCACGGAGACTAGCCAAATCAAGCTGGACCGCCGTGGGCCGGAAATTGGTATCGAAAATTCCAACCCAGCAAGCTGCGGGCAGAGGTGGGTTGGGTCTCCTTTTGAACGATATCCCATTATTACCCAAAACACGTGCGGGGGGGAGAAACTCTTGCACGAACGATGAGCTGACGTTGGGGCGATAATGTGCAGCCATGAGAATACCACATGCTTTGAACTGGCGGTCCAGTCTGGCAGAACAAACAAAACAGGCGAATTTTCCTCGAATTTGCATGTGATGAGCCCAGTGAAGCTTCACCCTTTTCCTCTTCGGGCGCAGAGCATCTCTTTGGGGTTAGGAAGTCCTTGCAGCCACAAAAGCTACCGATGCGCCGAATCCAGTTCGTCGAACAAGCAACCAAATGCTGACTTTGACTTTCAGATTCTGTTTGGATTTGTTTGTTTGTTGATTGATATATGGCACTGCCTTCTCCGTCGCATGACGCGGTCCCGACAGTATTAACTAGAAGCATGAGGCATTCATTGTGTCATTTCGCTACTCATGCACTGGGTGTGGTGCGTTTGTTTTGTATCCCTGTCAGGTAATAACTCTCCACTGAACATTAACCCCTGTCCGATAAATACATTTAGCTCTCGTATGTCGCCCTTCCTTGTCGGTACTCAGCGCCTTGCCATGGCGGTTGTGGCTGCTTCTTCACTCGCCAATCGCCCACTGCTCCCGCCAAGCTAGAGTAGCAGCCAGGAATGCTAGGCTGTTCATGTCAGGGTCGCTCTTTGCCTTTTCAATTAATGACTTGTACTCTTCCAGCGAGCCAAACCTGTAGATGGCCACCTTGTCCCCACCCGAGACAAACTCAGCTTCGGCATCAATAGCGGCCGACAGCTTCTGCGCGGCTTCCCACGCCGCTGCGACGTCGCCCCCCAAGCCCATGGCGCTATAAAGCTCCGTCCACGAGCCCTTGTCCATCTTTGACGAAAACACAATATCTGTGAGTAAGCTTCCTTTGCATTGCACGCTTTGCTTGGCAATCTGTGTCAATGCATTGGCTGCCTCTGTCGAGAGGAACATGACCGGCAGCACAGTTGGTGTTGGAAGAGAGTTCTGCGTCGATGAAGCGTCAAGGCCACTCTTACCCAAGGCCTTTTGCAATGCAGCTTGAGCAGGTCGCAATACGTCGTCTGCGTTGGGCGCGCAAGTAAGTACGCAAACATCGGCGGTTGGCGCTTGGAGCTCCTTGCTCAATACAAAACAAGATGCGTCATCCACGATCCAACGCCCACCTCTTCCGAAATGAAACTGTTGGCAAGTGAGTAGAACCAGCTCGAGCGGCGAAGCGCCCCAAGGACCAGGGGCGAAAAGCTTGCTGCCCTGTCGCCCGAACGAGGTGGAATCATCACCAGTGGCCTGTACAGAGATGATTCGCAGCGCACTTTTTTCCTTCTCCGATATCCCAGAAGCGTCAAAGAAAGCGTTGGCCTGCAATATACCGGAAAGTACCGCATCTGTTGAGCCCTTCTCCTCTGCCAGACCATGAAGCACAATACAGGGAAATTTCAGGTCCGATATTGGCAGAGAGGAGCTGTAAATGCCCATATGCAGGGGGAAACATTTACCTCGTAGACGCGGGAGCAGATCCCTTGCAGTAGCCATCTGGTTGGCTGGCACTAGAATCTCCAACACATCCCACAGAGGCTCCGCGACGCGAGACTTGAGCAGCGACTGTTGCACTGCGCGGATACCCGCCGTAGTGTCCTGCTCGCCGCTGCTTGCGAACCAGTCGTCCAACTTGTGTTCAGAAATAGTATCATTTAGAGTGGCCAAGACACTGTTGAGCTTATCCAAGCCAATCAGGAAAAGCGGAATCACCTCGTGCACAGTGTCGCGGCCTAATGCGCAGGCAGCGTCGGCAACAAAGTTGGCAGCCTCGCCCAGCAAGACGCGCTTCCGCAGAGCGTCAAATCCCGCGGGCTCAACCATGTTGACCCATTTCATAAATTCCGCTTTTGATGACAGCGCATCAAAGAAGCCCGCGTCGGCCTGTCTCATGGTGTCGGAGCCGGAGTGGTGATCGAAGCTTATCCTAAAGTCAGTGCCCTGGCCCTGCAGCTTTAAAAAGCCATGCCGTATCTCGGAAAACGCCGAGAGCGAAAACTTTAGCTTAGAAAGCTCGTACGCGTAGTCGCCAGGCTCAAAGTCCCGCGTCTTGGCAAAGTCGCTGAGCAGGTGCACGCCTCGCGGATCAATCAGCGCAACTGGCCGGTTGGCCGACGGGCCGACGCAGCACAGAATGTTGTGGAGATTCAGGTCGCCATGGATCTCCCCTATTAAAGTTGGAGAAATGGCTTCAATGGCGGGATGGCTGCGCAACTGTTCCATGACGGAGTGAAATCCCAGAAGGGTTCGGCCGTTGAGAACAACCTCGCGACTGTCGATGATGGCGCCTAGCTCGGGCACGGCGGCACGGGCAATCGCCACGCGTCTGTCGATTCTATCAAAGTGCGCCTTTTCGATAAAGTCCTTTGGCGCCTCCGTCGCAGTTTTTGGCCAGACCTTTTGGGCCATTTCACCCAGAAGCTCGCTTGTCGTGTCCAGCAGCAAGTTGCCCCCCATGCCTGCCATGGCGAGTTGTGCCAGAGTCTGGCTGGCCAGGTAGGGAAAGTCGATGGAGAATGTTTCGTCATTTGCCGTGAATTTGAGAGGCTTGACAAAGATGTCAGTTTCTTTCACAGCGATACTTGTCTCCAGAAACCTGTTCTGGCGCTCCAGCCAGGGCCGCCCGTTCTCGTCAATGCCGTCGTGCGAGCATGTCTTGTGCACCTCCAATGTGCCGTCTGGCTGAACCATCAAAGAGACATTGGCTGAGGAGCCACTTTCATCGAGGTGTACCGAGGTATTCTGGTGCGACTGGTCGGATTGCTGTGTGAGGAGAAGACCGCGTGGCCCAATGACGGCTCTCACTGTAAGACCGTCCAGCACGACATCACCGGCGCGCCAGGTATCTTTTGACGAAATGCAGTCGTTGATGTTGTCGACGGAGATGCCGTTTTCTGTAATTGTGCTCCCCGGGACTAGAGCCGTCCATGGAGAAGCCTCTGGAGACTTGCTGATGACAGGGATGACAAGATGGCCGCGAAATTTGTCCGCAAGCCCATCAATGTCGGAATAACCATCGCTAGTGACAGAGGAGGCGACATGGGTCTTCTCAGTACCATTTTGGTAATCCTCTGCCTTGGCTCCTTGGTACAGCTGCTGCGATTTTTCCGCGACAGATGCATTCGTTGGTCTTGGCTCGGAGTCGACCGCCATGATGATGATGGCTTCGCTGGGGGATGCGGCTGAAGGACGATCGTCTCGGCCGCGACGCTAGCGCGGACGGCGGTATTATATATCCTCGCACCTATTGATCTGCTGAACATGTTTCACCCGTCGGCAGCCTCGTATACACGATTGACGATCCAGGTTATACACCGCTAATCTCAAAGTGGGCTGTTGCCAGTTTCTCGGGGTCTGGACCGTCCCAAATGCGGGGGCCAATGCAGTCTGTTACCATTCACAACCTGCCATGTCGCATAAAGAGCGAGCCACTGCCGGTTGAAGCTGGCTCAACGGTGTCTTTGAGGCTTCCAAACATAATTCACGTATAGTTCGACTTGTTTGATGGGTAGTGTCCTCCCCTATCGACAGTCAATCTGTTAAGAAGAGGCATCTTTTTTACGCCTCAGCTTGGCAACAGTGGAGTGCGCATGTTGAGGCTCCTCAGAGAGCCACATGTATGGCCCAAAGGGAGGGCGCTGGTGGCGTCGAATGAGAGCGGTCACCGTTGAAAAATCGCCCGACCTCTCGAAGTCTAGATTATCCTTGCCTCACAGTTTCAGTTGGATGCAAATGCGGTTCCGCGGCTGGGAACTTGGTTCATCTTTCCTGTGGAGGCTTCCCGTATGCATTTCTCAGACAATCTGGGAGACACGATGAAGAATCGAAGAAGATAAAAAATCGAAGAAGATAAAAAATCGAAGAAGAAAAAATAGCCAGGATAAGAGCTACGAGCGACAGTGTTCGAGAATCACGTTATTTAGACCTTATGCAGGGCAGAGCAACCAATCGAGGACTGCTTTGCATGTACAAAAGTACCTGGTGGCGTTAAGAGATGGACGCGCGGGTACCAGCTGTGTAGCGTACGGAGCGAAGCGAAAGAGCTCGAAAGGTATTGTTGTCACGAAGAAATGATTCGGTGCGTCTTGTCGGTAGGCGTGAGACGAAACACATACGCTATAGAGCACGTGACCTAACAATTTGCGCCTCACTGCAACGAGATTTATCTGGGCCATCAATTACCAGGAAAACCACTGTCGAATCTGACAGTGTGCAAATGATTTTATTACAGATCAAACAAACCATTTCCTGAATGCAACAAGTCCGTGTACGGCCTTAGGTCGTAAGTTGGCTAGCGGTAGCGCCGTCTGTACAGTTCTAGCGGCTCTCTAGAATTAAGCTCAAGGTGTCGTAGTAGAAATGCTGCGGATCCACACCTTTATTGATGTGAATTAGGCCTGATATAGGTTCATACAAGGTTTTTCGGCCGAGAGCGCATCAAAGTGTATCCGTAGTCGTGTAACGCCTCGGCTTATCTTCAACTAGAGCCCTGCCTGTCCCTGTTTATGGAATCGGGTAGAACAAGCATAAGCATAATCAAGTGCGCTTCTACAAAGAACCTAGCACAGGTCAAGTGATGGACGACTTCGATGTGCAAACTGTAAGCCAAATTGCCTGTATCATTCAAAGACACGTCACTCTATACTAAGATAATCTATCGAAATTTCACCAACTATATTGTGAATCTCCTGTCGATCACTTGAACATTGGGCTTCTCCCACGTAATCTGCCCAATATTGCCAAAGTCCTCATCTTCTTAGTTGAGATCCTCCAAGAACTCAACAACGAGATCGGCCGGTGGCTCGCCGACATCTGCCGCCTTGTCCTGGCGACGGACACGAAGACCCTTGTCGGCACGACGCGCAGGGGCCTTGTCCAGGCTCTCCTGCGTAGTAATCATGTGCGAGTACGGCTGGCCCGAGGCGTTTAGAATCGGCACCGTAATCTCGCAACTTTCCGTCTTGTTAAAGTCCCTGTTGCACTCCTTGTTGGCAAAGTCCAAAAACTGCTGGCACGGCTGGAAGAACGAGTCCATGACGTCGGACGTGGGGTATTTGCTCGCAATCGGCGTCTGGCCAAAGGTGCCGCAGGGATCGATGCCGCCGCCGCAGTCAATCATGGGGTAGGAGAGGCAGTTGCCCGGGAGCGTCGCCTGGTAGGTGATGGTCTGGATCGTGCAGCGGTGCTCGGGGGGGCAAAACTTTTCCACCGAGCGCTCCGTGGTCGTCGCCTTGGCCTCGGCGTACTGCTCGCTGTACTCGCCCGAGATGTCGCCGCCGATGAGGGACGCGACGGGCTTGGCGGGGGACAGCTTGAGGCCGACCTTCCAGCCCTTGGTGGTGGTGCCCGTCAGCATGGTCGACGTCTTGGTGGTGACCTTGTCGGGCTGCGGGGTGCCGCCCTCGTGTCGCGTCTCCAGATCAGCGTCCACGTTGGCGTGCGCGGTAATGGTCACGTCGCCGACGCCCTCGAGCCACTTCATGTTTCTAAAGTAGACGGTGCTGCAGCTGGTAATCTTGCCAGCGCAGACCGGCTCGTTGGCAAGGTCGGCCGTCGTCCATGGCGGGTTTGCGTTGTTGACGGTAAGGGACAGGGACCGCTGCAGGTCGGCAACGCGGCTCTTGACCTGGTCGACCGTGACAATGTCCTTGGCTGTGTCAAAAGACCACACGCGGCCGGTAAGGACAGTGAAAACAACGAGCTGAACAATAGCGTGCATTTTGATGATCTGTGAAGCTTGATAGCGAATGGCTAGTAAAAACTAGAAAATAACGGGTTAGTATGCTGGATAAGATGTTGGTCTGGTGGTTGGTCATACTTTTTTGTTGAAGGAGTGTGTTCTGAGTTCTTAGAATGAGAGGCGAGTGTCTTTGGAGTGATGATGCTGTGTGATGAGCATTGACTTTTCAAGCGGCGCATCACCCTCTTTATAGGAAAGTTTGGTCTTCTTCCACGGTCCCCATCTATACAAGATAACAGTACAATACGTTGATGTAGAGCTGTTTCTCGGAACAACGTACCGCACGGCATATCGGAACCTTCGGCAGGAAGCCCTATGCTAATAGCCACACCCTTTGACGACTCATTCATAATCAGCATCATCCCATACTACCCAAAACCAAGCGTGATCAAGTCAAGCATACAAGACACTAGTCAGCGCATGTAAAGCGGGCGGACCGGAGTTTCTCGGTTGACCAAAGCGGTTCAATAAGTCAAAAAATTGTGGTGGTCTGATTTCGTGGACCAGTGCATAGTGCATCCCCGTCGACCAAAGAGGTGCACAAACCGGCACATTCATGCTCAACAACACCGACGGATCATTATGGTAGTAGCTCAGCACTATGCTATAATGTTCAACATGAAACTAGTGGAGAGTAGCATAGCCCAGAAATAAAAGGCCGTTTTGGCTTTACACTGGCCGGAGTATGATCACTCTGCTTCTATCACGCGCATTAGCCGCGACGCTCTTCGACTAGCAGCCTCTATGTAGTTGACTTGTGGCTCTGTAGTAGCGAAAGATTACGCCTCAATCATTTTAAAGCAAGGGAAAGAATATATTAGAGAAGTGCCTGCTGAATAGGCCAGGGCATGGGGTTGTCAGAAATCGCCACAGGATGAGATTCTTACCAACCGTGTATTGCTGAGCGGCTGCTACTCGGATGCCTCCTAACTTGGCTGCCAAGAGAGATAACTATGGCCCTCTACTTACTAGGCTTGGATTCAAACAGTCTCCTGGTCTTCTGTTCTCCGTTGCTCTCCTGACGATGACGACAACGTCCATGCTGAAGAGTCAAGCAAGTTATGTATGGACACTAGATTCCCACCTCAAGCGACAATGTTGAAACCTTGGCTTGTCCATGTCTTTCTCCATTCTTCGTTTTAGTTTTACAGCCTTGTCTTATAGGCCATTTATGTATGGCCAGGATCGGGCGCTCATGAGTGCCTGAATCGCCATCGGGGAGCCTGGGGGCAGTACAGTACGCGGTTATGGCGCCAAGGATGCCTACGCTACCCAGCATTATTACGGGTTCGTATTAGCACGTCATGAAACATGTTGGTGCGTTCAGTAGGCAACTCTGGTAAACGCGCATTCTAGACAGCGACCTTGTTGTCATCATGCATCCCTGCGGGCCGTGCTCAATGCAGCACTCACTACTCGTGTCAGACTCTCAATGAATGACTTTTTCGGCTTTACGTTTGACTACGGCCATGCCGAAGATCCCGCAGCTGGGACGCGGGTCCAGAACGAAGATCTTTCATTCTCCGAGAGTTTCATGATTCTGCTCAGCCTATTATAAGTGGGCACTTCAATGCTCAATGAAAAGTTGTAACGGTTGTGTCGCTACTACTTACTACCAGCAGCAAGAGACTAAAAGTGCTACGCGTCTATGGACAGGCAGTACTAATGAATGAACTATATTGGAGCTGCCGCTACCACACGTTGATAGACGGCATTTGAGCAGCTGGACTTTGCAGCAATGTAGAGTTAAAAATGGACTGTGAATCAATTAAACTTTGCAGTTTCAAGTTTCTTTAAAGCCGTCTTTGATGGCCCTACCAATTCTTGGCGCTTGGCCTTGTTGGGATGGCCGCGAACACCCGCAGCCCTGTCATTTATGCCCCGCGTTCACGTGGGAGCACCAACAAACGCATGTGGCCTTATGGAGAGTCAGTCAAGAGTCAACTTCCTGGCCTATTTAGCCACCTACTATAAGGCATCAAACTCCGACTACGAGACGGTGGCCGCAACAGTTGATAGAACTTTAGAAAAACACAATTGGCACAGTATGCCGCCCAAACGTCATTGATTGTGTAAGAAGATTATGGAAAACTAGGTGGTTTAGTTGTTAAGTAGGGATCTACCTGTATTTGATCGCCGTGGAAGAAGCTCGCCCGGCTGGACCGGGGAAGCCGGGGTCCCGGCCGAAGGCCTGTTTCACCATAACCCGCTGAAGCACACAACTATTGACCAGTAACCATAAAACAGCGGCGATTAGTTATGGAACAACAATCATATAGCCTGGGAATTTAGAGCCGCTGTACTAGTTGCTGGCATATGATGCTGGGATTGGTTTCATTTTCATTGTACGTACTCTGCTATGATGTTTTGCTAATATTGTCATCCATAAAGACATGCCAAGGCATCTGGTAACTGCCACAGTGATAGAAGTGGGTACTCGTGTTCCACCGTAACAAACCACCGTAATAAACCGCGCCACAAGCTTATAAACGCAAATGGGATACAACAGAGTAAATCCAGCTTAGAGTTACTTGAAGCGAGCAAATGGAGGCCTTCTTCTCTTATCTCTCATTTGATAAAGTTCAAGCACTGCAGCTCCATCACGCTCACTGGCGAGACTGCCAACTGTCAACACTGATGATATATTGCCGGAGCGTCTGTATCTCAGCACAAGACAGCAACAGCACTGTTGGACACCGTTCTTTGAAGGCTCATCAGGTATCCAATACTCTTTTGGGCTCGTGTGCAGGTCTTCTCAGCCACCATCGCAAACATGAGTGCGTGGCGGCGGTTTTTGTCCGCGAGGTACCGTCGGCGCGGCGGCTGTGCCAGTCTTGAATGTAGCCGTTGGGGCGCATGCGCAGCGGCCGCCCCATGAGCATCAGCATGAGCTGCGTGCCCTTGAACCTGCACTAGGCTAAATGGAAAGAAGTCGTTCGGAATGGTAATGTGTACTTCCACGACATAGGTCAATCTGCAGTCAACCGGCCAGTAGAGTGCGAGGGGGCCTGGGCCGGGGACAGCGTTCCTTGACACTGTCGGAGGGCAACCAGTGTACTGTAGGGGGGCCGGGCCAGGCCGGGGAAGACTATCGGACGACAGCCAGTAGATTGCGAGGGGGCCCGGGCCGGGGACGTCGTTCCTTGACAGACTGTCGGAGGGCAACCAGTGTATTGCGAGGAGGCCCTGTGACATTATGGTTTGAATCTGCATAAATTAGATACTAGACTCTTGGAAGGCAATTGATAGATGGTCAGCTAGGACATACCTCTGTCTCACTTCATATGCCATCTTTTGACAGACTGCTGGAGAGCAACCAGTAAATCGTAGAGGGGTCAGGCTAGGGACATCATCCTTTGACAGACTGTTGGAGGGCAGCCAGTAGATTGAGAGGGGGTCGAGCCGGAAGACTGTCGGAGGGCAAACTGTATATTGCGAGAGGGGGCTGGGCAATCATTGTTTGAATCTGTATAAATTAGATGCTGAAATTTCAAAAGGCAACTGTTCGACTATCAGCCGGGACATACCATTGTCTGACTGCGAGTGTCGTCCTTACAGTGCCAGATAGAGTCCTTCAAATGTAGGTCGAAGATGGCTGAAAGGAGCAAGAGCCCTGTATATATTGCGAGCACCCAAAGGGCCCCGAATGGACCAACGACTGGACCGTAGAATGCTCCGTGCCGGGCAAAGTCTTTCGATTGTCGATTAAAGATCGTCGAACGAACAAACGGACTGTACCTGTATATATTGCGAGCACTCGAAGGCTCCGTGCCGGGCAAAGTCTTTCGATTGTCGATCAAATATCATCGAACAAACGGACAAAAAGTCCTGTATATATTGCGAGCACCCGAAGGTCCCCGGCTGGACCAACGTTTGGACCGGGACTTGTCGAGGGGGGGGGGTGCAGGACTCACCTACTCCTGCTCCTCGTCTTGGGCTCGGTTCCCCTCTTGAGGCGGGTTGCCGGAGAAGAGAACTCTGATGATCGTCCAGACTAGTTCTCTGAAACGATCATCAGCCATCGCTTCCTTGAACCCTCTTTCGAGAGTCCCCTGAAGCTCCGGCGTGGTCCTCCAAACCGTCGCGCCACCAAGGATCACCGTGCACCAAGCCAAGAAGCAAGGAGAGGTGAGAAAAGAAATGATACTTCGGAGAGTCTAGTACACTCGTTAGCAAGACTCTGTATGAGCCTCTTGGAGAAAGCTAAGGAAGCGATGTGAAACAAGGGACCTTACTATCATTTTGAAAAAAAAAATTCCAAAAAATTTGGTAATAAATTGTTAAAAATTTCCAAAAAAAAAATGGAATCTCGTAGGTCGTGTCGTTGAGAAGAGAAAAAAGAGAAGATCGCAAAATGCATCAACCTTTGCTTGAAATATGGCAGGGCAGTCGTGCCTTCCCAACTCGAGACACATTGCGGGGGCTCTCGCTTAGAGACCAATTGACGAGCGGTGGGAGTTTGGCCTTCAATTAGTACAGGCAATAGTAAATTATCATACTGCTAATTTTCTTGCATTTGCTAATTCACTTTGCACTGCCTGCTGTTGTAGGTCAGAGCAGCTGAGATCACAAAAGTCCCTACCAGCATCATCACCCATTGCTTCCATCCACCAGGGACTCGCTCGCCCCTGTCGATGCGATTCCAACAAAAGAAGAAGAATGGGATAACAAAAGCCTTTAGAAAAAAGTCTGTCGTTTTTTCGTGTGTTGCATAGTAGTAGCAGCTACCAACCGTCGTTAGGTTCTCAGGAGCTTCCTCTGCTCTGGGAAGTTCTGGGCGGCCAGACAAAGACCCCCATTTATGGTTATAGATCAATTCGACCAGTCCAGAGAGCGGAATCATTGTGACTTGATTTTCGAGTGACGGTGATTGGCGGGCTTGATGATGGGTGCCAACGATGGGTCTTGATGATGGGTGTTGACGAGGGGTGTTGACGAGGGGCAGACTTTGTTTAGGCGTGTGCGATGTGGTGCAAAACTTGTGGAACAGAATTAGGGAAACATCAGCTTAAATAGCAGCAGCATACCGATATAAGTTTTTTTAAATTATCAGAGTTCAACTGTGGCGTTGCTGGTGGCTGCTGGATGTCGAAAGTTTTTCTTTTTGGGCATTTTTTTCCTTTGCGGTATCGGCAACGAGGCTGGCATATGTGGCGTAATGAGACGGTGGTCTCGATCGGAATGAAAGCGGCTGACTCCAATCATGCATATTTTATCTTGTTTGCGCTGTAATGATTGAACTTGTAGTGATTGGTTCCCACTGTACGAAGTAGACAGAGGTAGGATGATGGGCGTTGTTAATTGTTGACAGATTTTGTGGCCGAAAATGCGGGGGGATCTGCGCTGACACCCGCGGGAGTTTGTCGTTTGGTTGCATCGAATCAAGGTTAAATCTTTGTATCATTATCTTGTTTCCTGTTTCTGTTCTTTATATATGATCCTGCTAGATATCAATCCTTTTTTCCTTTCTTCTTCGTTGGCTATCTTCGAGTCTAGCGAGGTCCTTTGCTCTTCGTGCCCCACCCTAATGCCAGCCAATTTCTACCATTATACTCTGAAAACAAGCCACTTGTGTAATGCATCTTCACAATATACTTTGCTACGACGGATCGTCCATGATTTGTGGTGTAGCGGCTTATACAACCTTTGCAATCAAAGCCACGAAACCCAAAGCGCCGTTAGCATCTGCAGCCGTCTACTTTGCCTGCAACGCATACTGAAAGTAAAGCACGAGCAGTTTGGTCCTAGAGAGTCGATTTTTTACCATGTTCATGTCGGGGCCGAAGGTGTGTTGTAAACACTGTTGAATATATAATATACATGGTGAAATGCACGAGAAACCATATCTGCAGAGACGCGGAAGCAGATTTCGCGATGGATCAATTCAGGATTTCTGTCAACCACCAACTCCGTCTATACCGCCCGCTGCCATGCAAGTTCTAATCATACCGTCGTGATGTGGCTTCCCTATTTGACCCGTCTTCTTGCTTTGCCGCCCTTTTTCTCATTTCCTTTTTCCTTTTGCTGCGCCTTTCCCTTTTTCACCGCAGCCATGAGGCTCTCAATCTCCCTGACCTGCTCCTCCTCCTTTTTCTTCTCTTCATTCTTGACCTCGCTAGCCTTTTCCTGCGCCCGCTGCTTGGCAAGTCTCTTCTCCGTCTCTTCAATCAGCGCATCGCTCTCCTCCCAGAGCTTCTTGGATAGCTGCTCGTCCTTGATTTCGGCCCTCGCAAGATCCACCTCGCGGCATTCTTTGATCAGGCGGCCGCCAGATTTTCTCGTCAGATCCGACTCCATGGCCGCGTAGAGAATCGACTGCGCACCGCCGTTTGCAGACTTGAACAAGAGCCAAGGGAAAAAGTAGCCCAAGACGTAAAAGACTAGCCCGGTGAGGGAACCTCGTGTTAGCCATCGCAATGTTCCCGGTGTTCGACACAGGCCGGGGTCGGCAAAGACGACGCGCGCCGTCATGGGCATCTCGTCGGGTCGCTTGTACGCGTCGAGGTGCTTCTGGTACGCCAGGCCAAAGACGTTGAGCGCCAGCTTGCTGCGGCCGTACGCCCTCGACGGGGTCCAGTTCTCGGGCATCATGGCCTCGCGCAGCGACGGGGCGCCAATGTATGACGAGCAGGTAGCCATGATGACGCGGACCTCGCGGTCAAACGGCTGAGCGCGGATCGCGGGGCTCAGAATGCCCAGCAGGTGAAAGTTGGCCAGGTAGTTGACCATCCACATCTCCTCGACGCCGCTGCCGGCGTCTACCTCGATGCCGCCGCCGCCGCCGTCCACCTCGCGCCGACGGCCGCCGGGCGGCGTCATAGTGGACGCGCAGAGGATCACCATGTCGAGGCGGCGCGGGGGCGCATTGTCGATCCAGGCCGTCGCAAACTTGCGGACGCTGTGGAGGCTCGCGAGGTCGACGTGCTCGGCGTAGACGAGCTGGTTGTCCGCGCGGTCGCGCAGCTCCTGCACGTAGTCGGCGAGAAAGGGGTCCGACACGGGCGCGTGCGTGAGGAGCACCAGCTGCGCGCCGCGTCGCGCGAGCTCAAAGGCCACCTCGGCGCCGACCCCGGACGTCGCGCCCGTCATCATGACCACTTTGCCGTGCATGGGCTTGTTCGTCTCGTAGGTCGTGCCCGCCGTGTAGCGCTTGATCAGGTAGAGCAGAGTCAGCGTCGCAATGGCAATGGTAATGGGCACGGCCCGATCGCGGAGCCACTGGGGCGGACCATGCTCAAAGAGGTAGAATATCGTCGGCACAGGCATCGTCGCTGGGGGGGATGTGAGGGTTGACGGGAGACTGCTCAGGGTCCAGGGAGACAGACTGGATTTTGGTGACGTCGGGGGTGACCCACATGAGCTTGCGATTGAGTTTCATCAGAGCTTGCACCCAACCTACCGATTACAGTGGTGTATTTGCACGCGAGCTGTCCAGCCCAGCGACGGACTAGCTTTCGATGGAATTTCCTATTTGGTCGGCGTTCAACTTGATAAGCTTTGCGTGTCTCATCTCGGAAGTCTTGTGCTGAGGACCATACCACTATATCATGATTGCATTGCACTACCTTCCGACGGACGCTAGTTATTCTGACATGAGTTCGGTCGGATCACGCTGCTTTCTGTATCAAAACGGATTGCCTATTGTATGGTAGCTGGCATGGAAATTATAATCCCCATTATTTCAGATTCGACAAGCTTAGTAGCGTCATTATCTGTACAAGCTCAGTGCTATTCGTATCCGCATATAACCAACTATAGCTTACTATCCTTCCACACAGGTCGTCTCTTTTCCACAAAGCTCTTGACGCCTTCTTTTTGGTTCTCGCCTGCCTCCAGCAACTTGTAGATGCCCTCATCAATCTCCTGCGTGCTCTTGACCGGGTCAACCGGATCCCATCCACCCAGCAGGCCCGCCCTGGTGACAATGACCGAGTCGGGCGAATTGCCTGCCAGCTCACCCGCCCATCTCAGCGCCTCATCCACCACGCTGCCTCCTTCAGGCACAATGTGATTGACCACGCCCCACGAGCGCATCTCCTCCGCTGCGTATGTGCGTCCGAGAAGCGCCATCTCCGACGCGCGCTGCCGGCCGACAATGCGCGTCAGCCGCGGCAGGGCACCAGCCACGGCCACTACACCAATCTTGACCTCGGGCAGGCCGAAGCGCGCCGCCGCTGCGGCCACAATCATGTCGGCCGCCAGCGCCATCTCCATGCCGCCGCCGAGACACAGGCCGTTGACTGCGGCGATGACGGGCTTCTTGCCGCGGCGGTTGCTCAGGCCGCCGAAGCCGCTCGTTGCCCACGAGGGGTCGCGCTCGCCCGCGGCGCCGATGGCCTGGCCGGCGGCCGCCTTGTCATTCCACTCCTTGAGGTCGGCGCCCGCGCAAAAGGCCTTGCCGGCGCCGGTGAGGACGGCGCACCGCAGCGAGGGCTCTGCGTCGTACCACGCCCACAGCGCGGCGAGCTGCGGGTGCAGGGGCCGCGGGATGGCGTTGAAGGCCTTGGGGCGGTTGAGAGTGACGACGAGGACGTGGGGTTGAGGGAAGCTTATGTCCGTGTCGTGCACGGCGGGCGGCTGCTTCGTGAACGTCATGATCGGAGGACTCAAAAGAGAATTGAATTCAAAGGTTATGAGCTGAGTTTGCCGGATTGATAATGGGCCTGAGGAATTTTATACATCAAGGCATTCGTCAATTGTTCGACCGGTCTTTTCGGTAACCGGTGATAGCTCCGTTGCGGTCGCATATTAACTAGCTCCATGCCGCCAAGAGTGGGAAACTAGATCGAGAATACAAGCAAAAAACAGGCTCAGAACCCTCTGACCTAGCTTAGCTTGCATATAAATGGCTCTCATATTATATCGCGTTGTGACATTTCGCCGTCACACTTATCATATGTGTCTTTCTTATTATCAGCGGACCGGAGTTTCACGTATGGCTGTAGCCTGTACGTGGGGGCTGCCTCGGCGCGCGAGGGGAAGCTATATGATAGGCCGGCGACAGGAAGCTATATGATAGGCCGGCGACAGGTTAAGTACCGATGCAAGCCTAGCTGTCGTTGCAAAAGTATGCTTCAAGAATTGAAATTGATATATGAAGGTGGTGTATGAGCCAGAAATGCTGTTGTTGTAGACCGGACGCTTCGAGGTATAGTTTACCAAAGTTGACGCGAGGAGTAACCTATAGCTGCCACGGTATTAATATTTTGTTCATTCGCTTTTACCGATGAGAGCGCTTCGACGATTGAAACCGTTCAAAAGTAATTCGGCAAGGCGTTATTGTGACCGTGACCTGGCGTATCCAATTTTGAACAAGTATGCATGCAAGAGAGACAACAGAAGAACAAGATTATGCAAAGCAAAAGACCCTACTTGTAAAAAAAAGGACCACGTCTCACTGCTCGATAGCCCGCAAATATGCTGCTACATCTGGCGACAGCATGCCATCGACGACGAGCTGCTCCGCCGACGCAATGATCCACGACTGACAGTTCCTCTGCACAATCCTCTTGCCCACCGACCCCTCGACGCCCACCGTATTCAGCGTCTTGCCTGGCGCCTTGACCTTGAACAGGCTCTCCTCGAGCGCGCCGACCGGCACCGTGTCAAACTTGAGCTGCCCGTAATTCAGCATCGCCTGCTCATCGAGTTGCGACGGTGGCGGCGCCGCCGTCAGCCACTGCAGCGGGATGCGCCTGCTAGGCCGGTTGTCAGGCTCGCCGAGGTCAAAGGAGCGCTTCACCTCGAGGCGGAACCCGTTGGCGACGTCGCCGGTCGCGTGGATGACGACGCCGACGTCAGGGTGCCGGCGCGAGCGCACAAAGTAGGACCAGTGGTCCTTGAAGGGATAGCCGTTTGCGGTGATGAGTTCGGGGAGGAGCGCGTCGGGAGGTGTTCGGGGGGTTAAAGCAACCGTAGGAGGTGTTGGCTCGGGCTGGTGGTTGGCGGCGGGCACTGTTGGGCATGGGAGAGGAGGCGGAGGAGGTGCGCTAGGACAAGACATGTAGGATGAGATGGGGGGGAGAAGAAAAACAGAGGATGTATCTGATTCCTCTGGGTGGTGTCAATTGGGACTTGACGCCAGCAAGCGTTTTGCGGAAAACGTGCGTTTGCAGAAGTTGACTGCAGCAAACTCGAACTTACGCTGTTGCCTGCGCAGGGTACTTGGAGCTCACGCGTACGGCGGCTCTCGAGTCGCATTCTCACGGAGCGTCGCAGGTAATTTGAGACTGCATCATATCATGGGCTTTTCTTTTACTCTACCTACTGTTGAAATTAAACACCAGTCAATGCTGATGATCAAACTTGCAGCTTCGGAGATCCCCCGTCCTCAGTGGCCGCTTCTTGGGATTCTAACTACTGCTTCCCGAACTGAGATTAGCGATTCTCAACCGCTTGAGATGACCCGATCATATAAAAACGCACCTCATGCTCCGCAGCCCCATTCTGGTAGAAAAAAGCGTCATTGACGCATTTGTCATCGACGCATTTGTCATCGACGCATTTTCCATCGGAATCATGTTTCCTCCCAATCTAAACCTCGTTCTGGGGTAACCGGATCAGCACCAACACCAGGAACTTTCTCAGTTATTGAAGCTCAATTGAGTCAATTGCACTTGTATGAATATCGGACATCAATCTCACCAGGTCTAAACCCACCTCGAAACGATACCAGTATTATCTGCATTACAGCAACCAGCTAATGATGTGTTAGCCCATCGAAAATTCCCAAACTACAACATGTCATCACTGCAATTCAAAACCCCTCCGGGCGCAGCTGAAAAGCACAGCGACCTGGGCCATTACTCACAATCGGTCGATCTTGGCAATGGCATTGTCAAATGCTCTGGACAAGGGGGATGGCACCCTGAGACGGGTGCTCTGGATGCTACTGACAGCTCCAAACAGGTGGCGCTAGCTATGGAGAATGTTGATATCGTTCTGAAGAACGCAGGGCTACGAGGATGGGAGGATGTTTACCTGCTTCGGTCATACCACTGCGATATTACGGCTTCCTGGGAGCCTACCGCCGAAGCTCTGAGGAAGCGGATTCCCGGCCATCATCCTATATGGACGGCTGTTGGAGTGCCTAGACTGGCTTTCCCTGAGATGCTTATCGAACTTGAGGTCGAAGCAAAGCGTCAGAGCTGACGGCGGTTAGCTATTTAGGTTTGAAAGTTGGCTCTTCTGGTCCAGTCTTACAGAACACCAAGGCAGTATATCCATCTATGTACATGTAGTGTCGCTATTCGTTCCCTTCTATTTGAGTCTTACCATGGAGGTAAATATTGCACTAGTCAAACCAGTCCCAGTATACATCCCAAGGATCCACCTCAAAGAGCGCAAATGAGCTTCTTGTCCAACAGCTTGCCAGCCTTGAGCTCCTTCATGCCCGCATACACGAGGACCGGCCTCGGGTCAGGGTTCTCAAGCAGCGGGTTCCCGGGAACGCCCACGCTTTTGAAGACTGCCAGGCCGGGCTGTCATGAATCCCATGCTCATGCTCGACGACACCGGCAAAATCGCTGCCGGCGATGGCGCCTGCTGTGGCGTATGGGCCGACCATCTTGGTGTCGACAGGGTTCACGGCGACGGCCCTATTCTGGACCAGAACTACATCGTCCGTGACTAGAGGGATTGGGGCTGCATGGGACAGAACAAGCTCGGCATCCGCGTTGCCGACAATGGCGGTTTGAGTATGATGGGCAGTGCCCAGTTTCGTTCCTTTCATGGCTGGAGGTGTGAAAATAGCTGGCGGGGTATGAGTTGGAGAAAGCGCGTTTTGCAACTTGCACTGTTGCAATTTCGCAATAATGCATCCATATAATAAACGCCATTACTGCGTAGCTGCAAGCAGGCGAGATTCCGGCATCCGATAGAATGCCAGCGTAGACGCGCCGAAAATACCGAAAAATTCCGTAGCCGTTTCGTTTTTTTTTTTTACTGCTTTAAAGAGGCACAATAGATTTAGGTGCTATAAGGAAGGAAGGGAGCCAGGACGAGAAAGACGACAGCCAGCCAATTATTGCTTAGAATGCATGCTCGGTGCTATGTCGTCGTGGTTACGGGTACTAGGCGCTCTGAGTATCGGGTAGGGGCGATTATTACTCGGATTATAACATCAGCCACTCACTTATCAGCTATAGCTACTTCTAGGTTGCCTATCATTAACATGAAATATTATATAAAACTTCATACTAAACATTATAAATGTTCTAGATGTTATAGAAAATTAAAATATATAATATTCATATTCTTAGTGAATATCTCTTCAAGTACTAATAAAAGTATAGAATACTTAGTAAGTACAGTACAAGAGACTTCTACCTTGACCTTTGAATTTAATACTATTTTATTATAAAAATACCTGCATAATTATTATAAAAGATTATTACTTATTAGTCATTTAACTGATATCATTCATGATAAATTTCCTTACTCAAGTACCAGGAATTGATTCATTACAATAGACGCGCTACTTACTATTAGAGTACCGCGTCGTACCTACGCTAAATCACTTGCTCCTTCCTGACAGTCAACGGGATAAAACAGTTGAAAAGTTGCCTACCTTATACACCTGTTGAGAGGAAATTCTGGCATAGGTAGAGGCTCTTGGAAAACACCCTCCGAGGTACCTAGACCAAGGGCAAAGTCGCTGATTTAAAAGTGACCAACAAGTCATGGCGGATTTCTCGGCGCCTCGGGTGAGGCCACCAAGCTAGGCCGCTAGCGCTGACAGACACACCATTTACTGACATTGACAGCTGCAAGATTGCCATCTAGACGTCCATTCCGACATTGAACCACCACTGCTCGCATCACGACATCACGGCTATACCTGCACCTATCTGCAGCCAGTCAGCAATGCGTCTCTCCGGCCTCCAGAAGGAGGTTCTAGCCCTCTACCGTCATTGTCTTCGCGAGAGCCGCAAGAAGCCCGAGGTACCAGCGGTGCCCTACCCCAACGCGTTCAGTTCGGCTGCCTATCCGGCTGCAACATCATTTTCACCGCTTAACTAATCGCTCAATCCTTCTTCGCAGGCCACTAGACCGCATTTTCAAGCTTTTGCGAGGTAAGTTTGTTTGCTGCCTGGTGTGTTTGTCTGGGCGTCGCTGATAGTCGCCTTCCAGGTCAGAATTTGCCAAGAGTCGAGATATTGACAAGCGAGACTTTGCAGCCATTGAGTTTCTACTGCGCAAAGGAAAACGTCAGCTTCAAGTATACTCCTCTAGCGGAATCAAGGACATAAGATAGCCGTGCACCTGCCCTCGCCATGTCTGCCCTCGTGCCGTGGCTTGGGCAACTGCTGCCCTCTGCTGCTGTTGCAGCTTTTCCCCTCCGCCTCGCTTCTCTGTCAATAGCCGCCTTCTTATCTCTCTGCAAAACTTGCATCAGTGTTCTGCACTGATTTTCTACAGTCCCATGCTTAGGCCCCCTTATTGCACAACATTCTTCACGGACCTCATCCGTACCCTACTGGCGCAGAGCCTATCATGGCTTTCCTAGCTTCCATCCCAGAAGGCAGCAACTCGCATCCTTCCGCCGCCCATGCCAGCAAAATAGGTCTTCCGCGAAGTACTTCTATCAATACACATTTCCCACCACATACCAAAAGCTTCACTGCATCGCGACGTCACACTCGCACGCGCTATCAAAGACCGGACCACAGGGAAAAATTCTCAGCCCTGCCTAACTCCTCGTCCTGTGCAAATCGTTCACCCGAGCGGCCTCCTAAAAGCACTTTTGAGAATATACATACTACCCCCGAGGATACGGTTGAAAAACTGGTGGAACCATCCGATTCCTCCTTTGACCTGGATTCTTTTCCCCTCCCACCGTCGACGTCGTCAACTTTGTCAAGTCACGGTACTAGACCACCGACGAACTATGGCTCATCCGCATCCATAACATCACATCTCAGATATATGAGTCCGGAACACAGGACTGCCACTGGTCGCCGCCACCATGCTCAAGTTGATGGTGCAAATGACCCTCCTGGCTCCTCAAACCGTGCCTCGGTTGACTCAGCATTGGTAGATGCCATCACCAGAAACATTGTTCAGCAGCTTCGTGCAGCGTCTATTGGCCAATATGGGCGGCATCGGACGAATACACACGCCCCGGTAGATCGTCCTGGCTTATCGCGAACCTCGAGCCAGCAGGAGGTAGTCGACCGCTTTGCCAGTGACCTGAGGCAATATGCTAAGAGTCGCACAAGAAAGGAGACAACCATTCCCACAAAACAATCTGCTCCAACTCTTCGAACTGTATCAGCGCTTATGCCATTTCGGTCCGAGTTTGAACTTGCCGGCCTCGCCGTAACATCCAAAGAACAAGCCAACCGCATCGACAGCTACATCACCCAAGCTGTCGAAGCGAGGGCACCACCAGAGGCAGGCCCGTCTGGCAAGCCTTACCATCGCAAGCCTGCTCTAGGAGGACCTTCTCAGGTAGATGGATTTGATGATACGGGCCCAAGTGATAGCCCGAATACCGAAATTTCTTTTGCGCCTTCCAACGGCATGGATGAGTGGCGCTATGCGATGATTGACGAGGTTCCGAAGAAGAAGAAAAGAGACAAGGCAAATACACGCCAAAGGACCAAAAGACACTGTCTCCATTGCTTCGACCACAGCCCTTCCACGGCAACGGAAGAAGGGCGGGCTCCTCCCCGGAAATTAGCCACTGCCCCGGTACCAAAGTTTCATGGAGGCATCGGCCCCCCTCCGCCCGTGCCACCCCCGCCCGTGCCGCCTCGACGACCACCTCGTCCGAAGGTTGGGTTGTTCGATGTTGAGCCTGCTAGAGGGCCGTCTGCATCACAGGAAATTCCGAGTTCTGAAAATCACGCACTCAGCCCCAAAATGCTGCCTTCACGACCAGGTAACAAAGACAAAGAAAAAGCCCCGGACATTGCCAGGCGACGCTCGCCGCACCCACGTGCTGTAGTCGCACAACGGGGTGCTTCTCCAAACAAGAAAAAGCGTTCCAGTCCGAAAAGGCGTATACCGCACGAAAACACGTCCAAGCAATACGACAGGACGTTGCATCAAGCGACACCTATAGACCTGAAGGCAGCTGTTGAAGAGGCCATGAATGGTCAAAAAAGCGACAAAATCACTTCTTCCAGGCGGCCAGAACTGCGGGACGACCTTGCCGACCACATTAGTATTTGCTGCAGGAGCAGCAGGGGCGTGCCGTCGCGAGCGAATGCTAGACCAAACATTCCTCGACGTACTTCGTCCATGTCACAGTTTATGTTTTCTTCCGAAATTGATTTTGATGACAGGGAGATTACTGATCGTGACGTGCTTCGAGGTCTTCACATTGCAGCATCTGCCGCCTGCGATGAGGAAGTGGACGCATTTGTGCGCAACCAAACTGGTCTTCGCATTCGCCGATTCTTAGCGGATCTCATGACGTTGGAAACGCTCGCGGTCAATCCTCCGATAGACAAGAAACAATGGGCTCGTCAGCGACGGGCAGACATGAGAAGGCTAAAGCAGCAGATGCGGCGTTCTTACGAGATCAATCGCATAGGGCAGGCGAAGCATTTATAAGTTTTGTTATTATCTTCTTGAGTAGCCGACGAGGTTGGCGTGTATGAAGAGGAACAGTGGCGCGTAAGATATTCATTCTATAACACCACAGACATGGTAGCGTCAATTATTAATATGATATTCCATTGCATTTAGATTTAGTTGTGTCTGGTGCAGCTGAGTGGCGTAGCCGCGTTCTGGGTAAGCTGCCAGTCAGTACATTGCACAGCCCCGCACAAAAGTCACCGTACAATTGATCGCCGCGTCCCTTCATCATCCTTTCATCAACCGCCATGGATGCCTTCATTAGCCGACAGGCCGTAGAGGCGGCACGAGACAACTTTACAGTCGCCACGGGCGATTTTGAGCACTTTCTACGATGCTGGTCACAGCAAGACTGTGGCCGCTGCATCAACACGGCTGAATGCTCATGGTGTCCCTACGTATGCCTGCTAGCACTCCCCTCTCCCCGCACAATCAGGACCCCACGCACACACCATTTATACATTGTGCCATGTTGCTGACGAAGGACCCCTTTAAATTCTACAGTCGTGGGCGTGCGTTCCCAATAAGCAGCAGCCAGCCCTGTTCGCACCTCTCTACCACGAGGACATTTGCCCCGCGCGCGCCGAGCGATGGGAACTGCGCTCGAAGCCGTTTGGGTGCAGCGTCTCGACGTACACGGTACTCAGCACCGCCGTCGCCGTCAACGCGACGCTGTTGGCGGTTCTGCTGCTCTGGCTGTTCGCGCTTGCGCTGCGACGAGTAAGGAGGAAGAGCAGGACTAGGGCGGCGCTCGCCAGGCAGCGGTACGTGGGGACGTTGTGGGCGACGGTGCCAGACGAGTCGCAGCGCGGTGGTGGCGAGACACAGCCGTTGCTAGTAGGCCGATGAGGGCGGAAGATACCCTCTCCGGCACGTCTGATCCGAGGATTGTTGCCATGTCAGCCGGCAATGTTTTCTTTTTTTAAATTTTGAGTATCAAGGTTGTTGAGCGAGGGGTTCGGGCCTCGGTCAGCCAGAGCTGACGGGTGGGATTATGGCCACCTCGTCAGCCGCTTGAATAAGCACGCCCTCATCATCACCGCTGGGCACGTCTACGTAGTCGAGATTGACGGTCACGAGGCACGAGTCGAGCACGCTGGCGCGAATCCCTGGGTAACGGGCCTCGACGGCCGCGAGCAGCCGGGCAAGCGGCGTGGGCGCGGAAAAGACCTCGCTCTCCTTGCCCGTGTAGGAGCTGGCGGCCGCAAAGTACAGTACGGTGCATTGACCGGGAGCGTCGGCCATTGTGAGGGAATTATTGAAGCGAGTTTTATGTTCTATTTTGTGTCGATTTCCTGTCTTTCTTTTTCAGAAGGTTAGCATAGGTGTTCAATGCTAATGAGGTTATTGTGCAGACATCGTGCAAAACAGGGGGTTTGGATCAGAGATCTTGGTGATAAATTTGACATCAGTAGAGTCAGGTAATACATGCTATAAAGGCATCATTCCAAACGATAGGGGGGCATGTGCAGCAGCAAATAAGAAGAGAATTCAACTTACGTTTTCAGACGAGTGTGACAGTGGGAAAAAAAGGTTGAAACCCCGACGGGGCTGCCCAATATTTTTGAAAGTCACTTATGAGACCACCCATCACGTGGAGCTAACTACCTAGGTAGTCTCGTGACGTGTAGTCGCTGCTTGATTGGTATTACATTAATTAACAGACATGGCTACGAATTTTTTGTGAAGGAGACTTAATGAATTAGTTGCTATTAATCGAAGATTTTTGTTTGCCTTATTTTATTTCCTTTTGTGGATGGGTTCCGGTCGCGGCCCAGGGCGGATTTCTTCCACCCTTGTGAATCATTTCCTAGACCTACTTTTCAGCCGCGCTCGGCCGTCTCACACTGATAATTATCACAATAACTACTCCGTACTCCGTACTTGTTGTGATTTAAAAAGCGACAAAAAAACTCCCAACCAGCAACTACTCAATTCTCCATCAACTCTGAAAAAAAGCTCACAATGTCTGACAAACGTGTTTGCCTCGCCTACTCTGGAGGTCTTGATACCTCGACGATTCTCAAGTGGCTCATTCTCGAAGGCTACACCGTCGTCTGTTTCCTTGCAGATGTCGGCCAGGACGAGGACTACGAGGCTGTCGAGAAGAAGGCCCTGGCTCTCGGCGCCGAGCGCATGGTAATTGACAACCTGCAGCAGGAATTCGTCGATGAGTTTGTCTTTCGCGCCATTCAGTGTACGAAGCAACAACCCCCGAAATCGGCTCCCCGCACCTTATCTGACCCTTTGCAGGCAACGCCATCTACGAGGACCGTTACCTTTTGGGCACTTCGCTCGCCCGTCCCTGCATCGCTCGCGCTCAGGTTCGCGCCGCCAAGAAGTACAATTGCAGCATTCTCAGCCACGGCTGCGTACGTATCCCCCCTTCCCAGTAGCTTGGCGCACATGGCGACGTTGTCGATCTACGGCATTGGCCGTGCTACAGATTAACAAAGCTAACATTCATTCCAGACTGGCAAGGGAAATGAGTAAGCTGTCCTTTTGGCAGGTGCAAGAGACATTGACTCACATAGTATAGCCAAGTCCGTTTCGAACTCGCCTGGAAGGCCTGCGACCCTTCTCTTTCCATCATCGCACCTTGGAGAGAGCCTAAATTCTTCAACCGCTTCCAGTCAGTGCTCCTCAAGCCAATCTCGAAAATGGTGTATCCCATGCACTTTCGGAATTTTCCTAATTTTTCGCAGGGGCCGCAAAGATCTCCTCGATTTTGCCAAGGAGAATAACATTCCCGTGTCTTCGACTCCCAAGGCTCCTTGGTCTATGGATGGTGCGCCAAACTATTGCTATTGAGCTTGTCTACAATCCCTCTAATATACTCGCAGAAAATCTCGTTCACACGTCGTACGAGTCTGGTATCCTAGAGCGCGTCGAGCAGGCCCCCCCCAAGGAGCTGTGGATGCGCACCGTCGGTACGAAACCACGCTGTCCTCGACTGCACGATAAACCAAGCTAACAATGTTTGCGCAGATCCCATCGACGCCCCCAACACCCCCACCGAATTCTCACTCACCTTTGAAAAGGGCATCCCCGTCAAGCTCGAGATTGCGGGCGAGTCCATCACTGGGTCGCTGGCCATCTTCAAGAAGCTGAACGATATTGGCCGAGACAACGGTTAGTTTACAGTCATGCTGACTTGTTGTGCAATTATATCCTGACCTCTGCAGGTGTCGGCCGTGTCGATCTCGTCGAATCCCGATTCATTGGCCTCAAGTCTCGTGGCTGGTTAGTTTCTGCCTTCCTTGTCGCCCGTTGACTATCCAGGACGACAGCATCGCATGGAACGCCATGACGCTAACTGCCTTGGATTAGCTACGATACCCCTGGTCTGACCATCGCCCGTCTCGCCCATATCGATCTCGAGGGTCTCGTTCTTGACTCCAAGGTCCGCACGCTCCGCGACCGCAATGTCACTACTGAGTGGTCTCAGTGCCTGTACAACGGTAAGGAATTGGAACCCGCTTCTGAACTGATCGTGCTTCTAACTCTGTATAGGCATGTACTTTAGCCCGGAGCGCGAGTTCCTGGAGAACTCCGTCATCTATTCTCAAAAGGACGTCAACGGCACCGTCAAGCTGATGGCTTACAAGGGCAACGCCTATGTCACCGGCCGCTTCAGCGAGAGCAGCAACCTGTACTCGGAGACGGAAGCTTCCATGGACTCGCTGGAGGGCTTCAGCCCTGAGGTAAGATTCTTTTACATTCCGCTATTCGTCGAGCTCTTACTAATTTAGTCAATTGTCAGGCTACCTCTGGCTTCCTAACCATCCAGGCTATCCGCCTAGAGAAGTATGGCGCGGCCAAGATCAAGGCTGGCGAGCCTCTTGTCGGCCCGCAATAGATGGGCACGGCCGCTCGGCCCCGATACGTTCGCTTCCTGTAGCAGAACATTACCTGTTACGGCAGTCGATAACGCAAAAGTGGCTTAAATGGACTTTTTACCTATTTTTTAGGTATCTCCCTTAATGTTCTAGACTATGACTACCCAAGGGGGTATTTCAGTTATCTAATGAAACTATGTTATACTTGATTATCAGAATGATTCTTCCTTACTTGTTTTCCCGTTTTTCTTCTTCAAAAAGATATTACTTAAGATGGTACAAATACGAGGCGTCAACCTCATATGTTTTCTCCGCGAGAAATGCAGGCTCTTGCTGCGTGACTGGCGTTGCTTCGCGGCTTTGTGTACGGTTAATGAATGCGCCACGAGGATTGCAACACTGTAAACCGTTGATATGATTGTAGATTAGGCTGTTTCCATGCATAAAAAATCCGTCAAAGAACTGCCAATGGGTATCGCTAATGCTCTCACTACCACCCATAATCAGGCCAGTTTGGCCATGCGCCCCTCTAGATCCTTCACCCAGCCCTCCATGACCGTCATGTTGGCCTTGACAGTAGAGTCACTCTCCTTCATAGTCTCCTCGAGCTTCTGTAGACCCTCGCGCCACTGCTTCAACTCCGCTGTCATATCGGCCTGCCTCTGCTCAATCTGGTCCAGCGTCTGGCTGGCCGCGGCTGCGTCGGCGTGAATGGCGCGCAGCGAGCGCAGGCGGTCCAGGAGCGGGGGCAGCATCGGCGCCAGGCTCTCAATCGTCGGCAGCACGGCGTACAACGCGTTAATCTTGGTCTCCTGCTCGGCGAATTCATCCGCCTGTGCCTGCGAGGACGGTCCGCTGGCCTTGCCGAGCTCCTCGCGCAGCGCCTTGGCCTTTTCGCGGGCGTCGTTGAGCTTGTCCTGGTCCGAGGCCAGCGTGCGCACGCGGCGGCTGATGGCATCCAGGTTTGCCGTGGAGGCTTGCGCGAGCGTGGCAATCTGCTTGTCCATGTTGTCGAGCGTAGGGAGGATGGCGCGCGGCAACCCGCCCTCGCCGGCTTCCGCAGACACGGATAAGCTGATACCCAGGCCCTTTTCGAGGGCTAGCAGCCGGCGGTCAAAGTCGGCGGCTTTTGCGAGAGCGTGAGTCTGTTCGTATGTCGGCGCGTATGTTATAGTATACGTAGGGCCTCCAATTTCCCTTTCTGCCGCGCCCTCGTCGGCCATCGTTGTGTTGACTGTCGCTGTCTCGCCGGGCACGGCGCTGGGCGACGACATGCTGGCGAGCAAGTCGCTGAGAGATTGCAGACGCGTATCCTCTTGCGCATCCGGTGATCCCTTGAGCGTGGCATACTCGTCTTTTGCCTCTTGCACCTCGCGTGTCAGACGCGCAATGCGTCGCTCCAGGCTTTCCTCATCGTCATCGTCGGACAGGTCGCCGAGTTCGGTGGTGCCGTCCTGCAGGATGCGCTGACGCCGGCTCGAGGCCTTGTATGACTTGCGTTTGCCATCGACCCGATCAGAAAAGTCTACACCAGCCGTGTCAACAGCCGCAGGTTCGAACCGCGAGCGAGCCTCGCCAATGCGTAGTCTGGAGCGCGAAATGGCCTCTGTGTCGTCATCGACGTCGTAAAACTCATCGTCCGATTGTGTACGCGCTGCAGCGGTCTGATCATCATTAGAGAGGCATCGATCAGTTATGCGGAGGTTGTACGCACAGGTATCGTCGAGTTGTCGTCTGTCAATTCGGGCGTCTCGTAAATGTCGGGAGCTGAAAGGTCCTACGATGTCATGATTAGCTCTGAGCTTGCTGCGAGAGATGTATCCCTACCAAATCCGGCAGATTTGCATATTTTCTGTTGAGCGCCATTGTGTCATACACTAAACTTCCCGTTGTTTAGGAGTTGATGGCTTGTTGAAGCTGTGACAAAGCGGCTCTGGAGGTCTAGGGGTGGTCGCTGCCAACCCCACCACTTATGGCCAAGTCGATAGCGCCACACCCTGGAACATAATGCAGATCAGTTGATACTCAGCAGATTAGATGTAGGAAAGATCTAAATTTGCTATCTGGCCATTGATTACTGTTGATATGTTTATTGAGCATCAAGGCACTAAGATGTGACTTGGTGTGGGATTTCTTTCATCACGGCACCTGGTTTTCGAGTGTCGTGTAATACGTTTTGGCCCCACCTGCGTGACGGACTTGCACAACGCGTCTCTCAGCGCGGCCGGCAAGTCGTTTACAATCAATTGGTGCGCCATCGTCAGCAACGGTCCAGGATGCAATAGCTGATACACGAGGCTTGCGACTACGCCGTTGCCTTGGTCTTTCCGATCCGCCAAGCATCCGCCTGTGCCCTCCGCAGCTATGAGTAGACGAGTCGGCTTGACCGCCAACGCTCCCGGCTTGCTCAAGACTGTGGGCAATCGCCCGCGTCGGGCGACGAGAGCTCCGCCGAAAGCTCCCGTTGCCGACGATGATCCGCCGCAGTCCTCAGATAACGGAGAGGACTCGCTCAGCGAGGGCACGGTTCAGGCTGCTGAATCCAGTGACCGAGCCGCCTCTCCCAAGCGCAAAGTCTCAATCCGACGACAATCGTCGCCGCTGGACAGCGACTTTCAGAGCTCGGCGGATGAAAGATCAGAGAGGGCCGCCATCAAATCGACGGACTTTGCGTCGAAATCATCACAAGCCAAAACTACTCTGACGAAACGGCAAAGGGTATCAAGGTTACCTGAGCCTGAACGTCCACAACCCAAGGAAAAGCTCAAGCCGGGGAACCATCTGAAGAACAAATGGGACCTTGTAGGTCTTAAACATCAAGTCAAAACTACGTATGGAAAGCGCACAAGAAGCTCGCAAAGCAGTCAGCCAGGTTTGTTGCGTTACCAGTCACTCATGCCGTGCATCACTGACATGGCCAGGCTCATCACAAGGCAGCAACAATTTTCACATTCCCAGTTCATTAGAGAGTCCGCAAAAGAAGAAACCATCGAGATTCGTAGTGCCAGACAACAAAATACCGTCGTCCCCCGGCAGCTCTCCGAAGAAACTCTTGACCCATTTAAACGGCAACGCCGACAGTGAAGAGGATGACAGCATTCTTGCATCGTTGGAAGATGAAAAGGGCTCCAAAAAGGGAAAAAGGAATCCGTCTCCGCCATCATCGCCGCCACGAGCCGTATTCAAACTACCGCGAGACTTTCTGAGCAGATCGCCGGGTGGCAAATCACCCATCAACGACGCACAAGACGAGGCCAAGCTCTCCTCCGACGACGAAGAGGACGGCGAGCGGTCTACGCTCAAGGTGCCAGAGGAGCCCTCTGAACTGCCGCCGTCGCCGTCGGCCAAGTGCCCCTGGTGCGGCGAGGCCGTCGGCCGCGCGCTCCTCGACGACTTTTTCCACGGCAGGCGCCTCAACGTGCACATGCAGACGCGCTTCTGCCAGCTGCACAAGCAGCGCGCCGCCGAGCAGACGTGGCGGGACCTCGGCTACCCGACCATTGACTGGGACGCCTCCGAGGCGCGCTTCGCCGCGCACCGCGAGCACCTGCACGCTGTCATTGTCGACGGCCGCGGCTCGCACTTTCGCGAGGCGCACGCGCGCAACGTGGAAAAGGGCTCCGCGCGGACCATGCTGCGCCGCGACGAGAATTTTAACCCGGGCTACTACGGCCCGCGCGGCTTCAACGCCATGTGCGACTTTCTCGTGAGGACGTTTGGTGATGCGCTCAAAGACCGCGCTGTCGACGACAAGGTCATTGCGGGTCGCGGGTCCGCTGCGTTTATCCAGGCAGTGCTGGTGGCGGAGCTGGGCGTCCAGCTCATCATGGAGGATATGGAGCTGTCCGAGTCAGAAGCCAGGCAGGTCATGGAGGATAGCAAGGGCATCGGAGAACTTGTACAGCCAGAGGTGGAAAAGTAAGCGTGCGCAACAATAGATAGGCGCCTGTAGGCCTAGATATACCATTAGAAATGTACATCATTAAAACGCCGTTCCCAGTTGTCACGGAATTTATCACTTTGTTTGGGGGGATGTCCTATCTTTGCATTTCATTATCGTACATTTGCGAGAGCAAAGATGCAATCATTATAACCCAGCCAGCATGCTCTGAATGCCCACCGACGACGCATCGTCGCGCCGCTGCACAAACGCCTTAAAGTCCGCCTTTGAGAGCTTGCCCCGGGCGGCCGTCTGACCGGGCACCAGGCCCCTTGACTTTTCGCGGAGCGCTTCGGCGCCGACAATGAAGAGCGAGCCAATCTCGGTGAGCAGCTCCACCGCCAGGCCGATATCCTTGGCGAGCGGCCAGTCGCGCATCATGGACACGTACTTTGCAATGTCCTGCGTCACCATCAGGCCGCCCGTGGCGTTTACCTGAAATTTTTTGAAATGGTCAAACAGCAGCCGGTGCAGCTCCGTCGCGAGCTCGCTCAGAAACTTTTCGAGGTTGGGGCCGTCAATGGCGGCCGAGGCGTGCTTCTCGGCGCGCCCGAGAAAGTTGCAAATGGCCAGGCAGGTGGGCGTCTGCAGCGACTCGAGTTCGAGGTCCTTGGGTCGAAAGTCTTGCTTCTTTTGGCCGCCGAGCGTCTTGGCGACGTAGTTGACAATGACGTCAATGGAGATGTTTATCACGGCATTCGTCTTCTTTTCAATGTCGTCAATGGCCATCTTCTTTTGCGCCTCCATGCTTTTGCGCACAGTGGTGTTGGATTCGGCGAGGCGAGTGAGCACCGTACTGATGAAGCGCTCCATAATGGCAGAGATGGTGACAGCGGGGCGGATCGCTGGCAGATACGACATGTCAGGCTCTGTCTTGGAGTGTTCTAAAATGGTGGCCTGCATGTGAGCGGCATCCAGTGCCGTCTGAACATAGACTTGTCCCATGTTGGTGAGCAGCAGGTTCAAGAAGACACTCATGTCCTTGGGTGTCTCGACCGCGGTTCCTAGCTCCAGAGTACGTTGTACACTCTCGGCAAGCCACTTGAGCATGCGCTTGGCATTGGCCACGCTCAGTGTCCCGTCGTCTTCGGAGAGCTCGATTTCATTCTTATTGTCCTTTTCTGCAATGCCGGCGACGCGCAACATGGTGGCCTTTTGTGTAGGTGTCAAATCTGACGACTCGAGACGCTCCAAGTAGGCGTCTTTGGCAGACGCCATAAGCTGTGTGCCCTGTTGAGCGAGGGACGCCATGAACCCGGTGGGTGCCTTCTTCTTGCGCGAATGATACATTGTAAACTTGAATAGCAGCGAACTGTACATTTCATCGATGCTCTTCTTTTCTCTTTCAATGTAGAGGTTACCAACCAGATAAGGGACAAACAACTCGTCCAGTTGCTGGTCGAGTGCCTGTGCAATCTGGCCGGAGCATGGCTCTGGATGCTCAGTGAGACCGTGGGTTTTGAGATCCTCAACCAAAGAGCTGATGTAACTGCGGGACGAGTGAAGTGAGCGCAAAAAGGCAAGCGACGACACGGTATCGGCTTTGTCAAGAACCTTTTCCAGGCGCTGCTGGATCGACTGTTGAAAAACACGCTGGATAAACTTTGTCAAGACGGTCTCGTAGTATGGGAAAGCTCGCTTGATGATGAACGATTCTTCTTGCATGACAATTTTGACTTCATCAACGAGTGACTGCAAACTAGCCTCGACACCGGGAGGAGTGGCATCAGGGTCCGCAATAGGCTCCCAAATATCTGTATCAGCAACGACCTCATCATTCATCAACTGGTCGCGATCAATGAAGAACTGGTGCTGGTTAACAAACGTCGCAATGACACTCGCTCCGCCATTAAAGTCGTACAGCACTCTGGCGCATTCCATCATGTCGTCAAAGTTTTGTTTGCGATAGCTGTCGTTGAACTGTTGTAGTAGATCTTGCTCGAGCGACTCGCAAAACTTTTCGATAATCTCCCTCGTGTTGTGCGTTTTTATTCCAGATACATTGCTAGTTCCGTTCCCGTTGCTGTTTCCCGTGCCGTTGCCAATGGAGCTTCTGCGGTGGCCATTGGCATGACCCCATGAGGCAGGGTCAAGCTGCTGGGAGATGCGCATGAGCTGGCGAGCAATTACAGCGCAGCGAATCTTATTTTCAGCACCACCTTGACGGCGAATATCCTCCAGCGACGCAAGGAGGCCGGTGTCGCTGATTTCGCTCCAGCACTGGATGAGGAATTGGGCGTCCTGCGCACGCCGTCGCTTTCGGTCCAGATCCTCTAGCTTTTCACCGATTTGAACAGCAACATTTCCTTCGCCGTCGGCTTCATTTTTCGTCGAGTAGTTGTTCGTCTTGGTTGATGCTACAGTTCCGTCGAGGGCCTCAAAGGAGCTTATGGACTGGTCGAGCTTCCTGCCTAGGGTGTCCAATGTCTGGTCGTGTTGTACTTCAGCTCGTCGCACTTGTGATAACAGTTCGGACTCCTTTTCTTGGAGCTCGTCCCCGAGGATGGCCAACTGGCTCAGGGCATCTGACAATTGTTAGCAGTTGCCTGGGCGCTGGGGCGAGGTCGATTGCGCGTACTCTCAAAGGTTCGAATGAGCGGCTTCGCGTCAAAGGCCGGTTGCGCTGGCCCTGATCTTCGATTGATGGGTACAGCGCTCTCCGCCAAGCTGTCGACAAAGTCACGGACGATGAAGTCCTTGTTGGAGAAGTTCTCGAGGGTGAAGCTGGGGCCTTTTGGGAAGAGACTCTTGGCCCCGGTGCTGGTTCGGTCCATGGTCAGACGCGGGCTCAGGCGCAGCCCAAATGTCTACAAGTGTCGACACGTCAACGTTTGACTGAGCACTGCCGCGGTTATCCCAGTCCTGGGGATGTCTTGCCGCTTGGCGCTGTCGTGTAGATGCGGGTGTCACTGTACTGCTTCGCGGACAGCGGGGGGCGCGTTGACGGCTCAGCCCCACGACTATGTGGCTCCTGCGCCACACTGAGCGGACGCAAGCACATGCTCAGCTTGCCACTAGCTGATCTTTTGGACAGCAACACTTTTTTCCCTTACAACGCTTGACCTACCAATTCTCTTTGTTTTTCTCTTCTCTTGTTATTCGTCACCATTTTTTACCTCGTCTGTCGCCAATCTTGAAATGCCTGTCACCGCGAATGCCCGCAAGGCGTATCGCGCCGATGCAAAGTCCAACCATACGCTCTTAAGCGAGCAGGAGAGGGCTCGGTTGATCCAGGTACGTCGGCTCGACGTCATCACGAATGTTGGTGCTAACGGTGCAGGCCCATTTGCCTCCTATCAACGATAGCCCGCCCGTTTCGAAGAAGAACAACCAAAGAAAATCGCACCTAGGCGTGCGCCGCTTTCTGAAGAATGCGCTCTTCGTCTTCGTCTTTGCCATTATGCATGGCGTCTTCTCCCTTTACATCCGTCTCCGACAGGCGTGGAACATTGTGCGCTACCAAATATCATCCATTCTGTACTATCACCATGGAACTCCAGAATACATTCGCCGGGATGTTGCTGGACTGCCGAAGAAGCCGAATCACCTCAGTGCTGTTTTGCGCGCCGAGGAGGATAAGCGACCCAAGGCCGATCTTGAGCGTCTGATTGACGAGGCGGCTGAGCTGGCGACTTGGACTGCCTGCGCCGAGATCCCGATGCTTTCCATTTACGAGAAGACTGGTAAGAATAAAAAATTACATGCGAAATAATTGTCGCCAACAGTGTCTAGGAATTCTCAAGAATCACATGCCCCGCGTCTACGAGGCCATACTCGCCAAATTCGCACTCTACTTCGGAACAGAACATCCTTCTCTTTCCGTCACGTCACCGCACCGTGAGGCAGTCTCTACGCCCGCTTCGATGAGCGCGAATCCTGCCGGCCAGCTGCGACTTCACCTGATTTCCGCGCAGGATGGTCGCGAGTCCGTTGTTGACCTGACCCGAACTCTTGCCGACATGTCGCAAAAGGGCAAGCTCTCACCTCGCGACATCTCTATGGACCTCATCGATGCCGAACTATCAGAAGGCATCATGCCTGAGCCGAACCTGTTGATTCTCTTCAGCCCCTACGTCGAAATCTCCGGCTACCCCCCGTGGCAAATTCGTCTCACAGAGATTTTCTGCCTTCAGGACAACGAGTCTTTTGGCTACCAAGTTTTTGTCAAGGCCCTGCGCAACTTCTCGAATGCTCAGTTTCGCCGCGGGAAATAGATACCCAGAGTGTTGGCCTCACTCTTCTCTCATTAACATCGGTATATCAATCTCATTTCTCATTGCGCTGCATCATCTCTCTCCGTATCTTGTCCCATCGGTACACTGGTCCACGTCCGACGTTATAGTTGTAGTAGTTTTCGGTTCCATCTTTTGTCATAGCTCGACGAAAGGTGATGTTGATCCTACCTCCGTCCTCACTGTTCTTGCCCGTCCTCTTCGGGATAGAATGCAGCCACCGAGACTGTGTTGTTCCACGCATCAATACCATGGCTCCGCTACCCAAGGCGAGCTTGAGGCTTTCGGGAGCCGTTTTATGCTTCATGTAAAAGTCACGCTGGGCACCTAGCGAGAAAGAAGCAATTGCAGGATCTGGGCCTAGGAACCTCTCGTCGTCGCTGTGATAGGAGATGCTGTCGGCGCCAGAAGCATAATAATTGACAAGACAAAAGTTAAAGGTGCATCCTGTGGCAGCCTCTGTGGATTTGCGCAATGTTTCAAGACATTGCGGAAGTGGTCGTGGCGGGTAGCGATCGTAACGACCATCTGCAACCAGCACTTCAGATTTGGCGTCGACGACGCGCCCGTCTTTGAATCGCGACGTGTCGTCCAGGCCAAAGACAGTTGTCCATCTATTACGTTAGAAGAGTCACTTTGTGTCGTCCAGAAGACAAACCTAGGCGTCCTTATGTCCTTTACAATGCCGCCGCGCTTAATTGTATACTGGACCCTATAAAATGGCAGTTCGGCCCTGAGAAACTCAAAGAGCTGACGAGCCTGCGGTTTGGGCACAAACGGGTCAAAGTAGAGAAGGTCGAGCTCTTGCTTGTCGTTTATAATTCGCCCTGGTTTTGCAGGCAAGCATGGTGGCGACAGCTCCTCGGCGAGAACAGTTGGAAGGTTGGCAATGTCAAACGGATACGCGCTGTGCTTTGAAGCTGACGCCTGCTGGAGTAAGTGACGACCGCATCCAAATTGGACCCTGACATACCGGCTCCGCATCTGACACACGTGGTTTCTTTACAGGTGTCGCGAAAAATGCATCCAAAGTGCGTTTTCTGGACATTTTCGGGTTTCGCGTTGACAGAAAGTGGTGATGTAAGTGACAGCCTCTCATGTGGGGGCACTGCGAGTAGTTAGGTAGTGTACGTAGAGGGATAGATGGTAGGGAGGAATCTTACCACGCATTGCACCCTGAATCGAAAAATTCATAGCCATATTCAATTGATTTGCGCTGCGCTCTCGTAGATACAGGATTTTCCTTTAATACAGTTAATTTCGTCCACATCACCATCAGGCTCACGATGACTGTAGACGGCAAAATTAGGTGGGGCCTGAGGCAATAGCTGCGGCCTGCCACCAAAATTTCAAGACCCTGATTTATCCCTGCAAGCATTGCCAGACATGGAGGTGAGCAGAGCAGACATCAAGCGCATGCCGCTTGCCAAAGAAAACATATGAATAGGAGAATCTAATACTTCTCAGGACGCTTCGCCAGCCGCAGACATGAACCTGTTTCGCGCTCCGGCCGCGGCCAGGGCTGCCAAAACCCTAGACAGGGCGCTCTTTGCGCGGACAATACCTTCGGCGGCTGCGTCTGTGCGGGAGAACAAGCTGTTGTCAAAATATAGAAAGGAGCTGGAGCTCACAAAGGAGCTGTTTGTTCTGCAAGGCTTCCAGCAGGTGGCTCCGGATCCGGATCCGGCGCTGGCCGCCAAAGGCAATAAATGTCTTGTGCTGAAGAGTCATATCAAGCCTCAGGGTAGGATTGTGCATTGGTCACGGACAAGAGAAGTTGGCTGACTGTTGCGTAGAACCTCTGACTTGGAGTCGAGAGCTTCAAGAGGCCTCGAGAATAGGTGATCTCAAGGTTATTCCATATGACATTGACATCAACTATAGCTTATGGAGCTACGGTGAGACGCTTGGAGACTACTTCATGGACACTGCTGACCTATGCAGTTGACGTTATGAGAAGCATACTCCCCGAAGAGCTACAAAATGAAATACCATCTGGCTTCAACACAGCCGGGCATGTTGGTAGGTCAAGCTCCTCCACCAGTCTGCCAGGACACCAGGCTAACAGGACAGCTCACCTCAACCTTCGTGACCAGTACCTACCGTACAAGCACATCATTGCCCAAGTCATTATAGACAAGAACCCCGGTATCAAAACTGTCATCAACAAGGTTGACAATGTCGGCACCGAGAGCGAGTTCCGCACCTTCGCGTACGAGGTGCTCGCCGGCCCTGACGACCTCGAGGTCGAGGTCAGCGAGGCCGGCTGCCACTTCAAGTTCGACTACGCCAAGGTGTACTGGAACAGCAAGCTCAGCACGGAGCACCAGCGCGTTGCCGCGCTCTTTCAGCCCGGCGAGGTCGTCGTCGACGTCATGGCCGGCATCGGCCCCTTTGCCGTGCCCGCCGGCAAAAAGGGCGTCTTTGTCTGGGCCAACGACAAGAATCCTGCGAGCTACCGCTACCTGACCGACATTATCCAGCGCAACAAGGTAGGCGAGTTTGTGCGGCCGTTCAACGCCGACGGCCACGACTTTATCCGACAGGCGTGCGATGACGTGCTCGCGGCCGCGCGGCGTGGCGACGCCGCCGTGCTCCCGGGCCGCAAGGTGTCACGCACCGCGGCGCCGGCGCCGGCGGCCACGCGCGTTCCTGTGCCGCCCACCGTTGCTCATTTTGTCATGAACCTGCCGGCGTCGGCGCTCGAATTTCTGCACAACTTTCGCGGCATCTATCACGGCCAGGAGGCGCTGTTTGCGCCGCACACGGCGACGCGGCTGCCGCTGGTGCACGCGCACTGCTTCGCCGTCAAGGCCGATGACGCGACGCCGCTTGAAGACATTTGCGACCGCATCGAAAAGGAAATCGGTATCCGGCTAGTGCCAGGCGACGCCAATGTCGACGGCCAGGTGTCGATCCACGAGGTGCGCGACGTGGCGCCGGCGAAGCGCATGTTTTGCGCCAGCTTTCGCGTCCCGCCCTTGGTGGCCTTTGCAGCTCGCTCTTGAGCGTTTTTTTTTTCGTCATGATACACGCCATTTGGCGGGATTGAGTGAGGTGAGAAGCTGTCACTCAGCGCCGAGGCTTGAAACTTGATCAAGCGGAAGCGATAAATTCTCATTCTTGTTGGATATGCCAAGCGGTATAGCATGCCACCAGGGCATATGTAAATGGTCTTGGCGCTGTCCGGCACATATATGTACAACCTGGCGCATTTTCCAGGAAAAGACGGCGATTTTACTGGAAGCGTCACCCATCTCGATTGATATACGCCGCAAAAGGACAAATTTCTGCGGGCGTTGCGGAGTGCAGGAGAAGCGGAGACAACACTCCGCGTGTTGTGGTGGCCAGAGGAAACATAAGCGAGGTGTGGTAACCAAAGGCATTTTCTTTGTTCATATATGACTTGATGGGCATAGAAATGGCACGCCACAGACGATCCTCGGGAAAGGGCCAAGTCAACGACCCGAAGTAGGTGGATGGAGCAGCGAAACATCGAATCAAGGGCACGGATGGGTTCGACGTCTACTCGAGGAAAGAGTGAGCTAAAACGGGCACGCTCAATCCATTGATTGATGCATTACGAAGCTGTACAGTCTTTTGCAGTGCGTGCCTGCGCCGACGCGTGGCAATATTTGACCTGGGATGAGGGAAACGGCAGACCGGGCATCAATCTAGAACATATTTGGAAAAATATATCAGAGGAGGTGAGCTCGGGGTCAACACTATAGAGCACATATAACCTTGTGTAGTAGGCAGTGCCGAGAAGAAGGGGCGTCTCTCTCGAGCAACTGCAGCCACGTTCTGGATATATATGCCTTCATGGAATATCAGCTCATTATCATCAGATCACGCGACATGAGCCCAGTCCAGTACTCGCATATATAGATGGCTATTGTACTTTTCCAGGGCTGATTCCTTTTCTTGCAGAAAAATCAACCACACATTTACATGTCCTGGTCGGAAATAAACCCCCCTTCTTGGCGAGACAGAGTGGCGTTGCAGCCCACGACAACAGTTTTTTTTACACATGTTTTGCGAGGAATGACGCATTCGTGACAGACTCTTTTCGTTGGCGCAATTTATATTGCACTTGGCAGGTAGTGGACAGCATGGCCGCCACCGACAAGGGCTTTTTTGTTTTGTCAAAATTCCTTTTGATCTCTACAAATGGCAGAAAAGGGAATAAAAATAAAAAACGAAGGAAGTGAACCGTGCCGCCGATTAAAGTCCTCTTGATTACGTACAACCGCCAGTCCGGTCCCCAAAGCTCTTCCATCAACGTGCATCGGATATTTTAGTCGACAGCAGCGAACAGTCGAGACGAGTTCGAAATGTCCATCTTGAACAGCGTAACAGCCGCTTTTCGAGGTGCGGCAAAGGTTGTCAGGACATTTCATATTGATGATGGCATCATTTCAAACAAGGGTGTAAGTTCCCCTGTTGGATGGCGGATGGCGGTTCCGGGCGGCTGTGGAGGATGCGTCAGCGTCAGGCCACGAGAAGTAATGGAGAGAATTAAAGACGGTTTGCCGCGTGTTTAAAATATAATCTGTGTGGTTTGATATTGTGCTCACGTGGTATCGTATTTGTAGAGGCAAGTGTTGCCTGAGTGACCATATTGGGGGGGGGTGAAGGTGACACTTGCAGCCCGAAGTTAGTTTTCCCTTCCGCCTTCCACTCGTAAACGGTTCCGTTTCAGATCATATTGCAGACCGCTCAACGAAAGATTTTGTCAGAATCTGCACCAAATCTCTATGAGGGGAACTCCTTTTGGTGTAAAGGCAGCCAGCATGCGCACCGCGTCGCAGCTCTACGAGTTAGAGACTTTGGTCACCTGGTCTCTCCTTTTTTTTAAAAAAAAAACGTCCTATTTGTGCAGTCGCGGTCGTAGTCAGCCTCTGTAATTCATTGCGCTGTTTTCGGATGATTTCTTGTCAGCGTATTACGCAGAGGTTTTACACTGCAGAGTCGGCCCCATCTCACTTGAACGTGTATGCAATTTGATAGCGGTGTTTTTGTTTCTCGAGATTAAAAAGTGGGAGAGCTTACATAGCTGCAATGACTCTCTCTTTCTCAAAATCATGTCCCTCTTGAGCAAACAGCAAATCAGTAGGCCACCCTTTTTTTTTTTGCTTGCCAGTAAAGGGTCTCATACGGTGTATATCTAGCAAAGCGGCAGACCACTTGGCCGGGCTATTTAGAGTCACGCAATATTTAGCACAGCCTATGCTCATCTTCTTCCCCATATTCACTCCCGGCAAGATGAAAACGACAAGATGAAATCATTGCGTTTTTGGGCCAGGCATCATGTTTCCACCAAAAGATCAGACCATCCATGTTCATGGGGTCATCCCTGCTTGTCGCGACGGTTTTGTACTTGTGCCGATCTCGCCCAATCTGCAAGCCACTTTCTTTTCTTTTCTTTTCTTTTCTTTTCTTTTTTTTTTTAAAGAAAAGGAACTTTCTTTTTCTTGGACAGCTCCTCTACTTGGCAACACGCAATCGCGAGGCTGTATGAGCTCTCCAATCACGCAAACACACGCGCACTTCCCCGCGTTCTGCCGCATCATCCATTCGGTCACACAACTTTCCCCCGCACAAAACCAAGGCAGCCACTTGCCTATCTATGTGCGTGTTCTCTTTCTTTTATCGCCCATGCTGTGTATACACTGAAAGCTTGTTCCGTACTTCGGAGAGTAGTGTACATACATAGCGCCTAATCTGCAGGTTCCTCTTATCATGACAAAGTTTAGACCCTACTTATCTACCCGTCCTTTCCCCCACCCCGCCACTAGTTCGCCGGGACCTACAAAGTATGTTGTTGTGTGCGAGCTCTTTATCAGCAAACACACACACACACACACACACGACGAAACTATCAAGTCATCTTTACTAGCTCGCGCAGCAATATATGTTTGCATATCGCATAGACGGCCATTTCCAGACGGGAATACTACACACCACGAGTCCAGAATCGAGGGCTGGCTCCGCGCATATCGCGAATGGACATGGTCAGTAGTGATTCGTGCAAGGTAAAAGCACGCCACAAATCCACGTCACAGCGTACATGCATCTGGCGAATGCGCAGTGCATCCTCGTGCTGTCGCTTGTGGCACCACAATCTGAGGCTTCCCATCAACCCACTGTCGCCAATGCCCCGGGGACTATGCGCCGGCGGCAGGTCAATCAACCTCCGGTCTCAAGGAGGGGAGGGCAAAGTCCAGTTGCAAAGGAAAGGTGCGAGGTGGAATGATTGCAGGGGTGTATCTGTGGGAGTGTGAAAAGAGTGGATGGCGTGTGGCGCATGCCAATTGCGTATGAGAAATGGGCAAAATTGTCGTCTTTCTGATTCTTCATGAAGAATACGATATATATCGCTCAGACGAGCCCAAGGCCTTGCCAAACTCTTTAGCTCCTTGTGCTGGCCGTTAGAACCCTGCTTCTTCCACTATTCTTGGTCAAGTGCACGGTGCTTATCAGACATGTCACGGCGCGCAGCGACGAGGGGTCAAGAAAAAACTAATCTGTACGAGAGCGCAAAGGGCAACAAGACAAAAACAAGCCCCAGGCCTGGTGCATTGTACAGATGCGGGCGGCGTGGCCATCCATGTCGTTAGCAGCGCCACGCAGAGCTAATATGCACTTGGCGTGACTGTTGCTGCAAGGCCCGATATGCCGGCGGGCTGGAGGGGCAGAGGATGAGGCTCATAGGCCAAGATCCATCCCGTGGCGTCTTCTTGATTGATAAAAATGGGCATTCGACAAAGTAAATATACGATGCACACTTGGTCTGTGGTTGTTTCGAGTCGAGTTGTTGCCCAGTTCTGCTCCTCCAAGTTGGCCAATGGAAGACTGCACAAGTACGAGGCAAGTTCCGCATGCTCTGATATGGATGCAAGGCTGGTCAAGTACCAAGGTATAAGCGGAGAGAAAGGGTGGGTTTATATGCACATCAACAGGGCTTTGGTGGACTGCCTTTCTTGATACCAGACGGAATGAGCAGCGGCGTGCTAGCATTTACCTTTTTTTTTTCTCCCTTTGCACCAATGCACTCGTAATGCATCAAGATTGTCAGCGGGAAAGATGGAACCGTGGCTTGACTCCTTCGTCGAGAGTCGAGACCCAAACCTACTGCAGCATCTTGTCCTCAAGCTGCCGATGGCTAAGCTGGTTGGAGGTTAGCTTGAGTGACTATCAACAAGCCACGACGGCGACGTGCCAACGAGACAAAAGTGTCTAATCGTAGTTACAGACTAGTTCATGCCGCCAATCCTGAGACGGATGCGAAAACCTGCCCTTCTGAAATGCATCGAGCCGCCACGCAACGCACTCACGCGCCTCGAGTCCACTGCGGGCGGGAAGCAAAGAGGGTCGGGCCTTGGTGAGGAAGGGGAAAACCATGCCCAGAAGCTTTTGCCAAAAACTCAGTTCGCGAAACAGCTGCCGGAAATGTCGCCGCAGAAAGTCTCTTGCAGTCGTTCTGCCTGAGGATGCATCACACATTCAATTCGGCAAGTGAGATGGCTCGGCGATCGCGGTGAGAAGCGCTAGTTTGAGCGCGACGCAAATGGCGACAAGCAGACACGGGGAGCAATGACACCATTCATTGGAACGAGGAGTAATAGTAGCAGGGCGTGCTTGGCGCGGGCCTAGTACTCAGCAAGCGAGCCATGCAATGGATGGTGCCTGGACCTCTTCCCGGCCAGCCTGTTGCTGACTCGGGTGAGCGAGTCGTTATTGCGTATGGCTCTTGAAAATATTCTAGTAAATGTGTGTGCGTGTGTCGACTGATGAGAGGGTGTGCATCGAGAACCCTTTTGTTGGAAAAATTTGTTGGATAGGACGCTTCGGTGCCGCGTGAAAAGAGGGGTGACGTTGGAGCAGCGCCGCTCTCGATATCAGCATGCGAAGAATGATACTATGCGGGAAGCTCCGAATAATGAAGCCTCGTCCGAACAACACTTGTAGTGAGGCGATTGAGGCGATTGAGACGATTGAGACGATTGCGGGAGAAATCGGGGGGTAGCGGGTTCACAACCGCAAACATGCCAGACCCGCCAGCGCCGAGAAATACGGGCAGGTGGATCGTCAACGCAATCGCTGGACGACTTTCAACGGAGAACGTGTCTGTATGCAGTATGTACAAACGGGCATATATGCACAACTGGGGCCTTTTGGCGCATCATCTGCGAATCGGAGATTTGCTGCCGGGGTTTAGACTTGGCCATCACGAATAAATGGTGCAAGGCGGGGCGTTTGATGTGCTGTCAAGGTTGCCATGGGACGAGCATGCGGCCAACATGACAAGAAGAGCGAGGCGGTTGCGGCGGTCTAAAGGGGAGAGAAAAGATAACGACGCCGGACTGGGGCAGAGATGAAGCTTTATCATTAGCATGTTAAGATGGCGACAGGACGGGGTGATGGTCTGCTTCCGAGGATGGCTCTGGAGTTGGTGGGCGGGAGAGGGGAGGGGGTGTGTCGATGGTACCGTCGAGAAGATCGAAGTCGAGGAGTCTAGATAGATGAATGAGGATAGATAACTAGAGGGAGAGAAAGAGGTTGGGATGCCAAGCAGGAGGGAGAGTCGTGGAGGGAGGGCTGAAGGGATGAGGCTTGGTTTCTGGAGTGGATAATTGGAGATGCGATAGGTGGCCTTGCAAATTGACGATATACCGCTGTGGAGTGATTGGATCAGATGGTTTGCAGCAAGTTGGCAGGTCGGCCGGCGCAAGGGTTCCGTTGCTTCATGCATCACGACGCACGTATTCAATGTGCGCCATGGCCACGACGCCCATCTAGAATATAATGTCAAACCACCTCGCACCGTTTATGGTTACCCGGAGGTCCGGCGGGGACACCAATACCACCACACCATCGAGAGTATCTGGAACAACGGCAACGGGCTTACATGCCTATGCTGCGGCTAGTAAATTTGCGCACCCACCGCTAAAAAAGAGTTGCTGCGCACCTCTTTTGCCTCGCGCCACAGGTAAGGAGAAGGAGGGACGGAAGACCAATTATGGCTCGGCCGACGACTGGCTGCGCGTTGCGGAAGATGGAGACGGCGAAGCAAGACGACTCGGAGAAATGGGTAACATGATATTACATCTCGACAGCGGAGACTGGTTTTCTGCGATTGCGCCACAAGAGGCGGGTCCGAGCTATATAATATCTACATCTCAGCTATTTTCATGGATAAATTCCACTGCGTCGAGTAAAGTGAGTCCGCCACGGTGGCATGTTGAGATAATTCGAGCAATAGATGATTTGTGTCTGATGACTTTGTTCTGGGGGGTTGTTTTCCCAAATTTTCGTTGTCATTGGGTTTTCTTGTCTCGACTATGCGGCGTTTGTTAGCATTGGATATTCCAGCATTCCAGTCATCGAACCCATAATGAGGCCGAGAAGAGCCAAACATCCACACACACACACACACACACACACACATGCACAAAAATCCAGGGTCAAAGGGTTCAAGACTCTCGAGGAACAAGGGGGAAAAAAAAGCAACGTGATATCCCCACAGTTCTCACATCTAAACAAAAACAGGAATTTTCGAAAAAAACGTCAATTGTGCATGTCAACACCAGTGGCGATGTCTCTTGGAATGGTCCCGCCCAGCTACCTTAGCCTGCCGCAGGGTGCAGCTCACCAAGAAAGAAGAGGAAAAGAAAAACGTTTCTCTTGGCAACTCCATTCAGGAACTTGCATCCCTGCTAGCCTACCATTTTTTTTTTTTTCAATCATTTTCAATCATTTTTATGTTGCGTCTGTGTTTTTTATCCCTCTTTTGCTTAGTTGGCGGGTCGCAAACTGACCAGGCCTAGCACCAATCTGGGATTAGATAATGCACAAGAGTTGGTTCTCCGTTCCAGATTGTGAATAGAATGGACGGAGTACGGATACGGAGTTTTGAAAATGAGGGGGAGACATGGCCATGGCGCTGGGCGTTTGCGAAAAAAAAGAAAATATAAAGAACGAGTGGTGGGGAAGGAAAAGTAGGAGAGAAGCAGCATTGACCGGTGAATTGTATTTATCAAAGGAACACAACGATTGATGAGGTGTTGATGGAGTTAATACTGGTATTGGAGTAATCAATGGTCAAAGAGCCTCTAATTGATTGTGGAAAAGAAAAAGCAGGGAATGATAAATGCCTGCAGCGAGTCAGGCAAGGATTTTGGTCGGTTTCGTTTGTGGCCAGGATTCCCCGCTATCCGGGGTGTGTACGGTGTAAGTGTACGGAGTACAGTGTGATACTTTTCGAAAACTCCGTGGCAGGCCGTTAGTTGTTGTTGGGGTATTATTAGCGCTGGAAGCCTTGCAACGCTTCACGGGGTTGCACGCAAAGGCCACAAAGAAACGAGACCAGGCGAGACAGGCTGCTGGCCAGGCCTTTTGCTTGCGGTTTTGAAAAGAGGACAAAAAGGTGCCAGTACACGGCATGACGGATGTTTTCATGCCATGCTGCATGTTTTGGTCCCGTGTGTTTCCTTTGCTGGACCTGGTTGCGGCCAAGACATTGGATCAATACCTCAGTGAGCTCAGAGCACAGCAGCGTACAGTGCACGCACACATTGACCAAAACATGTCGCACGTTGCCGCGTTTGGAGTTGGCGATACCACTCGCCAGGCCACGATGCCCATGTTCTGGTTGTCTGGCTGCACATCTGCTGTTGCACATTCCCCAACGCCAGGTAAATAGGTAACTCAAGATGGGTGCCGAAATGTTCGTCATCCGGGGCAAGTAGGTACTGCTTGGACGGCCACTGGTAATCTCAGCCAGCTCCGCCTGCCCTTTTTCTCCCTCCGCAGTGACCTCTCCCCACCGTAGTTGTAACCCGGCATCTTCAAACTCACTGCAGTGTTGAGTAGGTAGTAATTGGTTTCAACTGCATTGATATTTAACTGGATTGGGATAACTGTTATTGATAACTGCCCACTGCCACCTGGTAATATCTACCTTTGCTGGCACAGCTGGTCAACCCCTCCTGTGCTCGTCCAACCTGCTGCTCCCAGGCCTTGTTTTAGTGCTGTACCAGTATTTACCTAACCACGCCGCGGTGCGCCACGCCAAGGTACCTCTAACTGTCGTAATATTCTAATGCACGCCCAGTACCTAAATTGCCTGTCAAATTGCCCAGCCTTTGCTCAGCCCTCCAGAACCTCTCTGAATTTATTATGCCGACCTACCTTAGTGCTCAGTGCCCACCAAGGTACTGCCGTAAGTGGTCTGCCGTCTTTTTTTTTT